CTATTACTCATACACGTACACACGACCCGGCACCGATTTACTTTTTTGTTTTGAGGTCCCTAAAGGCTAAAAACATGATCCATTCAAATTAATATAATCGGACGATGGGAACGGGGGTTTATGGGGGTAAAAATTGGTTTTTCCCATTTTTGACCTAAAATTATAAAATTTTGCAATTCATTTCCAAACTATTTTGTAGAGCTTAAAAACAAATAATTTAGTATATTGAAGCGTTATTATGCGCCTAATAGTTACAGGGAAAATTCCAAAAAATTTTAAATTAAAAATTACCATACGTTATGTGGAAAATAAGTAAACTGTTGACGTATTTTGATACATTTTTGAAAATATATTTATTTCATACTAAACTATTAAAGTTTAAAACGAAAAAATCCTTTTTTAATTTTTAATATTTATCCTTTTTTTATCCTCCCTGTTGCAGCAAACCTAAGTTAAGTACTCGTGAAACCAATGGTATTTAAATAGGGAATAAATGTGATATTTTTAAGGAGTTATCTTAGAGTAAATCCAATCAGGCAAATGGAAATTCGCTTAGTCTGCAGGTCTGCTGCGGTGGGGGTTTTTGTTTTTCTGTGAAGTATAATAATTAGTATACATGACGATTGTTAATAAAAATAAGTGTTTATTGTGGTTGAGAGAAATCTACCTACTGTTCATTACGTCGCGTCGGCTTGGTTATCATCAATAGTACCTACTCAAGCTGTAGCATCCAAATCATACATGATAACCTAGAAATGGATTTTACATTATATACTTCATTTTCGCTCAAACCAACCTCAACGAATGTTCAAATGTTTTGTGCAAATCTATTAAACTGTAAGGCCCCTTTTTAAATAATACCGTACTGTGCAATATATTATGGTTCTCTAAAGGTAAGAGATTAGATATTTGTGCAACTAGTGAGCAAAGTGAACAATTGACTCACTTGAGAGAAATACTTACTTAGTGAGGAATGGTTTCTCGAATGAGGCAATTGCACTTTGCACTCGAGTTGCAGATGGTATTTTTCCTACAGTTACCATAAAACAAATAAATTGGGAAAGAAACGTAACATATTTTAACACAGAAGTGAGCTTTTAATATGACATTTAATGATACAACAGTACAACAGCTGACCAGCTGATTTACAGCCATTTTTGGTTTTTTTATAGATCAGTGCCAACTACGGTAAAAATTGATTTCGTATGTCTTTTTTGGTAACTGCAATACTCAAGACTTTCTTTCTATGCACAGAAAGAAATCGCGTCCCGTCCCGAACTAAAAATTCAATCCCGTCCATCCCTAGTAAAATACTTGCAAAAGAGTTACCGGTACAAAAAATATTCTTTGGTTTTGGCAATTTTAATGATTCTTACGAGGGTGATTTGGTATTTTATTTTAAAAGTAGGTTTTGGTGTTTGAGTGGGCAGTTCAGTACATAATGTCGGGGATTACCCTAAATACTTCTGGGTTTAAAGGATCTGCAGTTTTTGTATCCAAGTGTAATTTTGGGATTTGAGGTAATTATTTTTTTTTTTTTATTTAATGTTGAAGTACATCCCAAAACCTCTACGGTACTACGGTGTCCAAAAAGAAATAAAAAAGTGAGAAAGAATTTTTTCTGAACTTGCTACCGAAAAAAAAAAAACATCAATGGTTTTCGTAGCTGACTTGTAAGCTTTGTCGGATAAAAAAATGAAATCTAGATACCCTACAGTAAGCTAATCTTTTGTTAAAAGTTAGAACCCAGCTGAATCCTTTCTTTACTTTGTCAACACAATACTAATAATTGAAAATGACCATAAACTTGTTTGTCATTTGAAACAGACAAAACCCCAGTGTATGTTCTAGTGTAGCCTTAGTACAGCTCTCTCATAAATTTCCCAGGGGGTTAATGAAGAGGGTAGTGAAATAACTACTCTGCATACCTTTCTGAACATACACGTGGACATAACTACAAGGTCTTGGTATTGATTTTATCTAAATGATTTTGAAGCTTTGAGTCTTTTGGGTACATTAGTCCATTGTGTTTTGGGAAATGTGTCTTTTTCTAAAAAACTGTGTGATTAAGGTTGAATTAATGACATTTTATGAGTTGAAGAATTTATGTTACCAGCAATTCTTTTTTTGAGCAACTTTTACTAGGAAAGGGCTGGTGTAGTCTGTTTAGAGCTTCAAACTTCTTTCTTGGGGTCTCGGATTTAAATCCTGCTTATCACAATATCACTCTATATTATTGTAAAAGTGCCGCTACCCAGTCGTTCCTAGTCTATCTAAGTCTATCTAGTCTATCCTAGTCGTTCGCTACTGCAGGTCTATCTTAAAAGATTGGTCTGTTAGGCAAAGAACTTTTTTCTCTGTACATATTGGAGAATTTATTTTCCCCTTGACAAAAAGCCATTTGATAATTCAGCTAATTTTTATCTTTGTAGTCCAAAAATATTGTTTCCTATAGGATCCAGCCTGGAATTGTCTTCCACATTACTTCAGGCTAGGACTAAAGGGGGACACGGCATTATCACTTACATCAAACCCATTGGTGATTGGCGGGATTTGAACTCGGGATCAAAATCTCAATCTCTACCAATAGATCAGCTTGCTTGCCGGGGTCGAAACATTAGTTCTGTGAGGAATCAAGGATTATTAATTTGAAATTGAATATAAAGGGTTTTAGTAGTTATATTGTATTAATTTGTCAATTTTAGACCTAAAGAAATTAAATAATTCTACACATTTATATAAAAATTATAGAATGGTAATTAAAAATATTGTCCAAAAATTCTAAACCAATTCCCTAGCATACCTGTGAATCAGGCTGAAGGACTCATACAAATGAAATTTTACAATTAACAAAATATTTTTAGTAGGTAGTCACATGGGGAAACAAAAAGTTTATAGTATGGAAAAATTTGTTTGAATTATAAAAGCAAAAGCTTCAACCATTTGAGTAATTAGAACCACTTAAATTTTGATTATAAGTGGATGAATGAGCCTAATCTGTTTTTGGTAAAGATAAGCGGATATTAAGAAGATGTGAGACAAAACTAAATCCTTTTGCGGAGTCTCTATTGCGCACAATGTCTTATCTTTGTGCTTTAGGCTTCTGGTGTGATCAGTCGAATGGTTCATTACCCCGTCTCAGGTAAATATTTATTAAATTGGTTATGTTTGGTAATTGGCGCTATATCAATTTTCTCCAGCCCAAAAATAATAGGAAACAAACTCTACTAGTTTTATTTTCTATATTTTATTTACATTTTTTATGAGTTTGTATCAAATATTCAGGAATAAATGTGTATTGACTTTGCATTGTTGAACTTGAAACTAATTTAAACAGTTTTTCAGCATAGTTTAGTTTGTTGTAAAACATTGAATGGAGAAATCTTAAAAACAGAGCTAGTTTACATGATTATTATATTGATGTTATTATAAAAATAATATACCAACAAATCCAATTATTGAATTAATTAACACCTAAGAATTCAACTGGAAGTAAACTATATTAAAATATAAAACTCTTCCTCAAAACAATGCCAATCCAAACCATAAACTTAAATACTATAAAGACTAATAAAATTAATAATATTCTTTATTTTATACAATGGAATATTTATTTAAATATAACTCTCTACGTCTTAAGACTGTGTACCAGTATTGAAAACTCCCTTGAATTTTCCTTGAATTGAAACCAATACATGGAACGTAACCAAAATATTTCAAACAGAGTTAAAAAGTATTTTAAATATTTTACAAAATATCAGAAACCATTCAAATGAATATTAAAAATATAAACTCTTGAAATATCCATATATTTTCTATTAGCTCATCCAAAGCCAGATGGTAATATACTTGAGACAAGTTAAATAAATTATAACTAATTCACATATTAGCAAATTTCTCACCGTAGTACTCATAGTAAGACCTGGACCCGGGACCGATTTACTTTTTCGTTTTGAGGTCCCTAGAGGCTAAAAACACCATCCGTTCAAATTCATGTGTGTCCATTAGCACGATAACTCGAGCAAAAATGATCCGATTTTGATGAAATTTTGTATAAACGTGTATACCTACATTTATTCGAATGAGTTCACGAACCAGCATGATGGGATCAGGGGTTTTAGGGGGAAAAGTAAAAATCGGTTTTCCCATTTTTGACCCTAAAAACATAAAATTTCACAATTTCTTTCCAAACCATTTCGTAGAACTTAAAAAAACAAATAATTTAGTATATTGAAGCGTTATTGTGCGCCTAATGGTTATGGAGAAAATTCAAAAAAAATTTAAATTTAAAACTCCCATGTTACTCTTATGGAGAATAAGTAAACTGTTGTAGTTTGCTTATTTATGAAACATGTTTTCATCAAATTTGGAAAATATATTAATTTCTTACTAAACTATTAAAATTTTACAAGAAAAAAACACTTTTTACCCTCCCTTTTACAGCAAACCTAAGAACTCGTTAGTAAGTAATTCTTTTTAAATAGGGAATAAATGTGATATTTTTAAGGAGGCATTTTAGTGTCAAACCAATCAGGCAAATGGAAATTCGCTTAGTCTGCAAGTTTGCTTTGGCGGGGGTATTTCAATCAGTTATCATAGCCCTAAAATCGACAAATATATATCTTTTTGATCTATTTTTTCTCAAAGTAAAAATAACAACATGATATATCAAATTTGTTCATGGAAATACAGAAAGAGAATCTTGAGAAGTTATAATTTTAAAAGCTGCAAAGTCTTCTGCAAAAAAGGTTCGGTGATCAAAGCTTCATTTTATCTATTATTTTATTCATACATTTTCTATATCAATCCCCAAATAAATTTATAGGAGTACAAAGTAAACTAATAAACCTATAAGAATAACCCATGCATCATTGTTAGCTATAGATTTGTGTGCATTGTAGGGGAAATGGACTTTGTCCAGACTACATTGATCTCTTGATAAGATACCTCACAGAAAACATGTGTATTAAGTGAGAGTTGTACTTTAGTTCAGTTAGGTGCTTTGAGTTGGGATGAGACATGATTTTGGATATCAACAGACACAACGAAACACATATGGTAGGTTACTTGTAGTGGTCAGACCCAATGGATATTACTCGTACCCAGCTGAACTTGGAGGTAATGTAAGCATTTAAGATATTAATCACTTCCAATTGTTTTTCTTTGACTTTTTACTTTTGAATAATGAAATATGTAAAACCTGTGTGTTCTATCAAAAATAAACTCTTATTTTCAACCCAATTACATAAAAGAGCTGTTTTATTGGTGTTATGTGTGTTTAATATGTATTATAATTATTAAATCTACAAAAGCAGTTCCTTTATTGTAAATTTTGCATATAGAAGGTGAGATTAACCAGTTACCTCCTAGAACATAAAAAGCATATTGGTAATTAAATAAAATCTTAGGAAAAACTGTTTCCCAATTTTCTAACCTAAAACAATTTGTATGATTTCTCAGTCCTAGTGAATAACAAATCGTATTACCCAGTCAGAACTCTACATAATTGTTTTATAAGTGTGTAACCTACTATAATTTGAACTTGTTGGTATTGTTGAAAGTATAGTTTTACACCAGCTAAAGTATTGCAACAATTTAGATGTTATGGTATTACAGCCCTCAAAAAATACTTTTTTGTAAAGTCTAGGACTGGGATTCATCTCTAGTTTATCTCAGAAGATTAGAATGGTATTCATGGACATTTTCAGTAAAAGTAGTAAAAAGTGCTTGACTGCAGAATTTGTCTAATAACGTAGGTGCCGGATCTGGAATTGACCTTTTTGCCCAGTTGGTCAACACGCTGCTTCCAGAAGAACGAGTCCTGAACCAACTTATTTGTGACATTATAAGTGATGTGGAAAGCGAAAAGAGACACCTTGTCGGCGATGCAAAATTTTCAGTACGGCCGATATAAGTAATTAAGGTCAAAAATATCTAAATTCGGTTTTTATCGATTACTATACCTCATTTAACACAGAACAGGGAAGTATCGGTTAAAATATAGAATCGAAGTTGTAAAAGGTCGAAATAAATAATTTTGTTAGCCTCTGCATGGTCTGAGAAAATAAGGTACCTCTTGTCGCTCAATGTTACTTTGTCATAACGCCCATATCCAATATTCACTTTATAAACAAACTTTAGTCCAAGAAATTAATTGTCCTGCATTCTAGTGGAAATTTAGAGAATTAAGAGAAAGTTCAGTTTATAGAGAACAAAATATCTCACAAATTTTGCGGTACCGACAAGAGGTACCTTTTTTTATGTTATGGAGAAATAACATTGGGCCGACAAGAGGTAGCTTTTTTTATGTTATGGAGAAATAACATTGGGCCGACAAGAGGTCCCTTTTATGAAATGTAATTTTTACGACATGCTTCGATAAAACAATTATTAAAATGAAAACTACCGTGAGTTAAGACAAAAATTGGTATTGCCTCCAAAGAGGACATTATAAGCTATCTTTTGATACCAAAATCGTTTCTTAAATATGAAAAATAACAGTTTATGCATATTTGAAATTTTCAAATAGTTTTTTTCTTAAAATGACCCTTTTTAATAACCAAATTTCAAACTCATATAACTTTAACAAAAAAATCTTAGATGCATCGGACTTGCACCAAGAGATTCGGAATATAATGAGGAACTAATATATATACAGGGTGTCCCGTAACTCTCTGGACACTTGTATATAGCGTTATTCCTTAGGTCAAGACAAACACATTTCACCATAGGAACATGGGTCTGTGGTGTCTAGTTTACCGACTGTCGGTATTTATGTGTTTTTTACAAAAAAACTAATAACTCCTAAACGGTTTGAGATACAGCTTTGATATTTTGCAAAAATGTTAATCTTATTAAGACCTATTATCGTTAGAAATTATACTAAAAAATCATTAACCGTTTCAAAATGGCGGCCATTTAAAATATTTGATGCCCAATTTCACGAAAACCGTTAACTTTACAAAAAAATTGCATGAGACAAAAAAGTTTGTAAATTTTATGTAGTTTTCAATGATACCTTATTTGTTAAGATTGGATAAATAATAACAGAGAAATGTCTTCTTTTCTGAACGCATGACCACTTTTCTCCATTTAAACAATGCTAAACAACGTAAAAGGAGTATTAGCATTGTTTAAATGGAGAAAAGTGGTCATACATTTAGAAAACAACACGTTTCTCTGTTATTATTTATCCAATCTTAACAAATAAGGTATCATTGAAAACTACATAAAATTTACAAACTTTTTTGTCTCTTGCAATTTTTTTGTTAAGTTAACGGTTTTTGTGAAATTTGGCATCAAATATTTTAAATGGCCGCCATTTTGAAACGGTTAATGATTTTTTAGTATAATTTCTAACGATAATAGGTCTTAATAAGATTAACATTTTTGCAAAATATCAAAGCTGTATCTCAAACCGTTTAGGAGTTATAAGCTTTTTTGTAAAAAACACATAAATACCGACAGTCGGTAAACTAGACACCACAGACCCATGTTCCTATGGTGAAATGTGTTTGTCTTGACCTAAGGAATAACGCTATATACAGTGTCCAGAGAGTTACGGGACACCCATACAGGGTGTTTTTTTAAAAACTTGCATCTTTATTTATGTAAAAACCGCAATAGATAGAAATATGCAGTTTGCGGGAATCATCTATTGACGTAGGGGGCCCAATTGTTTTGAATTCAACGTTACATTCACATTCCCCCCCTTTCCCCCCCTGCCCCCAACTTAATTTTTTTTAATACCAAGGTACCCCTTGTGACATATCAAATGAAAGAGCATGAAAAAAGAAAATGTTTTATGAAAAAAAAATTGAAAATCGGTTCATAAATTTGCGAGATATTTCCCCCCCCCCTCCCCCGGAACTTAATTTTTTTTAATAGCAAGGTACCCCTTGTGACATATCAAATGAAAGAGCATGAAAAAAGAAAATGTTTGGTGAAATTTATTTTTCATTTGATATGTCACAAGGGCGGGTACCTTGCTATTAAAAAACGAGTTATGGGTAGGGGGAAAGGGGGGTGATTATCTCACAAATTCATGAGCCGATTTTAAATTTTTTTTCACAAAAAATTTTCTTTTTTCATGCTCTTTCATTTGATATGTCACAAGGGGTACCTTGCTATTCATAAAAATTTGAGTTCCGGGGGGGGGGGGGAGGGGGGGAATATCTCACAAATTTATGAACCGATTCTCAATTTTTTTACATCAAACATTTTCTTTTTTCATGCTCTTTTATTTGATATGTCACAAGGGGTACCTTGCTATTTAAAAAGTTAAGTTGGGGGCAGGGGGGGAAAGGGGGGGAATGTGAATGTAACCTTGAATTCAAAACAATTGGGCCCCCTACGTCAATAGATGATTCCCGCAAACTGCATATTTCTATCTATTGCGGTTTTTACATAAATAAAGATGTAAGTTTTTTAAAAAACACCCTTATATATATATATAAATAAATATAAAACTTAAAATATGAAATTTCTGACAGGAGGTCCCTTTTTGCTTTCCACATCACATATTGTAAGTTTGTGTTGGCAATAGTAAGTCAGACGATATCTCAATAAAAGGAGCTTATGGCTTTTCCCTAAGACATCACGATCATGCGCCACCTCTTTTCCATTCAGCCCTACTCCCACCCTCAGTCTGCAGTATTAATGATGGAAGAGACCAACACCTTACGCCCGCCGCCTACTACTGAGAATCCATGCAATAACAAGTCTATTTGTTAATTACCTCTCAAACATCCCAAATAAGTTAGTACAGAATCCCACACTATTAACCCTATTTCAACTTATCAAAATCTTCGCAGAAAATGGACGTGGCAGCTTCATCCGGGGACTTTCACACAGGTCTGGCCGCAGCAGTGTGCGTCACGGTGATGTCTGAACTCGGCGACAAATCCTTCATCATGTCGGCCATCCTTGCAATGCACCATTCTCGCTCCCTTACCTTCCTCGGCACCATGCTCGGCCACCTGATCATGACAACAATTGCTGGTATGTATTGCTAGGTGACCTAAACATTCATAATGCTTTCCTCAAATCACAAAGATGTGTAATAATAGCGCTCTGTAAACTTAACTGCTTAAGAAAAATAGGTTATATGATTTTGACAAAATAATGCGGGTTATTATGTTTTATCTGCAGCTTTATGAAATAATGTTTCCACAATTTGCTGATTTTCACGAGTAAAGCAGGAAACCCACTAGTCCGACGCTCTCCGACACAATACCTTCCGTCAAGTCTCCAACACCTTCCGACGCCTTCCGCAATTTTAAGGCATTAACCCATTGGTCCGACGGGCTCCGACAGTAGGCCTCTGACGAGAAATACACCACCACTCTACCAGTTGCGATGGAACATGTGATCACATACTGTTCACAAGCAGTAGTTAGGGAGCAAATAATGAAAAAAGTCCATAACATTTATGACGATCTCTGTTAGTATGAGAGATTACAATGGTCAAGGACTTTCCTATACCCATCTTGATAATTCCGGTAACATTTACTGTACTACAGGGAAATTAGCAAAAAGTACAGTACCTACAAAACGTAAACAATAATACCCCCGTCGCAGCAAACCTGCCGACTAAGCAAATTTCTATTTACCTGAATTGATTTTCAATTAGGTGTATTTAATTAACATTAGGTTTTATGAGTACCTAGGATTGCTGCTACAGGGAGGGTAAAAAAGTGTGGTTTTTAGTAAAGTATTAATAACTTAGTATAAAATAAAGAAATTTACCAAGTGTGATCAAAATATATCCACCAGAAAGCAAACTATTTTATAATATTCTCCATAAGAATAACATGGGAATTTTAAAATTCTTTGAATTTTCTCCGTAACCACTAGTTGTACAAAAACATCACACTTTTGTGATCACATGTTCCATATCCGTTCCACATATTGTGATCACACACAAAGCTAGACAGTAAATCTAGGCCTGGTGAACGCAGAGTGGAGAAATGACGGATCCGACATCCGACAAGAATGCCCCAGAGAGCAATGTTGTCGTGACGTGTCGGATCGGAAGGTTTCGTGTTTGACTAGTGGGTTACAGTCCATTTAAAATAATGCAAAGTAATTTTGTCGGAAGGTGTCGGAGCCTTGACGGAAGGCGACGTGTCGGACCAGTGGGTTTCCTGCTTGAAAAAAAACTAAATGTTTATTTCTCAAACTATTATTTTTTTGTAGATCAGCAGCCTCTTTTAACTTAGCATTTGTTTATCACAGTCTTTGTCCCCTGATTTTACCAAAGAAAATAGTTCCAATTAATAAAATATATTTACATATCATTTGGACAAAACAAAGCAAATATTTGAATAATTTAAAAAAGAAATAACTACTTCCCATCATAGGTCTTGGATTGGGGGGATATTAAAATTTAGAATGATTAAGGTTGAATTCATAATAATTAAAATTGTTTAAATAATATTTATTTTTATTTTTATACAGTTGTTCTTGGAATGGCTGCAAGTATTATCCCAGAAGTTTATACGAAATGGGCTTCCTGCATCTGTATGACGTTTTTTGGCCTGAAGATGCTCAAGGAGGGCTTCGGAATGCCTGAGGAAGAGGAGGAAGAAATAAACCAAAATGAAAAACTCAAGATATTTTATGCAAAGAGCGAAAAGTGTGATAAAATAGACAAACTAATAGACAATAAGGATACAATAGACAATAATTTTAAAGAACAAATTGAAGGAATAAGCCTGGATGACAAAACACAGAATGGAAGCAGTAAACAGGTAATTTTTTAAATATTAGCTGAGTTTATGTTATGTTGTATAGACTTTTTTAGTACCTACACAGAGAATATCTCTAACTTGAGTGATGAAAAAGTCAGTGTTTTTTTTTATATTCTCAAATTTGCTACAATTTTGACATAGGATTGGAATAGTTGCTTCAATTTGATATTTGGGTATTACTAATATTGGTCACAAAGGCATTATTTGCATACACTTAAGAACTTAACAAAACAATTTTATCTTAAGCTTATTGATGGTTTCAGAACTCAAGAAGGAACTCGACAGATGGAGTTCTAATGCAGGCGTTCACTCTGTCATTTTTGGGGGAGTGGGGAGACAGGTCTCAGATAGCTACGATTCTGCTGGCCAGCACAGAGGTAGATTATATTAATCCATAAATTTATAAATTTCTGAATGTTAAAAGCTGCAAGGAGTGTTGTAAGTATGACAGGTTTACCTGAATGGGAAAGAGCCCAGAGTGTGTTATAAGAAACAAAAAAAATTAAGTATTTCTCAGTCAATTGACAACTGTGATATGCAAGAAATCCTTCTCAACCAACCTCAAACTACTTTCATAAAGACATGGGAGCGTAGCATTAGCACATCCTGGCTCTATATTTATATATTAGATGTTAAATAGGAGCTGGTCAACTGGATGAAGATGACCACAATACTTGTCTCAGTAAACTAACTCTTTATTGCGACATCAAATCCCTTCTAACTAGTTACAAACTTAATACGAAACGTCCTGGTGGCAACTCAAACTCTAACTTATATATCTCCAAAAATAATTTCCCCTCCTACACAGTAATAACAATTATCAGATAAAATTAAAATTCTCTTTAACAAATTCTTCAATTCAAACCAAACACTTAACTCTTTTACTCTAAATCCCTTTAAAAAGAATTTCCCTTTAAAAAACTCTTTGAATAAGCACCAAACTCTAACCCTTAGACAGTAACCAGTACTCACCAAACCTCCTATGGGCACCCTGCCCTGGCCGACTGACCCCTTTCCCTAACTCAGGATTTATTGAGCTAGACAGCTACTGAGTGCAAAGCCTTCGGTGTTTACATAAGCACTTCCAGCACGCTTCCCAGCTCCCCTCACTCGAGGAAGGTTTGAGTTGGGCAGAGAGACATCTTCAGGATTTTCAGGACATTTTCAGAGATGTCTTCAGAAACAGTATCTCGTTATCCCTCTCAAGTCAAACCCTCCTTGGTGACAGTTAAAAATAAAATATTCTAACTTTTTTCGATGAGTGTTGTCATTCTTGTATCATAGTGGGCTCATTCACAGGTATAAGCCTGCTATCTACACAAAAATGTCTAAAACATAGGACCTTGAGCTGTTTGTTAATACCCTTAACCTCGAATTTTGTAAAAATATATTCTAATTTAGCTTGATAAAAATCATATCAAATCAAATCAAACCAAATTCAAATTTTCTAAACATTAGTACCGAAAGTGGAATTTTTCGGTGCACGCTCAAGTTTTATGTACATGGCATAACTTGTATCAAAAGTTATTTTCTGGCACTTGCTCCAATTATTCTAGTCATCAGCTTTACCTCGTATTTGGTGTTCATGTGTTTGGCTTTTTCTCACACATAAAACTTGAAGGCACATCATAAAATGCCACTTTCAGTACTAGTTATGAAATGCACTATCGTCTTTCCTTAAATACCTCCCCTCCTCTCTTTAAACAATGTTTTTACTTTTTGATCAACAAAAACAAATTTTAATTGCAAAAGAAATCAAAATTAGGACCTAAATAATGGAGATAGGCCATTGAGTTTTATTTATAAATACTTTCCATGTTTGGACAGTATATCTTTGAAACTTGAATGATAGTTAAGAAAACATGATAACCCAACATACTGCACTGCACCAAATACACAATAAGAAATTTCATATGCTTTAAAATTGTGTTGTTTATATTATTGTTGTTGTTTCTAAATATCACAGTGTATTATATTATTTATTATTGTTGTTAAGAAATTTAGTGACTCTGTTCAATGTATGCAATGTACTGTATGTAATGAATTAAGAAAAAGAGAAAGGTACGATTGTTGGAACTTTAAATTAACTTTTATTTACCTATTCGTTATTATTTGATTGTTTCAAATTACACATCAAGGTATGTTTCTCAATTATTTTTTTATGGAAGTACCAAGAAATTGAAGATAAAATTAAAATTAAAAGTAGATAAGTAGAAACATTTTGTTAATAATAAGAATGTCAAAATGCAGCACTTATACAAATATGTATGTTTTGTATCAATAAAATAGATTTATATCACACTTCTATACTCCTGCAAAAACTCAATTCATCTGGTGTTTGTAAAAAGCCGATTAATTTGGTTTTATTTATTCACATTAGCCTATACGAGTATCCCACTTCTCATAGTCATTAAGAATGACTAGTTATTAAGAATGGGTTTGGATTGATATCTTTCCTCTCCTCCTGTACCTTGACCTCCCCCTTACTCCTCTTAACTTAACTTCAAAGAATTGTCCAGTTGTTTGAACCGCTCCAAAATCAAAATACACATCAGATTAAAATTTGTTTTTTCTTGAACCAATGTGTTTGATAAAAAAAATACTTGATTGAGTTGGTTAAATAGTTTTTGGAAACATTCAAGATTTTAAAGAGTTTGGCCTCTCTTTCAAATCAAATCATGAAAACTAATCATGTTTTAGACCTATGACTATTGTCTTTGAAATCTTTTATAGTTCTTCCTCGACCATACAGGGTTAATAAAAAGTCTGGAGACCCCCTGTAAATTTTTTACGGCTCACACTAGAAAAACTACTGCACACCTGTATTGGCGTGTTATGAAGTACTTTTTGGGCATAACTGCTACTTCGTGTACATCCCCAAAATGGGGGTCACAGTAAAATACGACAGTCAATTGAAATCCGTAGGAGTCAGAATTATCTTCTTAAATTGTAAGTTAATTCTGATTTCTAAACATTTGAATTGCTATATTTTACTGGGTGAGATAGAGACCTCTAGTTTGCGTTGATAGTTTTCTTTTATCACAACCTTGAAAATGAGGGGTCACTTGATGGGGCTTAACATTTCAAATTTTCGAGTTTTCCTCGAAATCCCCCATTTTGGGTTTGCGAACCAAGTAGCAATTAGGCTCAAAAAGAACTTCATAACATGCCATATAAGTGTACAGAGTTTAGTTTTTCTAGTGTGAGCCGTTACAAAATTTATAGGGGGTCTCCAGACTTGAAAAGCTGTAAGTTAAATTTGACTTCTAAGAATTTCAATTGACTGCAATTTTCTTACTGGGTTAAGATAGAGACCTCTAGGTTGTGTTGTTAGTATTCTTATTCTTTTATCACGACCTTCAAAATGATCACTCGATAAGTCTTACTATATGAAATTATTGAGTTTCCCCTGAAATCTCCCATTTTCGGGATGTACATGAAGTGTAGGTTATGCCCAAAAAGTACTTCATAACATGCCATAAAGGTGTAAAGGTGTGCAGAGTTTAGTTTTTCTAGTATGGGCCGTAAAATTTGACAGGGGGTCTCCAGACTTGTTATTAACCCTGTATGGTCGAGGGACAACTATAAAAGATTTCAAAGACAATAGTCTTAGGTCTAAAACATGATCAGTTTTCATGATTTGATTTGAAAGATAGGACAAACTCTTTAAAATCTTGAATGTTTCCAAAAACTATTTAACTAACTCAATCAAGTATTTTTTTTATCAAACACGTTGGTCCAAGAAAAAACAAATTTTAATCTGACGTGTTTTTTGATTTTGGAGGGGGTCTCCAAAAATTGATAGGGGGTCTCCAGGCTTTTTATTAATCCTGTATATTAGAAGTAGTTACAACATTTTATGTCATGTCTTAAATGTAGAACCCCTACGGTGTGGCAGTGGGAAGTTTTCTTGGACATGTGATTTGCACTCTGGCAGCCGTAGTAGGAGGTCGCTTGATTGGCAAGAAATTCCCTGTCAAAACAAGTAAGTATCCCACATACATTTCTGACAATATATATTTATTTTAAACATTTGTGATGATTTAGCAATTTTTCTAATTCAAACTCTGTTCTGTTTTAGTGACTCAAGTTGGAGGGGTGGTGTTCCTTCTGTTTGCAGCCTCATCTCTAATTTTTGAATAGTTTTAGATTTGTCTATTTACATAGTTTAAGTTTTATACCTGTGAGTTTTACATGTTTTTTTTTATCCGGTTATTTAACTTAAGAGTGTTCAAGATCCTGTATAATGTTACATAATTTTTAAGTTACCATATGAAATATTACACATCACAATGAAATACTATGTTATGAATAAATTTTGGTTGTTGACAGTGTTATATTTATTGTTATTTGGTTTGTGTTAGTTTGTATACATGTTTTGTATTAAAAACAAATTCATCATTCTTATGAGTATTAACAAAAAGAAACTTAACTACATTTCAGTTTAAAAATTAATAAACATTTGAGAATATTTTGTTTATTTTCATGTTTTATGAAATACAATACAAAGAAAACCTTGGTTAATTATTTTGGCTCTTATTGTCTGACTTAAGTTATGAGTTAGTTTTAAATCATTTATTGAAGATAAAAACATGCATAACTTAAAGCTCAAAATAATACTTTTTGTCTGCATTTAACACATTTCTTCAATTCACTTCAGCAGATATATTTTTAAATTTGCTCCCCAGATTTTTCTGTTGTGTTCTTTTAGTTTTTTAAAGTTCCAGTTTTACAATTTATTCAAAATTTTTGTGAATTGTATTGGATATATTTTATCTGTATTTTCAACTCTTCATCAATTTAATTTCATCATATATATGTCTGTAGCAACCCTCTATTAAAGGAGAAAACTTGAGATCAATGACTGATATATAAAAGAAATTTGAGAGAATTTGAAAATTACCTATACATTACGTATTATAATTGTCTTTCTTGTACAATCGTTTTTAACAAAAATTTTTAACGAATATAGGGGATGTTTTTATTTAATTGAAAATCAGGGATTTACACTCATTGTTTTTTGTCCTAGGACGCTTGGCTCGAGTGTTTTTCACATTACCTCAGGTCAGACCTAGGGGTTGCGGCACTATCACTTAGATAAAGTCCATTGGTGATTTGGCAAGATTTGAACCCGGGACATTGGGGAACGAAGTCCCGTGCTCTAACCACTGGGGGAGGATTTACACTGATAGAGATTAGCCAAGTGATAATATCTTGAACCCATGATTTTGGGTCTAGTCCAAACAGTATTTTCACTTGCTTATCTGGAGAGAGTTTTAGGTTTTTAGTGGAGGAGGTCACTTTAAGTATTATAAAGAGTTTCCTTCACTGATAGCCATTAATTTGTTTTTTTTTACTATTCAAAACCTTTGAATTTGGCATCCTACAATGTTATAGTGTCCATATTATCTTTTTATATGAGTTCAGTATGGTCTTAACAAACTGTACAATTTAAAAATTTAATTTGGGTAGCATCAAGTAACAGTAACAGTAAGCATTTGGGTAGCAATAGATATTGTGTCTAAACTCTGCTACTAATTGAATTTCATTTTATGCATTGTTAGATTATTTTAAAAGAAATGCTGAATTTAAATTATTGAAATGGTGAAATGAAACTAGTCAGATTGTTCAGTAGTTCAAATAACTCTCCCTCTAAACCTGTTCTGAGAAATGTAGTTTTTTTTAAAAATCTTTTGTAAACAACAACCACATCTTGACCCAATTGATTTATATCCTGTCACTCCTTAAAGGGAGCATAGGGCATCCAGAAGAGTTCACCATCCATCCCTCAGTTGACCCCAGGACTTCCCGACACTCAAGGCATTCTTCGTTACTGTTCTTCTCCAGGTGTCACAGGGTCTTCTCCTCTTTCTCGTCCCTTGAGTTATTCCATTCTAGGACCTTCTTTTCAATTGCCTCATCCAATTTCGTGGCCCTGCCACCTTCACTTCTGTCTTCTGATTTCCAGGCTGATCTTTTCTTGTCCCATTGCCTCCCAAAGCTGTTCATTACAAATAGTACATGGCCAGAACACTCTCATTATATGTCTGAGACACCTGTTTACAAACACCTGGGGCTGAGAATTACTATGCCAATCCATTTTCTAAGTTTCACTGGCATATAGAAGGACAGACTTAACATTTGTGTTGAAGTTGCGGATTTTGGTTTTCATTGAAATTTGAAACATTTCTATTTCGCCATATTGGGTAAAGCTGAATAAATACTGCATTAGTTTTCCCAATGGGGCTCCTAACATCTTCCTTGGCTCCTTTGTCTGCTGTGACTTTGATTCCGAGGTAAGGAAAGAGTCAACCTCTTCAATCACCTTCCCGCTTAATTCTAAGGCTTGGGCTACTTTGGAATTCAACTTCATTTCCTTTTTCTTATTCACATTTATCTTGAGACCCACCTCTTCAGCCTCTCTTTACAGAGAACTTAGTTTCGCCTGAATATCAGTGTACCTCTGAGCAATCAAGCAAAGGTCGTCAGCAAAGTCAAGGTCCTCCAGCGCTCCCTCAGTCCCCACTGCACTCCCCACCTTCTATTATTTGTTACTCTCCTCATAACTGAGTCCAGCACCAAAAGGAACAAAATGATAGAACTGGTAGGATAAGTTTGTAAAATAAATAAACGGTATCAGCATTCTGACACATACTTTCTCCCATAAGTTTGTCAACAACCTTTATCATGTGTAAGCAGTGAGAGTAAATATACGAAATTTGGATCAGTATAATCTTGTTCAGAATTTAAAGAACTACATACAAAATTTTTATCAAAATCGTTTGGGCCAGTTTTGTGAAAATCCGATTTTCCGTTATTTTATGGGGTTTTTTATGGGAAAATAACATAATTTACAATAACTTTTGAACCGTAATTTTTACAGAAATGGAATTTGTACCATTTTGTTTAGAATATAAAGGACTATAACATACCAAATTTTTATCAAAATCGTTCAGACCATTATTGGAAAAATCCTATTTTTCCGTTATTTTATGGGGTTTTATGGGAAAATCCCCATTAAAAATTAAATTTTTTTTAAATGAAAAAACTAGCAAAACTTTAAGGACCATAACATACTATGTTAAATTAAAACCGAATGTTTTCTAAAATCCTATTTTTCGTGATCTTATGGGGTTTTTATGGGAAAATAACATAATTTACCAAAACTTTTGAACCGTAATTTTTAGAGAAATGGGATTTGTACCATTTTGTTCAGAATTTAAAGGGCTACAACATACTAAATTTTTATCAAAATCGTTCGGGCCATTTTTGAGAAAATTCGATTTTTCCTGTTTTTTATGGGTTTTTATGGGAAAATCCCCATTGAAAATCAAAATTTCAAAAAAATGAAAAAAACGCCTGGAGATACCATGGCTTAGAACCTACATACCAAATTTCATCGAAATCGGACCACAGGTGTAGTCCCTAGCTCTGTACACATCCAGACACACAGACACACACACAGACACACTCACACACACACACACACACACAGACATCACTTCGAAAACCACTTTTTTGGGTCTAGGGGGACCCAAAACGAATATATCCACTCAAAACTCAAACGAAAATTTTGACGAAAACAATACTTTCTCCATATACTATGGTATAGGGGGAGAAAGTAAAAAGGGCAATGATACAGGTTTACATACATACACCTTTGTTGCTGACCTAATACATTTTCAGGTAATTTAATCTTGTTGATATAGTTTTCGAGTGTATATATATATTTTTTTGTTTTTTTTATGTTGAAAGTGATGCATTATTATTGATACAATGATTTTATATATTAAGAATATTTTGTAGCTTGACTTGGTCTAAAGCTGTATTTTGAATTACAGTGGAATCCCGGTTAACCAAAATCGGGTTTTCCTGGTTCAACCGAAACGGTTCCATAAATTAATACAGGGCTAAAATATAAGTACAGTATGTAATATGTAAACAGCAAGGCGTAGTGCAGAGCCCCTCTCTCTAGAAAGGGGCTTTTCTCTAAATTGTAACATTTTTGTAGCTGAAATAAAACACTGTATTATATAGACATTGTTTTAAATACATTTTTCCTACACACCGTACCGTAGTAATACATAGGCTATTTTCAGTATATGACTGGTTAACCGAAAAACTGGTTATCTGAAACGGCTCTCCCCCCTTTATTTCGGTTAACTAGGGTTCTACTGTAGTTATGGTATTTCATGAGAGATTTATTGTTATTATTAATTTAATTTAAAATTTACAATCTGTTATAGATCATTATATTATTTAGTGTCTAGAAGATACATTATAACTACAAATATAATGGATACTTATGACAACATAGAAATAAGAAGGCATATAAAGTAGTATCTATGAATACTAGTTTTAATTTTATAATAATAACTAGTTTTAATTTTATCTACACTCCAAAATGGTAAAAACAATAAAACATAGAAAAATATCAAGCTTCAGAATCTCCATCAATGATTCTCTTGAAGGAAAAGGGAACAAAAAGATAACCTGTTCCCAGGTAAAACTTACTGCAGAACTCCACCCTGAAACAGAACACAAGTTGAAACTTCATGTAAACTTCATGTTGAAACTTCAGGCAACTACAAATGTAAATCTAATATAAAATTGAGAATTGGTGGGAAATGTTGATTTAATTTTAACTTATCGGTTGATTGCAGGAGACAATAATGATGTCTTTGCTTGTAATCAATGGGGCATGTTAAAGATTTTACCGCGACTACAGTAGACGATCCGTGATTACTGGAGTTAATATCAATTTTGCTTTTTGGCTATAGTTCACGTTTACTGTGGTTGAGGCTTTATAAGTTTTTACAACTATGGGGGAAGGACAAAAAATTTACAAAAGTACAGATAAAAATAAGATAACACTCTTGACAAGGTAACACTCTTGAAAAAAGCGAGGCATAAAAATAAAATTTTATTGCACTTTTAATTTTTATTTCTTAAACTTAAGACATCATAGTTGATCATCACTCTGGTCTGATTGGTAATCATAAGACAGTGAAATGTTGTTACTGTGGGTCACATGAGTAAGTAACTTCAGTATAACACAGAGGAGGTGGGGTCACAAACTCGCAATGTCTGGCTTACAGTATAAGTCCATAAAGTGGCTTAACGTGGGAATATAAGAAATGACCAGTTTACATATTGATTTTACAGATTGTTAAACTATATATTTCACTCACCAATGGAGTCTAAGTGTGTGCAGAAATGCAGAAAGACCTTCCATCATAACTAGGATGGCAATCGTTCCGAAGGCCCAGAACGAGAATATGATATACACTGCAATGCTTCCGTAGTAAGGTAGTTCTAGAGTAAGTGCTTTTCTGAACACCATCTGCCACAGCACTTCTGATAGCTCTGGAAATCATTTTTGATGTGATAAATTATCTGAAACTATTCATAGGTAAAATATAATTTGTTCATATAATTTCATGAATTATTTTATGACAATTGAATTGCTCACCTTTAGATTTAATAGTTAATTTTGATGTTTTCTAAAAGAAAGAACACAATTTGATGAAGCCCTCACAGAGTTGCTCTATAGTCTGCAATTTTATTTCCCCCTTATATTACTGTGATAGTTAGTTGGTGTCACTTAAAAGATGCTCTTACAATAAGTTGACAAATATTATACAATAGTTGGCAAGTTAAAAAAAGTTGCTGTATTCGACAAAATCAGTAATATACAATAGTACTCTTAGTTAGTGGCTCAAGTAAACTACTTATAAGTAAACTACTCAAGTTACTTACTTAGACTCTAAAACTGGTGACAACTTTAACGTGGGAATGAAATGTCTAGTTCCATAGTCAAAGATTAAATTTATGTCTTTGTCTAGTGAATCATAAAGTACTCACGTGCATGGGCCAAAGACAGAGCCCAAAGTCGAAGGTATGAAGCAGTATGAGATATGGTACTCAACACGTATTCCACTGTATGAATTGCTTGGTGTATCCAAATTTCACTAGCTTCTTCTTCTTCTTCATCCTCCTCCTTTTAAAAACCAACAGGAAATTTAAAAAATATGATTATTTTTTCACGATTTTGTTTTTCTATCACTTCCTTACTGTGGACTGTGTGTATGGATACAAAAGTTAATTAGCTGTTTTAATTAAATGATTTAGCTTAGTAGGTTTTTATTCACATCAGCTAATCATTATTATTGCAAACAGCTGATAGCAATGTATTTGCGCATTGATGTTGTAAATATGTAACATTTAACAATCATTTAGATCATTTACACAATTATTTCATATTCTAGCAGAGCTTCTAATTTGCCTTCTGTAATGTAACATATACAAATCAATGCTCTGATTCTAGTATTTTTCTATCATTTGTCTAAAGGAAAGCTGTGTGGATTATGTCCTTTTTTAATTTTGTCTATAACAATTTTAGTATTCTAAACTCTATTTTAATTTTACATCTTTTAGAATATTTGGTCCATTAATAATACATCTAAAGCATAATTGTTGCATTCCAACCTTTTCTAAATACATATTGTTTATCATGACGGGAATTCACAACATTTCTTAACATTGAAATAAATTCTTTCATCATCTTTAAACATGTTGACTGCACTAAAATTGTTAACAGATTTTTAGTTATGTGTATATCTGAGTATAAACATAATTGTGGTGTTATAATTAGCTACCTTGTGGTGTTTCTTGCAGCAAATGAGATAAATAGGTTTCCCCACCAGCATGACTGGCACACACAGGAATGCCACAAGAACACAGGCCATTTGAACTTCTTGCTGAAACAAACGTTAACAGTTTAACGATTTACAGAACACTCACGTTTCTCACTCTATGAATTAAACTTTGGATTGATATGAAATAGCAAGATAGATTGAAGAACAATCTAACCTGTTTACTTTAAAGATCAGGGTCCATAGCAACCTGGACCATCAATGGTAACACTCAGAGAAGAACTGCTGTACGGATATAGACACCATCCTCAAGCCATTTCATCTAGTTCTCATTTAAGACCTCTCTGCATTTCCCAACTCACTGTCATATTGTCTTTAAGCATTGTTGTGCAGATAGTGGTTAGTAAAAGTTGCAGGAAGAACATTTTAAGTAGTATTACCATTTTCATAATATAATGTTCAGCTTCTAAGCCAATAGGAGATATGTCTCAAACAACAAAGGTCACAGAACAAGACTGATATTTCGTCCTAGGGCTTCTTCAGAGAATACAATTATTTTTAAAGGCTTGGTCAAATAGCTCTGCCTTTAGAATCATTTAAATAAAAATTCTAGGAAAATTTTAAACAGCACCTAATTTTACACTCCGCTTCCATTCTGCCAGACTACCCTAAAGAATAAAAATAATTTTCTCATCTATCTACTCCCAAAGAAGGTGTAGGACCAAATAACAGTGTTACGTTATGTGACACTCTTTTGTATATTCATAAGCTGCTGACTTAAATTTGCTCCGGAAAACTATAATAGGCTATGTTCCTTTACTTGTCTTCAGTCGAAGATGGAAATGCTTCTTGACTGAAAACGGAAAAAGGTGAGTTACCTATTATATAATTTCTACAATCGGTTTTGGTGGCAAAAATATTATCAGGTAAGCTAACTTAACTTTTATTTATGGATGTATCACCTTCGAGTCATGACTAATGTTGTTGACAATTATGCAGCCACGGACCCTAGCAAAAGCTGTTCACTATCATGGCCATACAAGCAAATCCTAAGTAGCATCATCCTAAGTTGACAAGACACCTGTTACTGATTATTTATGCAATCTATTGTGTAAAAATTACCTGGTATGGATACATATAAGCATCACAGATTGCAAATTTAGTATCTTTCCCTTCATTGCCATTTTTGAACAGCATCATGTTAATGAAAGTAATGAGGACTGATGGAGCACAGAAGATTGAATCCGCTGGAACAAAAAGTGATAAAGATTATAATGCAATTTCACTAATGTTTTATTTCACTAGTTTCTTCAAACATTTGATAGATCCATCTTAGTGTGGGATAAGATTGATACATTATTATGATGTTGATTGTCAAAGTCTCTTACGGTACTCTGAAATTGGTTAGGGTACTCCTAGAGCAATTGGTGGACATAATGATTGTCAGCTTATCAAGGGCTGCCCAGGTAAACCAGGGTATGTAATCTGATCAGGTTTGAACACGTAAAGAATTCAGTAGAATGACCATTCCTAAACTTGCCTTCATAGCAATGGCTGAACAATGTTTCAGTAACGGAAGCAGTGCTTGGTGGAGTGACGGAATCCTTCTCAAAATTGATGTAATAACAGAAAAACAAGGGGGTGGGCAATCTCTTTGTAGACTTTTATTGATTTAAATATCTGACTCAACCTTTTCTTTGTTTAACTTATTTTTGGAAATTTTGTAATATAAAAAAGGTTGGCGGCCTCTTTTAACCTTGCACTGGCCCATCCACATAGACTAACTGCCCGTGCGTGGATCGTATACAGCAAAGCAAGGAGTAAGCCGGTACAGCACAAAGGTGATCTGTAGCCATACTGATAAAATGTTTTCGGCAGTGACCAGGATCCGAACCCACGACATCGCTGCCTTGGGCCCGAAGTCCGTGACGCCACCAACTGAGCCACCGACTCACAAAGAAGATCTACAATCTAGATTAACACCCCTTGTTTCTTAGTACCCATATTGTAGTATTCATATAGTTTTTTTTTTGTTTTTTTTCTAGGATGCTAGGCACGAGCCCGGAATTGTTTTTCACATTACTTCAGACTATATCTAGGGGTTGCGGCATTATCACATAGATAAATTTATCTATGGATTTATTTATGGATTTAAATCCATTGGTGATTTGGCGGGATTTGAACACAGGACCTCTGGAACCGAATTCCCGCGCTCTAACCACTAGACCAGCTCGCTCCCCATGTAGTATTACTAGTTTGTTTCACAATTCTGATAAATACTTACAATTAGGAGGTCCGTACCAAACCCACTTCATGAACATCAGAACGCACATGTAACCAAACAGCAAGAGAAGGAATAGTACTTGTGGGATGAATTCCAAGAATATGTAAGCATAGTTTTTGAAGAATCTGTAACAAGTAAGTTTTTTGAGTATAGCCAATTGCTCTTACTACACTGACTTATTTTTGTAAATGGAGGTGAAGAAATAACTTCATTAAATATTAACCATTACATCTTTGAGCCCTAGGGGTTATTCTTTTTTTACATTTCTGATAATTATTTCTCTTTTATTGTGAACAAAAATTCAAATCCATAAACACTAGTTTTCAGTTGATACAAACATACTTAGTGTAGTTATTTGTAGCTATTGTAGAGCATCTAGGGCTGGGAAAATTTCAAAGATTCTATTATGCTTGTTGGGTCTACATTCTAAAAAGTAGATCAGTATTGCATTAAGACATAATTCAAGTTTACAGCTATAATTTAGACCAACAACCTCTGACAACAACGCTCTGAGTAGCTGTGTGGTTGAAGCACTCATCAAGGTCGCCGGTTTGATTCCGAAAAAGATAGTTTCTTTACCTAGATGCCGTTTTGTCACTGTCCTATCAATTGCTACTATCTAACGATACGTCGATGTTAGATAGTAACAGGACTAGGCCACCGACCATTTCCTTACAAAATACTCAAAAATAGCATTGGTATGGAGGCAAAATAAAATATATAAATTTGATGGTTAAGTAATTAAATTATTGTATGGTTTTTTAGTGGAGTAGGGTCTAACTCACACCACGTAAATTCAGATGAAGTTATAAAGACAGTGATTTTTTGTTTTATGATTGTTGGACTTACTTAATTTACTACGCTTCATAAAAACAATGAGTAAATTTTGAGGGTAAAGACAGTATTGTCACCTGTGGTTTATTGTGCTCATGTAAACACCAAAAGTCATGTGAAGAACTCCAAAAATGATGGACAACTTCATCTTGTAGGAGTTGAGGAAAATGATTTTGTTTGACGCAGACTGAAAAATATTAAATAATATAGATTACCACAGAAAAATATCAGAGTAGGTACCTAAATAATACCTTAAATGGCATTTGTCCAAGCTATTAACTATAAATAGGTACTAAAATCAATATTCAAGTTTCTATTATCACCAGCTTATCTTTATTTCATAAAACTATGGAAGTGAAAAACAAACTCAAAGCAGTATTGTCTGTGCAAAGTTAACAAATCGATCCATCGCTTTCACACTTCAACATTTAACTTCAGTTTATTTTAATGAGGAAATAATTAAATAACTTTATCATTTTATTTTTTAAGTATCCGTTTCAGTTCAGTTCTTAGAATTGAAAGTTTCACATATAATAGCATTCTTTAATTTCATAACAGCATAGTTTTACTTTATAACAACACGGGTAACGGACCAATGAGGTTCAAGGATTGAGAGAAAAGAAGTAAAATTGTAATGATTCAAACTTCACCTAAACAGCTGTTCCAGGCCAATTTAATTGTTGAGTGGTGCAAAAAGTGTTTGGTACAATGTTTCATTGCATCACTGTCAGTGGCAATGAGAGGTTATAAACGAAAACATAACATCTCTTAGAATTTAAGAGTAGTGATTTTTAGTAATTAAAACACTGTCGTAGGTAAAGTAGTGTATGCAACCCGCATAAATAGTGTTAAGGGCACTCGTAGAAGTTTTTAAGGCACTCGCCAAAAGGCTCGTACCTTAAGTTTTCTACCCGTGTCGTCAACACTTTTTTTTACAAAAAGAGGTTGGAGGCCTCTTTTAACCTTGAATTTGTCCGTCCACATAGACTACAGATCTGTGCATGAAACGTATCCAGGAAAAGCCAAGGGGTCAGCCGGTACAGTATAAAGGTGAACTGTACTGATCAAATGTTTGTGGTAGTGACCAAAATCCGAACTCACGACATCGCTGCCTTGGGCCCGATGTCCGTGACGCTACCAACTGAGCCATCGACTCATCTAAACTATCTATCTTTACACAATCATTGCGTAAACCACTATAATAACCAGACAATTAGCTCATATTTCCTGATTACCTGGAGTGTCTTTTTCCTTACAAACATTGCTGGACAATACTTGATTTAAATTTGATAAACATTATTACAAAAACAAATATATGTATAATACCTGCCACGCTGGATCCATTCCAAACCAATATGGAACCTGAGTATACTGATTGATAGGGTTCAAGTCCAGCTCTCTGTTATAAAGAGTTTCATTCCAGGTAAAGTTGAAGTGCCATTGTGATCCAAATATGTTTGCGCTCTTAGAGAAAATATCGTTATATATCATCCCTGTATACATTGAGAACAACCCCATCAAGAAAATGATGTAGCGCCCACCAAACATCATGTTCCAAATCTGTAAAATCAAGGACATTTTGATAAGTTTTGACATTGAAGACACTTTATATCAATCTAGTAAATGGACTACGTATTTTGTAGTGAAAAATAATAAATAATATCAATTGTTTCTTAGTGGATCAGGTTCTGCAACACAGAAAAAAGTTCTCTTCGCTTAGGTATATCTACTGCATAAAAATGGTAGGCTCCAACATATCACAATACGCTACCAAATAAATAATACCGTATGTCTGAACAAGAACTTAAATATTTTAAAGGCAAATACTGATACCAAATAAGAGACTATGTTTAATGTTTTATTAGCGAATTTCCCTATAGGGAAGTAGCTATTACCGTAGGTCTCATGGTAAGACTTAGGCCCGGGACCGATTTACTTTTTCATTTTAATGTCCCCAGAGGCCAAAAACACCATTCGTTCAAATTTTTATATATGTATATATATATATATATAGGTATATATATATAGATTTATATATATATATATGTGTCCGTGAACACGATAACTTGAGTAATTTTTATCAGATTTTGATGAAATTTGGTTTGAAGGTGTAAGGCGGGATAAACTTGAATGAGTTCGCGATCCAGCATGATCGGTCCATGGGAACAGGGTTTTATGGGGGGTTTTATGGGGTAAAAATTGGTTTTTCTCACTTTTTACCCTCAAAACACAAAATTTCCCAATTTTTCTCTAAACCTTCTTAAAGAGCTTAAAAAAACAAACAATTCAGTATATCAAAGTGTTTTTGTACGGTTATTGGTTACGGAGAAAACTAAAAAAATTGTAAATTTAAAATTCCCATGTTATTCTTATGGAGAATATTGTAAAATGTTGTAGTTTGCTTGTTTATGGATATATTTTGATCAAACTTGGCAAATTTATTTATTTTATAGTAAGCTATCAATATTTTACTAAAAACACACTACTTTATTAGTTTCCTTGTAGCAGCAAACCTAGGTACTCGTTAAACCTAATGTTATTTAAATAGATCAATTGAAAATCAATTCGGCCAAATGGAAATTCGCTTAGACGGCAGGTTTGCTGTGGCGGGGGTATTTTATATATGTATTTAAAGCTTGAATTCTCAAGTTTTATTAGAAGCCTAGTATAACTTTATATGAGCAACATTAGTTGCCCGGCATAACTCTAACTAAATTAGACCTCTTCCCAGGCATTGGTCAGTACTTCAAGGGATGTTGCACCAACACATGCGACTATTCTCTTTCGGGAGGTGATTCAGATCCCGAATCTGCACCGAGTAGACATCATACTTTACTTCCCCTCAAAGGAAAAAGTCCAGAGAAGTCATATCTGGATTCCTTGGAGCCCATTGGATGATCCCTTCCCTGCCAATCCACCGATCGTCAAAACGAGTATCCAGCGCGTCTCGCACACGCAAACTGTAGTGTCGTGGTACTCCATCCTGTTGAAAATAGACAGGGCCATTCTCCATCTCAATGTCACACAACTATGGGGAGAAATACTCCTCTAACATGTCACATTAAATGGCACCGTTTATATCCCCTGATGTACTGGCCAAAACCTGGGAAGAGGTCTAATTTCGCCTAGATTAATGCCGGGCTAATAATGGTGCTCATATCAAGTTATATTAAATTTCTAATAAAACTTTGAGAATTTAAGCTTTAAATACTGTATACTAAAACATTAAACATAGTCTCTTATTTGCCATCAGTATTTGCCTTTAAAATGTTTCAGTTTTTTTTTCGGACACATAAGAGAAAGGATACATTCGGATACATACCTCATTACCAGACTTTTCTTTTAAGAACTTCTTTTCTTTAAGAATCATAAATCCCGCAAAGAGAAACAAGATCAAGCCATGCCCTGCATCACCAAACATGACGGCAAACAGAAATGGAAACGTGATGATTGTGTAGAGACCTGCAACAGAAGGTTATAACAGTAATAAAGAATAAGAAGGCTTATAATAAAGTACATAAAGAGTACCACAAAACTGTGTTCTGGCCTAATATTCAAGGTATTTCAAATTCATCCATGATAAAGTCCAGACATGTCACACTTTTTCATGGTTTTAAAATCACAAACTACAATCTCATCTTTATCAATGAATAATAAATTGTTTGATCAACTTTTTAATTTATATTTTATACGGATAGCAAATGTAAATTTATATGAATTGTCTATTTAAATTTAAAATAAAATGAATAGTCAATTTATTTCTGTTTACCAGGATTCACTTCTCTATACGCTCCAACTCCATAGGCTTCAATGAGGGCGTGAAAGGCATTTGTAAACCTATTTGTCTTGTAATACGTCGGTGGTTCTTCAGTTGTTGGTAACAAATTCACAAAAGAGCCTACAGAGCTGCCAACAGCTTTCTGAAAATTCAACTTTTTAAAGTCAAGAGAATTAATAGTAGAATTAATAGTATACGGTACCTTTAAATTGTATGTGTTTACAAATTAAAACAAAAATTGGAGAATTGAATCCAAGTGAATAGAACATTAGTCTTTAAACAGTTCCTAGCACAGACAATATATACTTTTATGTGACCGTGGGTTTTCAACAGTTGGTTTCTGTTGTCTGTGGTTCCTAGTCAATGCTTTACAACGTTTAATAGAACAAATATATTTTCAAAGACAGCATGTTTGAAAAACTTGGTTCTCAATGGTTAGCATAACTCTAACGTATTGAAAATCAATGGTTATAATATGGCTCAGGTGCCTTTTTTAACAGAAATAAAGAGTTCTTATTCTGTATTGTCAGTTTTTATTTTATGGTATGTTAAAAACTGTAAGTAGACGTTAAGTTCTGTGTTTGAGTTCAAAAGTCAAGAACGTGATAAGGTGACATTGGAAGGACAGTATATTATTGTAGGGTTATTGTTTTAATTTACAAGGTTTAATACAACAAACTTATTTTCAGAGACAGCATGTTTGAAAAACTTGGTTCTCAATGGTTAGCATAACTCCAAAGTATTGAAAATTAATGGTTATAATATGGCTCAGGTGCCTTTTTTATTACAGATAAAGAGTTCTTATTCTGTATTGTCAGTTTTTATTTCATGGTATGTAAAAAACTGTAAGTAGGCTAGACAATAAGTTCTGTGTTGAGTTCAAAAGTCAAGAACGTGATAAGGTGACGATGGAAGGAGAGTACATTATTGTTGGATTGTTGTTTTGTCAACATACAGATTCCTTGTCAAATACCCTCCACCTTATCAAAACTACTACTAACCTGTACTAAAACAAATTCTGATAGCACCAAGAGAAATAAAAAGGTACTGTGACCTACAATATCTATCGAGCCTTAAATTCTTGCCTCCATGGTTTCCCTAGGCACCCTAGGATCTAGATCCTTAGCAAAATTGATTGGCTGACCATAAGAGATGAATCCCTAATTCCTAGTTTGTATCTTCCAAAGCACTTGACACCTTGGGGATAACCCTATCACTCTAGCGAAAGATGAGTGGCCGTTTTCTTTTGCTCCTGACAGAATCTGATTCTCCATGATTCTTGTTTTCTAATAAAGTGACTAATTAAAGGTCCCTTCCCATTCATGAAAGTCTTGTTGGAAGTTATTGTTCCCAAGCAGTTTCTTAATCTGCCTACATCCCATAATGGTCAGCCTTCTTTCTCTTTGCACATTTAGTTTTCTCATCCCATTTATACTCAAAGTATTGATTTTTTCTCCCCAGTAGGCTTTTTTCTGATAAAAAACCATCCCTGTAACTCTTAGTCAACTCACCCCACCCTCGACAAGGGCTGCCTGAACAGTCATCATCTCCTTGTAAGGGACCCAGCATTCTCCAATGAGGCACTTACGGCTGACATCCATGTTGAACAGATTGAGAGTATGATAAACAGCTTTCATCTTCTGCACCATTATACTCCAAGAGTGCAGCTCTTTTGCCACAGAAGATAAAACTCGCTGGCGGTGGTCTTTTGTTTGGTTCAACACCTGTGAGTGGTCAAAGAAAGTTAGAGGAGAAAAATAAGACGGAACTAAATACCACTTTTATAATGTCAAACCCTTTATTATCTTTTCACGGGGGACAAATCAAATGCTGCATTATTATTAGATAAGTAGCCTTTGCAGGATAGTTCATACCAGCACATAGAAGTGAAAACTCAGACATTTGCATTTCCATGGTCTATCGACTATCAAGCACGGCGTCAGCTGAGGAATCAAGCTAGTCAGCAATACATTATAAATCAGAGAGGACTAATATTTGTAATTTTGTAAGTCTTTTGTCTTTATGCTAACTAAACTGGCACTGTTGTGGCAATTTGTGAAATAATATTAATCTTTCACTAAGTTAATCAGTTATTTGTTTTTATTAAACTTCCCCAACAAATAAGAGAAGCTATTACTGTGATCCTCATGGTAGATCCTAAGTTCAGTATTTTTAATTTCTAGACATACCGTGTTAAGATCTGCTATTCGAGCTTTGACTCCTTTAATCATATCCAATCTCTCCAAAGAAGAACTAGGGCATGGGTAGAATGAAGCGTGGAATCCAGTGCAAACCTTCTTCACTCTCCCTTTCAGTTGGTCTCCTTGGTAAAACACCACAAATACTGTCTTTTCCTTTGGTTCCCCCTGTAATGTCATACGTTGTTAGTCAATGGCTAAACCACTGTTGAGAAAAATTGTTTGTCTCCAAATTTATCTAGATATGTCTAAAGGTCGATTCTCACACCTCAGTTAGCACATCACAGTTCAGTCACATCAATCTGGTCTCAGTCAACAGAATTATTCTTTAATGGATTTTCTATTGCACTGTCAACATTCATCCGGCACAGATCCGTCAGACGCTCTGCTGGGGTCCATCAGTTAATTTCAAATTTCTTCCCACCGATATTTTAGGATTGTTTGGACGCCTGACGGAAGTGTTTGAGGTTAGAAAATAGTAAGTACTATGTGTAACAATCAACAAGATAGACGATGAAAACTTGATAGAATATTGTTTTTGAATGAAATAATCTTGCCTGTAACATTACTGTAAATACAGTGACGTAAGACTGACTGATATCAACTGATGGGCAGTTGACTGAGGAATTGCGGATGCAACTGTGACTGGGCTGTAACAGAACTGTGACTGGACTCATGGGTGTGAATTGACCTTGAATATAATGTAAAGGCCAGACTCCTAATGGACAGTCTTCAAATATTAAACAATGAAAACCCTGTTATAACTAAAAGGGTATTGTTTGAAAAAAGAGGTAAGTAGGAATAAATGTACAGGGGTTTTATTGAGTGTGTTGAAGGCTCGTGGTTATACTGTCTTGGACTTAGATCTAGAGTGATATGTTTAGTTCATCCACAAATCTAAAGGCTTTGTACTGCTTTCGCCTAAAAGTATTAGGCACAAAAAAGTGCTTGGATTCAAGTAAAATTAACATACAAAGTGAATGGCATCAAAGTGTACTGTTTAAATTAAGGCAAAAAAGTATTGAAAAGTGTTTAAGTTATTAAAAATAGAATATATAACCTTTCAAGTTGAGCCAAGTATTTGTTTCAAAATACTTACAGTCACTGGATCTTCGAGGGGAGTTTCAATATCAACTTGTCGCAAGAAAACATTTCCTCGGGAAATCCTCCAAAGCATTCTTTCAAATCCCTCTTTTTTCCTTCGAGGAATAACTCCAGCAACAAATCTAATATTATAACATTGTTTGTAGTGAATTTTGATCAATCTGGTTCAATTCAATTTGGGTAAACAAACCTAGACTTTTAAGTTTATAACTCAGAAATTTAAACTTCACAAAGATAAAAATCCTTGTATTACCTATCCTTGTAAAGATAATTATTGTATTATGAATAAAGTACGCCATTCTTAAACATAACATCTCTAAAGGTCTTATGAGTATTTTTCCTTTTGAGAGTGGAAGTGATAAACATGAAAATATGCTGACAATTCTCAATACAATTCAGGTTCTTAGAACTACATTCTTTTGGTTAACTTAGGGAGTCCAAGATGTCAAAGTTTCTTCACTCCTTGAATAAAAAATAATATATAAACTACTTTACTATTTTTTTACCCTAGCTGGCCTCGATCTTCTATGTTGGTGTCACTTGCAATTCCTCCTTCTTCTTGCTGTAACAAATAAAATAGTATCTCACCTATGTCATTAGGAGAACATAACGATCACATCCAATCATAATTAAATTGTAGATCTAAACTATAAACCAATTTGACTATCCTTACTTTTAAAGGGGTCACATTTTGGTAAATCATTGACCATAATTATTTGTGTGATAAAACTATCAAATTATTCATTAAAAAAATCATTATTTGTTTAGTCATTGGTTATATTTAAAGGAAAGCCAAGTTGCAATACAATATTTTTTTAAGGAATAGAGTTCAGCTAGAGTAAGCCTGAGAATGTTAATATAGAGGCTTATAAAAGATGGATTGATACACAATAAAAAAGGTTACTAAAAATCTGTGTTATGACCTTTTACTGCGTATCTTTTATCCACTAGATTCCAATTTTCTTAGGCTAGATATATAACTTTTCCAAAAATTCCCATTCTTTACTAGTACTACAGAGAACTAGTACCACAGAGTATAAAGGTACAGAGGTATTCAATGGTACACTTAAGTGATGTCTAGCACCAGTCGCTGGTGTCTAGAGCAAATTCCATTCCTTGTCCCCTTCCGTTTTCCTTTCCCCTCTCGCCATCACTACAGCGTTGACACTGTAGGAAGACCCTGAGAACTACAACTTACAACTTGTACAAAAATGTGATGAGGCCATCGCCTTTTGGGCTCTTCCAGGCTTGGAACAAATACAGTACGTTTCTGCCAAAAAATACCAGAGCTAAAAGCGCACGGTTGTCCCATGAGCTTGTATCCTCTGTATCTTGCTTCTATGTGCTAGTTCTCAATAGCTACAAATCACCATGTCTACTAGTAGTAGACGGTTGCTAACCAGTTTTGTGTAGTTAAAAGTTTGAGTTAACACAAATAACTTTTTATCGGGATGCGATGCTGGATCCAATTAAATTGCAACTTTGCATGATAATCTTTGACAGCTTAAGAAACTGCCGTAAAAGGGATGGTCTCTAAAACCCCTGAAAACCACCTCTAGGGTTTTCTCTGAGTTGTAAAAGCCAAACAAATCAATATAACCGTTTAAAACTGCATCACACCAAAACACATTAACATTGCTTTTCAATATATGTTCAGAAAAAAGTTTGATATAGCAAAAATGTAATTGGTTTTCTAAAAATTAGTTAAAGATCCCCCAGAACTCTGGCCCAGGGCCGGATTTCCCAATAGGCCCGGTGAAAATGGTCAAGTTTCATCAAGTCATTTCAAAATGGCGGCTGATCAAAACTATAAAAAATTATGAGGAAAATAATTGTGAATTGTTTTATACAGGGATAGTTTTAAAAGAGTTTCCCCATACTTTTTTATACATTTCTTAAGATATCAACTTTGAACCATGTCAGATCATTGTAGAGTAGCAAGAACTTCATTTTGACTGGATTTACATTTTTGGCCGCCATCTTGGATCCGCCATTTTGGAAACAAAGTTTTTTTTCAAATGTAAAGATAGGGTTGTGACCCACCGTTTCAAACAAAACCTTTACGCTGAATACGATGCTGCAATCCGTTTAAAAAAATGTTGATCCATTCTAAAGTTATGAGAACTTTTGATAACTTTATTTTTAGTCCATTATAACATTGTGCATTTACAAACTAAGGCCATAATCTCAAAATAGTGCTAGATAAAGATAAGTGGACACCACCATTCATTGTTGACCTATTTTAACTCGATTATGACTGATGTATTTGTTTCAGCCGCCATCTTGGATCCGCCATTTTGAAATGTGATAAATTATTTTAAATATGAAGGTGGTGTTGTGACCCATCATTTTGAACTACTTTTTTATGTTGAATTCAATGCTGCAATCCGTTTTTCATTGTCATGTTTGGTTTTTGAAATATTGACATTTTAAATAAAAATCATTGTTATATTTTATCAAGAAAGCTTGATAACAAAAAACGGATACAATAAAAACTAGTCGAAATGAAGTAATCGCTACTCTACAATTATCTGACGTGGTTCGGAGTTGATATCTTAAGAAAAGTATAAAAAAGTAGAGGGGGAACTCATTTAAAAGTCACCCTGTATAAAACAATTCACAATTATTTTCCTCATCATTTCTTTAGTTTTGAATGGCCGCCATTTTGAAATGACTTGATGAAACTTGACCATTTTCAACCCAGGCCGAGATAATGTATTCAAGCACTTGTGTGCCAAATTTCATGAAAATCGGTTCAGGCATTCGGTCGTTATAGCCAATTCATGGGGACCCAGCATCCTCTTACGGCCGCCATTTTGATGACGTCATTACGGACGACCGAGGTCCTTAAAAATTGGGGTCTGGGCGGTTTTAGGTTCAGAAACTTGTATACTATAACCACCTAAAATTGCAGCCTGTCTGCCAGAACTGAAATATTTTCCTGCTACCCAACCTGACTAAAGGGGTACGCATCGTATTGCCACTATGCTGGCTCGGACTCGGCACTACTGATCAGAGTGATTAGGGGCGCATGCAGACATTGTTACCATACCACCCTCACCACACAAAACAAAAGTTATTAACTAATATTTTGATTAGTTTACACCAATCTGCAGGATCAAGTTAAAATATATAATACGTTGTGTTGAATATTAAAACAAATTTATCTTTAAATTTAACGAAAAAATATTAATTTCAGTTTGCATTAGATTTTAGAAAAATTCAATACCCTCCAAAGCACCATTAATGCTGTCATTTTCTCCTCAGACCTAAGGATCGGTATGGTTGGCCGGAATATTGCTCTGTTTTGCTTTGGAAATATATAACCTAGATGCAGTACGACCATAGATTAAATATAACTCCAAGTCGACTTCTTATGACTTCTTATTGTTAATTCAAACTTTTCTCATGTCTTGTACATGTTGGTGACACTAGACGTTAGTTTTGACGTAATTTTGTTTCTATTATTTTAGGGTTAGTTCTATAATGTGTGTTTTAATTTCTTATAATATAAACAGTAGATGAAATATTGTTGATGATTAGATCGTTTTATTTTGGAAAACTAGGTTTAAACATTGATAAAACCTATAAAACATGCTCCTTAAATAACAAGAATTGTTTTCAGCTAATCCAAAATGATGACAAATCTACTTAAGGCATGTTTAATCTATGGTATCACGTACTGTATGGAGTTCATGTTTTTGGACCTGGAATTGGAATCAATGGCCATGTTTTTTTGCAGGAATGCTCGATGGGTTGAGTTGTTTTGTTTCAGTCCCATGGCCACAAACGTGAGCATTTATTAAAAGCATAAAATTGCTAAAAGTGTTTAAGACGGCATATTGTTAAGGCTAAACAAGTCAATTCTAAAAAAAACTTGCAATGATTCCAACGTGGAGTGGTATTCAAGCAATTAACTTAGGCCTATGGGCATGATATAGTTTTTAAAGAAGGAAAGTAACTGCGTGACCAGACTAAAGGGGCGGAAAATTATTTGGGCCTAGGGGCGCAAATATGCTAAATCCGGCCCTGCTCTGGCCGAGATCCGTTTTACTTGTAATAAAATAATTCTGTATCAATTCCAAGCTTCATTCTGTTATTACTGAACCTACTTGAGAACTTTTACATTAAATGCCTTTATGTATTCTGTGGTTTAAAAAGTTCATCAGTAATATATCTATTATCTATTAAAGTTTCTATTACATAAAGACATAAATACATTTTAAAAGTTATAACATTTTTTCAAGACACAACAGAGAAAGACATACCTCCTGAAAGAATGGTTGAGTTTTCTCCAAGACAAGCTTGAGCTCAGTCAGTTCTAGGAAGTTGAGTTTTAAGTTTACCGAGCTTGAACTGGATTCAATTATTTCCATCTCTGTATGCTCGAGTTGTGCCTTAAAAATACAATTAAAAGATACATTTTAATGTTAAAAGTGATATGCAACATTGAATTAAATGTAAACTTAAAATATATAGTCTTATCAATTTTTTTTTTAATCTTTTTGGCTCAATCTTAGTGTTCAAACAAACACTAAATGGGGCAATGCTTTGGGGGTACTTTAGTATTATACGGAAGGCCACCACTTAAACAGCGTGTGCGGCGGTAATGTTAGGTTGGGTTATCATAAATAGAAAGTATGACTCATCTGGTATCGTTCGAATCATAACGAGGAAAAGTCCTATAAACATATTTATGATAACCCAACCTAACATAACAGCCGCAGCACGCTGTAAAATAAGTGGCTTCCGTAAAATACACAAGTACCGCTTTGGGTCATAGTTATCACTATTCTCAGATGCCACTCAAATCATTGACAGGTGTGCAAGTTTCTCTTAATATTGACACCTTTGAAACACCGGTATACAGCAGACTTTACTACCAAGCCTAGAAAATAATCCATGATGTGATTCGCATGGCTATGAAGGCCAGTTCATCTACCCTTCTCAGCTTCTAACAAAATAATTTACTCTACTAAATAGTTTAATAATCAATAAAGCTAGAAATTTATGGTTTAGTGTGGTATGCTCAATCTTTCTAAAAACTCATCCAGGTCAACGTCATTCAACCGTAGAAGATGATTTAGAAGTTTAAATCACCACATATCACTGATGTGAGAACCTGCGCTAGAATTTTCTTTCAAGAAACTAAATTTGTTTAAAGATTGCATTTTAGATTGCTCTTAAGCAATCGGCTTAACACATTTGCATCCATGCACTAAACCTTGCATTTCAACATTGCTTTTACATGTTTCATTTTATTTTTTTAAAGTTGTGCAGAAAAAATACCCTATAAAAAACCAAAACAACAGGGTGGAAAACATAACATATATTTGCAATTACAACTTGCAAAAATGTGTTGCATGCAATTAAAATATTTTGTGTACAATTTAAATGTAATAAGTGGCTTTTTGTATTTAGCTTGCACTAGATTCTGAAGTGGCTTCAATAAGTGTTTTCAAACAGTGTCACTGTCTCAGTTCAAACTTTTGATAACCTTATCAATTTGTACCTGTTGTAATGTGTTGTCATTCAACATTTAACCACTGGTACTGATATAAGATAGTATTATCTATTTCTCAATTGGGCTGAAAATTCCAGGAATGACTTTGTTTAATGGTAGTATGGTTGTTTAGTAAAAGAACTTTTGTATCTGTCGACATATTTCCCCTAACTTTAAATATTGAAGAATTATTTTTTACTATAAATTGGTGTAAAAATTATTTAATTATTATTAATTAAATTAATAATAATAATTATTATTAATAACTATTAAATTATTTATTTATTTATTGGTATACAAATTATTTTTAAAGACCAGCTGTAAGTAGTTTTTTACTCAAAGACAAAATAGTCGAATTAATTAACTATCATAGAGTGTGCTACGATTTAAATTCTATTTTCCTTTTAGTTCATATAAGATGGGGTTACGGCTTATGCATACTTCAACCAAAATATGATTGGAAAATGGGTATAATGCCTTGTAGCTTAATTAGTGACCAAAACTGGTGTATCTTCAACCAAGACCTTTTATTAAAAGCCCACAGGTCAAGAACCACTGGTTATAGTTTAAAAACATGAAACAAACTAGTGAATTTTCTCCGTTATTGAACTGGTGACTTTAGGTCAGATTTTTAGACTCCTAAATACCACTCAGCTACCCAGCCATACGTGGTGCCCGGGACAGTTGAATTTTAAAAAAGTGAAAAAGATAGAGCTTCAAAACTTTGTACACAGTTACTGGGTATTCAAACCATTTTAACTCATTATTCAGTGATGTGCTAAGTCCTAAGGGGGACGGCCCGCTAGGAGTCAGAAAAAATCTTAAATTCAAGCATAGGTTGATATGCACATCAATTTAAAGGCCTTTACTATTAGAATACAATGCCACAAATTTAAACTCAAACCGTCAACCGAGTCGAAAATGGCAGCCATTTAAAGGTTTCTTGAATCTGCCATTTTGAATCTATGAGCGGCTGCCATTTTTTACTCAGTAGTTTTTTTTAGCTCAAATTTGCGTCATTGTATTCTAAAGAAGTATTTTTTCGAACTATGCATACGTTTATGATTTTCTTTCGACTTCTAGCGCCTCCCTCTGAGGAGGTTGTGTATAATAGCAATGCAAATTCAATGCATCTTTGAATATTGAATATCTGTCATTTTTGATTCGGTTGTCAGATTGAGTTTGGGTTCGCAGCATTGTATTCTACTAGTAAAGACCTTTAATTTGATGTGCATATCAACCTATGCTTAGATTTAAGATTTTCTTCTTACTCCTAGTGTGCTGGAGGTAGCGCCTCACTAAATCATGTGTTAAAAAGATTTGAATGCCCAGTAACTATGTACCAAGTATGCCAAGTTTAGAAGTTCATCTTTATTACTTTTTGAAATATTGAACTGTCCCGGGACTTTTTCCACGCTGTATATTCTTCATACACTACTACCATAGTTAATTAGGACATAGCAGAAACTTAAGGTTTGGTTATACTTTTAGTTTGGGATGATTAAAAAGTAGAAGAATAAAAATGCTGTTTAGCAGAACACTTTGTTGGTGGTTTAAACTAAGTTCTTTTACATGTTGGTTTTGGATCCAGGCTTCATAGACATTACTTTTTTAATTTTTAGGTTTATTAGTTTTTAAAAATATTTATTTCATTGAATGGGCTTAAAAAGTATAGTTTTCATCATTATACTCAATGTACTATGCTTTCAATTTTATGTTTTTATGCAGTAAAATGTAACACATTTAATAATTCCTAAAGTTGGCTAATTGATCAATTTTGTTCAACTATAGTGGGTCATTTTGTAGTTATACCAACTAACTAAAATCCTAGGTATTATTTGATATTTAGGATGATTAGTGTGCATTGTATAAAGGTTTATAAATAAACAAAAAAAATTTTAGTTATTATAAAATTGAAAAAATAATTTAACCTATGTTGATAGTTAGCCCAAAAAGTGTGTAAATACAATGAAGAACATCTGGTAAAAAATTTAACTTGATAGTTAGGTAAATATTTGGCTGAGATTTGTACACTTTTCTGTTACAAAACACGAAAATAAAACATTGTTGATAATTGCGATAGAAGAACAACACGTCCTCCCACTGTAGGCCTGCAGTATCATAGGAAAATGTATGTTTTTACATGAAAACCTTATCAGATTGCAAAAAAATTCATATTCAGAAACTACCAAAGAGCATAGAAATGATTTTTTTTATTCAAATTTTGACCAATGTTTCACTTTCTGAAACCTGGATCTAAATATGGGGATTAAATTATTTTCTTTCTTTATTTTTTAGTTTAAAAGAGTAAAATGTACCGTGTATTGTATAGTTAAAAGTACTACCTGAGTAAAAAGAGTTTGATAATTCCTTAAAAAGTTGAAAAATAAATACTTTTGACCTTACCTCTAAGTCAATTATTTGTCTAGGGTTTGGAGCTGCAGGGTTTTTGTCACATGGAGGAATTTTAACATTTTCTTTGACGATTTCAGCTTCAATATATCGCAGTTTGCGTTCCATCTCATCACACCGCCGAACCTCAGATGTGAATTTCCGTTGGAAGTTATTCACACCCTCATTTAGCTGGAAAATATTAATTTATAAACATGTGTGAACATAACTTTCTTAATAGAGTAGACTAGACATACATTTTTGTCTTAGGACGCTATAGGCACTAGCCAGGGGTTGTTTTTCCACTTTACTTCAAGCTAGACCTAGAAGTTGTGGAATTATAACATGGATAAAATCCATTGGTGATTTAGCGGGATTTGAACCCAGGACCTCAGGAACCAAAGTCCCATTCTCTACCACTAGATCAGCTCGATCCCCCAGACTACACATACTAAACATAATGCATTATTTTTATCTTTTCGTTTTTATTTTTGTTTAGTGCCATGTGAATTAAAATATATTTTTAAGTTTGAGCCTTTTTTCTATTGGTTTAGTTTATAGAATACATTTTTCACTCTACATAAACATCCCAATTCATCTTTCACATCTTGTTAACAATTTATCTGTTTGTTTTATTTTTAGGGATGAAGTTAAAGTTTATAATCAACAGGATTTCATCTGAAGCAGGAAAAAATACAGTATAACAAATTAAAATGGATTTACAATGATCATGAGGTTTATCCCAATAATTATTTTCAATATTTAGCATAGTTAAGAATACTAAAGTTTCAATATCTTGAAGAGATCTTTAAAGATCTTGAAAGATCTTTAAAGATCTTTAAAGTTTCAAAAAGGTGTAATATAAAATTAACATACACAAAACTTTTCACTTGAGTTGATTTTGAGATGTATTAAAAGACAATAAAAAAATCTGTTTCTGCATTTCTATTACAAATGGTATCAATTAAATCGGCAATCAGGATTCACACGAGCACAAGAACCTTTCTCCCAACTTCATCGCCTTTATTATTTTGTGCAGTAATTTCAACAATGAAATGCTGTTGGATCAATTTAATACCAATAGCTCCTAGTGGTGTGACTCATAGTTTCGTTGGGAACTTTTCCCTCATCCCGGTATAGAGAACGGGTACCTCTGCTTTTTAATGAGTTAATATCTACCCCTGCATACTAGTGAAAATTGAACTTACGTCCCGGAACTGAACTATCCCCTCTTCTCCTAGGAGAGATAGGGACGAGTAAGCAGCTTCCGGCTGAAGGAACAGCTGACATAACGCCATTTCCTCGCTCCGAAACATTGCCCCCATGTTGGCTTCTGCTAAACATTTACACACAACCAGTTAAGAGAAGAAAAGTCAACATTGCTCCAGATTACTAAAAATAATTAAATAAATTGAAATACAAACGAACCTAATTAGCTTACCTAATAGTACAGTAAACACTCAATTATCTGGGTCTCATTTGTAACTTTGCTTAATGCGGACAACTATTTGATAGCAGTGTGAAAAATGTTAACAGCTAGAGCTATGAATGTGTTACTGTGAAATATGCAGGTTTGTTATACAGTTTATAATGCTTCAGTAATTGAAAGGTTTTAAAAATACAGTAGAGTCCCGCAAACTCGGCACTCGATAGCCTGGCATCCTGGATAACTCGGCCATCACCTGGTTCATAAAATTAGTGATTTTTTGAGTCCAAGTAAAACATTGATTCAAACCAGCTCAAGTCAAATCATTTGTAATTTATTGTACTATATCTGACAACTTAATACCCTACTGACTTGTAATATAAAAACTAATAAAAAAGGTGGTTAAAATGCTTTTATTGTTCTTATTTTTGACCCTAGTTCCTTATAACCCGGCATTTTACAAACTCGGCACCCTTCCAGTCCACATTACGCAGAGTTTGAGGGACTCCACTGTATATAGAATGCACTATTTAAGCTTTCTTTTTTAAAATGTGTTTCGTCATACACAAGGGCTACTCATGAACCATGTTGACGACTAGTAGATGCAGGGAAAATTTAATAAATGGGCCCAGAAGCGCAAGTATGAGTAAATTCCCTTGTGGGTAAGGGTAAAGGGGCCACATTTATATTTCAAGTCAGAGTAGATGTGCTTATTTATTACATATGTAAGAATTGATTCAATCAACATATAGCTCATTTTCTATTGATAATTATTATAAATTAAAATAAGCTTAAATGTTGTTTTGTTCAATCGCCTTCCAGGAAAAAGAAAAGTGGTGGGCTAAGTATACATTTATTTTGCCCACTACTTTTCCTCAATCCAGATAATAACTGAAAAAAAAACAAAATTTCATAAAATGAGCAAATTAAAACTTTGAAAATCAGCAGTTTTACAAACCAATTCTAGTGACAACTGTAGACACACATATTTTACAGAGTAACTGTAAAAAAAAGAAATTGAAAAAATAGAAAGAAAATAACGAAAAAACTAACCTAAAATCTTAAAATCAATATAGCTTGGAAAATAAAAAACCAAATAGCAGTTACTAAAGCCTACTAGTCACCGATTTATTTTCTTTTACAATGGATCTAATTTTCTAACTGAACCGATGCTCCATCGATTTTGATGTTATTTTAATCATAGTTTGCACTCTGGTGGTGAATAATAGACCAGAAGAATAATAAATCACACTGAAGGATGTTACTAAAATGTATATCCTATCCATCAAAATATATATATTTACATAAGAAATGTAAATAATAGTTTGTTCCAAAAGGGCTCCCAAAAGTATAGGCCTAATTGACAAAGATGATTTCAAATAATTTATAACGAACAAAATACTTCTTGATGTGTATTAGTAGTCATGGAAATAATTACCACTTGTTTTCCAGGAAAATGTTATTATCTTTAATTAACTTGATTTGCACATGTGATTCTACTTTCGAGTGGCATACCTCCAATGGCTTAACAACAGTGGTAATTCTCACTGCTTCATTTGAAGTCTTAAACCAATCCTCATTGATAAGAAATCACATGGTTTGTTGCACAATATTATTTGGGAAAAGTTATGTAAGCTGGCTTAGGACTTTGTTGCCCTCAAAAAAATTTTTTTAATAAAACCCCTTTCCAAGTTTTGTTACATTAAAGTTCAATTATAATAGTATATAAAATTATTATATTTATTCTTGATTTATTTAAGCCTGAGTTTTTTTTCTCTTATTCAACTAAAATAATTATATACAGAGTGTCAATAAAATAATCATCGGGGTTTAATTACATATATATCATTTAATGTTTGTTCCATGACACTGTGTCGTGATTAAAGATAATTTTTTAAAGTTTAATAATGAAACGTTCATTGGTCATCGTTTCTCTTTAAGTTTACTTTCATCAGTTGTTGGCTAACATTGAAGCCAACATTGACCCCTTCTATGTGTTGAAATATGGTAACAGTGCTTCTAACTAACTGTAACTATTGTTGCATATCTGTACATGTTGGAACAAGGGTTGTTTCCCCAACTTGAAGAGGGTATGGAAGACTTTGTGTTGCAGCAAGGTATGGCTACACCTCATTGGCCTGTGGTGTCAAAAGTTTTTTAATAAAGAGACTTCCTGATGATTAGAGGGGCCGCTGTGCTGAGGATGACTTAAGCTCTCCTAAGGCGGCCACCCCTTCCCCGGACCTTACTGTATGTGATTTTGTTCTCTGCTGGAGCTATGAGAAGGACAGTGACATCCTGCCATTAGCTCAACCCCTGCCAGAGCACCGAGAAAGGATTTGTGTTGCAGTAACAACAGTAAGACTGGATATGCATACCAACGTTTGGGCAGACGAGTTGAACATACACTGGAAACATGTTTTGCTGTAAACGGACAGCATATTGAGCAGCTTTAGTGATATCAAACAAAACTTGAGAGCTTTCTCTTTCAATCCATGCAGTTTATAGTAGCATTCATATATCTGAACGTCCAATAAAGTATTTTAAAACCTGATGAATATTTTATGGACACCCGGTATAATAACTAAGATCTGCATACTTAAATCAATCAAAATTTCATACAATTTTGTAACGATTTATGTATTGTGTTTTATTCTGAACTGAAATTATGCTACATATTAAGGAAACTATTATGCTTCTTCTGCAAATGCAATGCAAGACATTTATAGATTTCCTGAATATTAACTACTTAATTATTATTTTTATTTTTGTCTACAGACACATTCATTGGTTAATTTAAGATATATAATTCCATATAATATGCTTACCGCTTTTCCCTACCTTTAAAATAGTTTATCTTGAAATTATAAAACTAATTTGATGTAGAGAAAGAGTTAAAAACTTACTTTATCTCAATGAGTGTAAGATGACTTCAGCTAGACTAGTAACAATTTCTGATATCTGGGAGTGAATGTCATTCCTGTCAGAAAAAAATCATGCTGTTATCAATTGATAACAATAAAACAACTGTACTTGTGATAAACAATGTAAAATCAGCTGAGTTTACCTGTAATCTTGAGATTGCCTTATAGTTTTATACATGCCCTAGTAGTTGTCACTATATGCCTAGATCCATAGTAAATTCCAAACAGAGATGTTGTATATTTTTACAACTAATAAGTTTTCCACTAAGTTTATCACTATAGTTGCGGCAATTAGTTGCTTTTCCTACATAATACAGCAACTTTTTCTATCTTCCACTAAATTTTGGTTTCCCAGAGAGTGTTGATGGTCAATGAATGATCAAAGAAAGTAGACTACAAAAAGTGGAAGATTTGTTGTTGTGCGCTTTGCAGATTTTGAGATTTTCAACAAATAACTGAGACTTTGTGTAGGAATCACCAGTGTAGCCAAAAAACTTAACCGCTAGCTTTTCTTAGATAGGTAAGGCTTTTCTATAGTTTGTGTCACGTTTCTTGATTTTATGTCCGATCATTGAAATAAAACATTTAAGATGTCACTACACGGGTCATTCTCTGAAAGTTTGTTATACTCCTTTTGCACCTCAGCTTACCACTTAATGTATTGGCGTCATCTTCTCGGAGATTAGCTATCATGTCACTGCCACTGCCACTGTACCTCCCTTGCCATCAACAAGGGTCTCAACCAATATCTTCGGGTACCTCTTGTACAGTGGCTGGCTAGTGACACAGGCAGCCACGGCAATGATTGCATCTTCTTCATCTGACATCCTTGACATTACTGGGCTATTTCCCGCTAAGACTTTGGTAACAAGTTTTCCACTTGTTACTCTAAATTAATGAATAAAGAGCAACTTTTAGTTTTCCATACAAAAATCTTCCACTAGCTCCACTAATTTTTTTGAGCAACTTTTAGTTGTCATGTTAAGTTTGGTGTGACCTTTATCGTGCCAACATCTCACACTTATATAGCCTATACAGGCTGACAATTAAGTCTAGGACGACTTTATAACTTTAAAACAAAAAGAGATATCACAACAAAATTTGCCATATCATTACTGGTAAAAGTAAGCTACTTTTTTGTGTACCTGGTGATCGATGTCACCTATGGGGGACATCTCATAGGGAGTAAGTTTAAAATCTTAAAGGTAAGCATAGGTTAATTTATACATCAAATTAAAGGTCTTGTTGAACTAAAAAAATTACTGCAAACCGGACCTCAAATGGACAACCGGAGTCAAAAATGGCAGCCGTTCAAAGATTTCTTGAATCTACCATTTGAATCTTTAAATGGCTGCCATCTTAACTCAGTTGTTCTTTTGAGCTCAACATGTCGGCATTGTATTGTACTAATAAATCTTCAATTTGATGTGCATATCGACCTATACTTACGTTTATGATTTTCTCCCGTCTTCTAGCGGGCGTCCTCCTGAGCAGGTAGCGTACGCTGTATAATAGAAATGCAAATTCAATGAATATTTGAACGGCTGTAATTTTTTACTCAATTGTCCATTTGAGGTTCAGTTTGCGGCATTGTTTTTAGTTCAACAAGAGCTTTAATTAACTTAATGTATGAGGGGGTTTTTTAAAGGGCCGGTTTTGTGTATATAAATAAATCCGTAGTTCGCTTGTACGCCACAACGAGGCTCATCACCATTTACGAGCATCATTTGTGAACAGAATGAAACAAATTTTAGCTCTGTAGCTGTCATGGACGCTTCGCTATGTGTGTTATTAATTTGTTTGTGTTTTTAAAAGTCTCATTTACTCCCTTTTAAAATAACATTAGTTTGATGAATACTTGGGTTTACAAGGGAAGGTAATGGAGAGTTTTCATAGTAAACTGTTCATAATTTAGTATGAAAATAACTAATTTCTTAAAATTCTATCAAAATAATTTCATATACCATAAGAGACCGTCCACATATTACATAACAAGTTTGTCGTCAACTCTAAACCCCTCCCTACCCTCCTGTGATGCTGCGTAACGCAAGCCAACCCCTCCCTCCCCTTGTGTAACGTAACGCTGTCAGATACTTGTTTAAAAAGGTAGTGATGGAGTACGAAATCTAGGTGAAATTTTCTCCTGAAATAATAAAAAATTGTTTAACATTGGTTTTGAAGTAAAAGTTCATCACTAAACAACTATTTTATGAACAAACTTTAAGGTTTATTTGAATAAAATATCTAAACTGATTAAAGGTAACAAAAAACGTAATTTTATCAGCAATTATTGAATACTAAACACTTCTGTTTATAAGTGTCTTTTTAGGTACCGTTGTACTTCTGAATAAATTTGCAGTCATTATATAAGCTCTTATGATTGCCTGTATCAAGCAATTCATTTTTTACTTGCAGCTTTGCCAAAGCTTTGCAAATTTCATTCTTTGGAAGTCGGAACTCTATCAAATGCCTTAACCCTCTGTGATCGGAATGAATATTTGCCGCTATTCCTCAGCGGTCGCGCTATGTTTTCTTTTGTAATATTCTAAACTGACTGTTGCATGAGGGTCATAATCTCGAGTCATCTGGCGATGAATGTCAGCATTTGATATGTTTCTTGTGATAAAAAAAACACTACCACTGACCTTACCTCCGACACGGCTGAAGATTTGACTGTTTTTAAAAAAACGTTGACTTCGGATATAGTCCAGGATCTGAAGGGGGTTGAGGATGCATGGAAATCCTGACGCAAATTTATTTCTGATTGTTGTTATAGGCACTATAGTGATCATGAAAACCCACGTTGTCGCCCACATAGCGTGGTCGACATCCCCGGGTAGAGGAGAGAATATGGTGGGGGCGCCGCGGCCGTTTCCTAAACGCTTATAACTCTAGAACCATTTCGGATAGAATATTGAAATAAATGACAATTTACTCATTAAATTATGACCTTCGAAAAAGGTTATTATGTTTAAATCCGTATCTAGGTTGGTTTTTTTTTATTTTATTATATAATTATACTCATTTTATACTGAAGCTAATATCCTTCAGTCTTAAAAAGGTAGGTTTTTATGATAAATATCTAGATACAAAACTGTACAAGCGTATCTATGTTGGTTAAAAATATTAAGCCGTTACGGGACTTTTTTAAGACTGCGTTTTGAAGATTTTAGCTTAGGAATCAAATAATATGTAATTACTAAAAAAAAATACCCCCGCCGCAGCAAACCTGCCGACTAAGCGAATTTCCATTTGTCTGAATTGATTTTCAATCAAATCTATTTAAACAACATTAGGTTTAATGAGTACCTAGGTTTGCTGCTACAAGGAGACTAATAAAGTGTGTTTTAAGTAAAATATAAATAGCTTAGTATAAAATAAATAAATTTGCCAAGTTTGATCAAAATATATCCATAAACAAGCAAACTACAACATTTTACAATATTCTCCATAAGAATAACATGGGAATTATAAATTTACAATTTTTTGAATTTTCTCTGTTACCGGTACCAATAATTGTACTTTGATATACTAAATTATTTGTTTTTTTTAAGCTCTTTAAAAAAGTCTAAAGAGAAATTGGGAAATTTTGTGTTTTGAGGGTAAAAAATGAGAAAAACCAATTTATACCCCATAAAACTTCCCGTTCCCTGTTCCCATGGTCCGATCATGCTGGTTCGCGAACTCATTAAAGTTTATCCCGCCTTTCAACCAAACTTCATCAAAATCGGACAAAATTTACTCAAGTTATCGCGTTCACGGACGTATATATATACATATATAAAAATTGGAACGAATGGTGTTTTTGGCCTCTGGGGACATCAAAATGAAAAAGTAAATCGGTCCCGGGCCTAGGTCTTACCGTGCCACCTACGGTAATAGCTATACTTCCCTATAGGGAAATTCGCTAAGAGATATAGATTTAGAAATAATAACATTTTTTTAAGGTCATACTTATGAGTAAATTGGCATTCATTTCAATGTTCTATCTAAAATGGGTCTCCATTTATAATCATTTTAGCAGGAGTATGTTTTATCTATGATTTTAGTAACGCCCCCCCTGCCATATTCCTCCTCCACCTGGGGATGTCGACCACGCTGGGGGCGACAACATCAGTTTTCATGATCACTATGGTACCTACAGTATAACAACAATCATAAATACAAATGTGCCAGGCTTTCCATACATACTCAACCCCCTTCAGATCCTGGACTAATATTTTAATTACAGAGTAGTTCTTTCATTATCTTTTGTGAGATCTAGAAGCTTTCGGGGCGGTGTGTGGTTGTGTTACTGTCTGGTGTAGAGTGCTTGAATGCTGTGATACCGACTAACCGACTAAATGATTTTCTACATTTTGTATGCTATACCAGAAGAAAATACATATTTAAAAATATATCATTTATTTTATATAGCCTAAGTAATTTTCAAAATAGTATAACCATAGACTAACCAACACAAGTAGACTTCTCATTCCATTGTAAATTTTGAAGCACGTTTTTCGTGTCTAGTTCATGTACGTGACACATGGGCGCTAGTCTCGACGAAACTTTGTTTCTATTATTTCATGATTAATTTCTTGATTTGTGCTTTACTGTTTGGTTACATAACTAGGGGACAGGTTATTGTTTATGATTAGATCGTATTATTTGGTTAAACGAGGTTTTAAATGGCTGTAATAACGGAAAACAAATTGTAAACAAAACACGACCTCTACATAAACCGTACAGAACTAACAATAAAATTGTCTTCAGCTGTACCATAAGGATGAGAAATCTACTAAGGGAGTATGTTTTATCTATGGTATAACATCCTAATTAGAAAAAGTACATCAATGGACTTAAGCATTACCACACTCAAAATCAAGCCATACAATTGTCTTTAGCTATAGTCCAATCTTTACATCACCTGATTCATATGGATAGGTATAAATTAAACTGAGGCAATATCTTTAATCTATGCAACGATTAACACTGATGTAATATAGTGCTTGTTGTCTGTGAATGAATGTATTTTCATTTTTTTACCTTCCAGCTGTGTCTGTCGTCTGCCGACTGTCTGCTGCTGCTCTGCTCTTTTTTGCAGTTAGTAATGATAATTAATGACTGAAAGTAATCTACAAAATTTTTCAAATTAAGCCCGTTAGAAAACTAAACCTATTTAGATATGAGAATTTTGAAATTTTAAATTAATTTACTGTGACACATACCCTAAAAATCAGGTAGGCTATTTGTTTACGTCATTCAACCACCTTTCTATGACCTAACCTCTGATCTTATGTTGTGTTTTTGTTTCTTGAGGGCATATTAAGTTAACAGGTTTGAATTTCACGGAGAATTATTAGTTTTCAACAACAACATCAGAAAATGACGCATTATTTGCTATTCAACATTATACTTGTTTATTTTTTACAGCGAATAAAGTCTGAAATCCCAAAGATGAATTAAACCTATGCCACAGATTAACTTTCCTTAAAAACTTAAAAAAGGCTATACCCTACTAATAAGATCCATAGTTAAAGCTAAAGGTAGCCTATGTTAGTGAGTTTTTAAGTAAACTGGGTTGTACAGTAGACCCCCGGTTAACCGAAATAAAGGGGGGAGGGCCGTTTCGGATAACCAAATTTTCGGTTAACCGATCATATGCTAAAAATAGCCTATTTTTTACCACGGTGTGCAGGAAAAATTAATTTGAAACAATTTTTATATTAATACAGTGTTTTATTTCAGCTACAGAAATGTTTAAATGGGTTAGGCCTAGATAATACCTTAAACTAAACAACTAAAGCATTTTGCATTACATATTACTTATATTTTAGCTCTGTATTATTTTATGGAGCTGTTTCAGTTAACCCGGGTTTCGGTTAACCCAAATAGTTTTAATTTATACAATTAATGATATTATTTTTTCATGTAGGCCTACCTATACCGGTAGGCTACTGTATTGTAGGTTCTGATGTTTAAAAACTTCCTATTCCACATAAGGTACAAGGTACATCTAGGGACAGTTTACCTAAAGATCTTCTGTAGGGTACTTTGTATTTCGTTTGAGAGTTTTGAAATTATGCTTTTATGCAGACCTACTGTCATGCTTTCAATGGCCCATAGTATAAATTCATTCTTAAAAAATACCAAAAGAGTTAAATTGAACTTCCATTTACTTAACAAGCTATGCCAATTGTCGGAAAACATTTAGGAAAGCTAACTTAGGCTAACTTATAGGCTATAAGTAAAACCTCACTAACTTAACCAAGAGGTTGTCGGGTTATCCAGAACATTGAAATTTGCAAAGGGGTTTAATGAATGAATACATAACAGACTAAGCCTAGCCTATATGAATATTTTTACATATTGAGTTTTAAACAATCTTCAAAGAAATGTCGAATAGGCCTATTCCACAATTAAAACTAAATGTTCTAGAAGGAATTGTTTTTTGCGTGTGCTCTGTCAGCTGTTGGCTGTTGAGTTACCGGGTGTCGAGTTAGTGAGATTTTACTGAAGCTGGTTTTATAAATAACAGGATCATTAAAATAAATCTGTGATTTCAAAACGAGGTATGAATATTTATCAATGGTAGAATATTCAATGGAGCATCAAATTAGTTATGTAGCAAGTTTAACATAATTTACCTCACCGTAAGTTATTAGCTTCCCATGTTGGGCCACAAAAATCCTTTTAATGCATGATTGTGTGTGTAATCAATCTTATATTTACCTACTAAACACTGTAACTTAGCCTACCGTACTTTCATATTTTGTAGCATAATGTGTAATATATTTGATTGTTCCTATGATTATAATTATTCTAAAATTTAAAATTGAGTCCAAGATCTATAAATGTTCTGATAGAATTGTTTATTCCTTCTATGGGAAATTTGCTACAGTAAAAATTAATGTCACATTAATTTTCAGTGGATATTAATTTTTACGAGAAAAAAACTGAAAATGATGCGAATTATAAATTTGCGCTCATCGCCAAGTATGTTGAAGCAGTTACGTCACACAGGGACTTCTAGTAATCTGTCAATGCAACCAATAGCTAGCATGCAATGTTCTGGAGATTTAGAAAAGGCCAAGTCGGATACATCAATATCTTCAGTAGTTACTAAAGATAAGCAAGCGCCCATCTCCAAAGAAAAAGGAAAACTAGTTACAGCCGCTTTTGAGAAACTAAAATTATTAGAAACCCCTCAAGACATGGATGATTCTGTAACAAAACTGATATCAGAAGCACAAAACTTGGATGGTTTATTGAGCATAGTTAAAATACGAAAGTTAACAAAGCATCATGCCTTAAAGGTGAGTAGAACATTATAGTAACTTACATTTTATAAATGAAAAATGCACTGATGGATAGGGGTGCCCGCTCCTATGGTGGAATTACGCAGAGTGCGTCGTAAAAATATTTTTTGGGGGGGACTTTTGGGTAGGTTTTAAAAGGTTTTTTGGGGTGGAAGAGCTATTTCGTACAAATTGAGTGTGATGAACTAAACAATCTATACGGTAAATGCTTTCCTGTATTATTTGCAGGCCTAAAATACTATTTTATATTTTCAGGAATGGGACGTTAAAAGTAAACTATTTATTACAGGTATTGGTTGTGTAGTTAATTGATTCTGTTCACTTCGTCTTCTTCCTCAACCCTGTAGTTTGTTGTCGCACAAACACCAACATTTTAAGAGTAAGGGAATGTCAAAGCCACAATTTAAATTTTTAGTCTCATTTTTTTTTCAACTTGAATGTAGTTTTTAAAAAGTCTAGCAGCCGACACTAATGTTCTAGATTTGCTTTTGGTAGGCACATTTATTGAAGTTGACAGCTGCATACATTCAGCGTGTGCAACACTTTTCAGCATTTGGATAAAATGGTATGACCAATGTAGGCTATCGTTTTTATTTAAACTACAGTATATGTATATGCCAAAACTATTAATACGTTTAGGCCTATTTGTCTGGTAACAGGATGGCTGATTTATAATAAAATACTCTGTGTTCTATTTCAATTCTTAAATAGTCTAGCAGCCGATTTAGTTGTACAACAATAGACAATAATAGACAATAGGCAATAGACAATTTCTTTATTACAATTTCATCAAGAAATGTTACAGCGTCAAATTTTACAGATACAAAGTGAAATGGAAAAGCCTCTTCAGTGTTGTGTGTGGTCTTGCCATGCAAAGAACTCATTTAGGGTGTAGAAAGCTTTGTCTACCAGCCATCTCCGTAGCTTCCTCTTCATCAGCAACGGGCCTCCAATTTTCAAGTGGTCTGGTAATTTGTTAAGCATCTTCACTCCTGCATACAGTGGTTTCTTTTCAAACATTGCTGTTCTGTGGCCAGGCAGCACGTAGTTTCCTGCATATCTGGTGTTGTATTCATGTATATCTCTTTGTTTAGGCGGGTCTTTGGTTACACAGTAAAAAACAGTTTCTAGGATGTAGATGGAAGTCACCGTCAGGATGTTCAGGTTTTTGAAGGCATCTCTACAGCTTTGTTCTTTACTTATGCCTGCTATTATTCTGATAGCCCTTTTTTGCATAACCAGGACCCGGTTAAGATTGTCCATAGTGGATCCACCCCAGACAGTGATACCATAGCGTATATGGCTTTCAAACAATGTATGGTATGCAGTCCTCGTTGCCTCAGGGGTACTAGTCTCTTTGATTCGTTTTATGGCAAAGCGAGCTGGCCCGAGTTTTTGGCAAAGACAAGCTACATGACGATCCCATGATAAATTTTCATCAATTATGACACCTAGATGTTTAATTTCTTCAGCTGCTGTAAGGTTGGGCATTTCAGATACTGTAGACTTTTTATTTCCAAAAGTAATTTGCTTGGTCTTACTTTCATTGAGGACTAAGTCATTTTTCATACAGTAGTCCTGTGTCATATTGAAAGCTATATAGGTGTTTACTTCTAGTTGATCTATGTTTCTGTTTGCTGTAAACAGCACAGTGTCGTCTGCATACATGACCATCTTGCTGTACTCCTCAAGGTGTTCTGGGAAGTCATTAATAAACAGGCCAAACAGAACTGGCCCTAGGACAGAGCCCTGGGGAACTCCTCTGTTAGTCGGTAGCAATTCAGATCTGACAGTATCTGTAACCCCTTTTGTTGTGTGTTTTATTTCTACCATTTGGCTTCGCCCTTTTAGATAACTTGCAAACCATTTCAGAGCTGTTCGCTGGATTCCTAAATTTTGAAGTTTAGTTAGAATAAGATCATGTCCCAAGGAATCAAAAGCCCTGCTTAAGTCAAGATACAGGCTGGTGATAGTGTTGCCATTTTCTATGTTCTCAATGATATATTCAACAAGGTCTATCAGAGCAGTTGTGGTTGATTTTCCAGGAACAAACCCATGTTGGCTGGTTGTCAATGCTTGGTTTTGACTAAGATGCTCCTGGATTCTTACTTTTATACTCTTCTCTATGAGTTTGGAGACAGATGAGAGCAGCGAGATAGGTCTGTAGTTAGAGATGTTTTGTAGGTCCCCTTGTTTGTGTTTAGGAAAAACCAAGGCTGTTTTCAAGTTGGTTGGAAAAGTCCCCTCTGCCATCGACATGTTTACAATCTTCATTAGCGGCATTATTAATTCATCTGCACATGTTTTAAGGATTTTTGAAGATATTTCATCAATGCCTGATGATGCAGAGTTCTTTAATGATTGAATGGTCCTGCCTATCTCGTCAGGTGTTGTTGGACGGAAGGAAGAGAGAGTGTTTAATGTGGTAGCTGGAGGATTTTGAGCTATTGGTGGTGTGTTGTATCTGCTGTTTTGTTTTAATGTCTCCTCAGCTATGTTTACAAAATAATAATTAAAGCGGTTTGCTACATCTTTAGGGTCAGTAAGTTTCTTTCCATTGTCATTTAGTTCTATTGTAGAATTGTTGTCAAGCTCTTTCCTCCCTTTCCTCTCACTATTGATGGTGTTCCATATGGCTTTGGCTTTGTTTTCTGCTTGTTCAATGTATGCAGCACTTTCTTGCCTTGCCTTTTTTAATTTTTGGTCGTAAGATTTCTTCTTATCTGTAGCTATCTTCTTGTCATCAGGATGACCAGTTAGGAGAAATTAGTCTTGTGCTATTAAAAACTCCTTTTTAAGTGTCATAGTTTCTTCGTCATACATCAGTCGTTTACCCCTTTTTTGTTTAGTCCGAAATCTTTTTTTTGGACATGCATTATTAATTGCAAGCGTTTGGTTGAAATTAAAGTAGGCCTCTTCCACATTATTTGTTCTCAAAACATGTTCCCACGTTACAGTGGAGAGCTCATTTTTTAAGATCAGCAGATTGTTGTGGTTAAGGTTCCGTCTTGATGTATATGTTGTTGCTGCTTTTGTTTTTGGAAGGTCCAGTGTGCAGTATTGTCCTGTGTGGTCTGATAGACCTGTGTGAGAGACCACAACTTTAATCATGGTGTGAATATTTGAACACAACATGTCAATTGAGGATGCTGAGGTCTTTGAGATTCTTGTGGCTGGGAGCTCTAGTCTTCTTATGTTATACCCATCCAATAGCGAATTTAGTGTAACAGATTCTCTAGAAGCCTCATCCAAACTGTCAATGTTAATGTCCCCCATGATAAGTGTGTCAGTTCTCTGAGTAGGAAGGCTGTCTAGTGCATCTGACAGAACTTGTAGTGACGTATCAAGGTCAACACAAGGTGGTCGATAGACTCCAAGGAGAAGAAGGCTCTTCTTCCTGTTTATGTGTATTTTTATTGCTGTTATTTCACATACCATTTCCAAGCTGTATCCTTCTATCTCTAGACTTTCGGTTTTGTTGGTTATATTGTAATGCTTGTAAATAACAACCCCTCCTTTGATATGTTCTTTCCTTCCATATGCACTGATAAGTGTGTAGTCAGCCAATTTAGCATGGTGTATTGCATTAATTTTTTAGTCCTGTAAGAATTACAAAGTCCGGGTTAGAGCTGTGTAGAAGGTGTTCAAGTCTTTCAATTTTGTTTGTCATCCTGTCCATGTTTTGGTGAAAGAAGGTAAGTTGATTTGTATTTTTACTTATTGATTTTATTTTAACTTGCTGTCTTCTTTGTAGGTTAGCCTGTTTGCTGGGTGCATCGAGTTTACAAAGATTCTGGTTTTGAATTTTTGTTTGAATTTGCTTGTTTTTCTTGGGTAAAGGTCTAAAATATTCTTGTTTTGGTGTGTTTGGCCATCCCTCTTTTGTTTTGGTGGTGAATAGTCAATTGGGAAATGGAAGCTTCGTATCATGTTAATTCTTAGTTGTCTTTCCTTCTCTAATTGGAGTTCTACTTCATTTAGTGTTTCAACCAGTGAAGCATTTCGGGAGAGCAAGATTTCCTCCAAGAGAAGGCATTTTCTGCTTCCTTTAAGGCTTTGTTGAACACTTTATTTTTAAAATTGTCTATTTTTGGTTTCCCATAGAGATCTTTACTTTGTTCATAACAATACATATCAGTTTCTCGAACGTCAGCTGTGTTGTTGTCACAAAAAAAATTACTTTATATTTTGAGATGCAATTTTTGTTATTTGTACAAATTTCAGTAATTTTAGCTGGCCAGTGTGGGTACCCTTTTAATTTTACAAACACAATTTGTCCGATGATAAAGCTAGTTTTGTTGCTTATTTCCATGTTAGTTAATCCAGTTGCTGATTCAGTTTTGGAAAGTTTGGCTGGTTCTTTATGTCAGGGATATTGAAGTTTAGTGTCAAATTATATCAGTTTTGAAAAGTTTGGCTGGTTCTTTTTGTCCGGGATCTTGAAGTTCAGGTGTAAAATTGTATCAGTTTTGAAAAGTTTGGCTGGTTCTTTATGTCAGGAATCTTGAGTTTCAGGTAGTTCAGGTGTAAAATTGTATCAGTTTTGAAAAGTTTGGCTGGTTCTTTATGTCAGGAATCTTGAGGTTCAGGTTAAAAATTGTATCAGTTTTGAAAAGTTTGGCTGGTTCTTTATGTCAGGGGTCTTGAAGTTCAGGTGTAAAATTGTATTTTGTACAGCTAAGTGGAAGGTCTAAAATGTTTTCCTACAGTTACCTAACAATGTACATGTTCTCTCACTGATTTGAGAAAGCAAAGTGGCCAATTCGCTCATCAGTGAGACAATGTTAACATTGTCTCACTCTAATTACTTTGTCTCACTCCAGATTTGCAACGTGAAGGCACGAAATAGTGAGCGCGTAACATGCAGGCAACGTCGTATGCGCGCGAAATACGTTGGCAGCACTGGCTGTAAATCAGCTGGTCAGCTGTTGTACTGTTGTATTTTTCACTTCACATTAAATGTTATATTAAAAGTTCACTTCTGTGTTAAAATATTTAAAATATTTACCCGCAGGGGGCCCACGCTTGCGTGGGTACGTGGCCTGGCGACCACGCGGACCCTAGCTCTCCCAGAGGGGAGGTAATTGCCCGGTGTTGGAACCGGCACTTCAGGTAGGCCACAAGCTATGGACGACTGGACAAGCCAGCCTCTTTGGGTTGTACCCAAAGTGAGAGTACCCAGTGACATTTCCTCCATTCAGGGTGGTGGGGTGTTCAGCTCTGCTAATGTTGATTAAGTTCATAGATCTTTCACCTGCCTGTAGCTTGTGGTTGTGACTTGAGTTCTTCGGGCTCGTCCTACCTGTTGGGTTCGACTGACATTTTGTGAGGCATATCCTCGACTTTGGAAGTAGCCTCGTCCTGGGAGGTGAAAAACCTAGCCCCCAAAGGGGAGGTAACTGCTCGGTGTTGGTATCGGCATTTTCAAGTAGGCCACAGACATGGACGACTGGGCATTGGGTCCCAGTGACATTCCTTTATCCAGGATGGAGGGGTGTTTAGCTCTAGGAGAGATGGAAGTGCATCATATTCTCTAACCTACCTGTGTCTGTGGTTCTTTGGGCTTCGGCCTGCTTGTTGTGTGCGACCAGCATTCAGTGTGGCAAATCCTCGACTTTGGAAGTAACCTTTCCTGGAGGTGAAAACGGGCAAGTACCCGTAGCTCACGGGGACACTCAAGGGCAACGTAACTTTCCGCAGTGTGAGGGTAACGGTTTGTAGGCACTTATGCAAACCAATCCCTGTCTCTGAGCACGGACGGTATGGTTATCTTGAGTGTGGGGGGTTCTTCCCGGAACATCAATTGAGTCAAGGGTGTCGCCACCTCTGGTGGATAGGTTCATCCGGGTGGGTCCCACTTCTATACCTGCCTCCTTTTGGGAAACCCTGATGGCCTGGCAGTGATGTTGGGTCTGACGGGCAAACGAAGTAGATCGGGTGCTGGGTCCGAGCCCGCCAGGGGTATCTGGGGATCTATCGCTCTGGTTATCTCTGGTTTCCCAGCAACTGGGTAAGGCCTCGATCGGGTAGTGGTGTAAATGGGAGGTTGGGGTTCGCTGACGGTCCCCTTCCTTCTGGCTATCGATGGCGGGTTTGCCTGTCAGGGATTAGATAGGTCCCGAGTGTTACTTGCACTAAATGCGTCGGGGCGCTCTACCATGGTCCTCTAGGTCCCGACCTAGTGGAACCCAGGTGGAGTGACGCTTAAACAAGTAGCCGGAAACCCTGGTTAGGATTGAGGGGCAACCCTCTTTCCGAAGGGTCTGCTTCGGCAGCCGATGAGCCTGATGACCTTAAGTCATCCGCCCATGATGTGCAAAAGGTTGATGCGTTAGCTTCGGCCTACATCATGGGGCCCGGGTAAGTCTCACGATAGGTACCGGGTATGTAGTCAGGGGGCTTCGGCTCTCATGACAAATATTGAAATTGAAATTGTGTTAAAATATGTTATGTTTCTTCACCAATTTATTTGTTCTGTGGTAACTGTAGGAAAAGTATAATGTGCAACTCGAGTTCAAAGTACAATTGCCTCACTCGAGAAACCATTCCTCACTCGCCTACGGCCCACTTTTCTCACTAGTTGCACAAATAACTATTATTGATCAAAGGAAATAAGTAATATTGTATAACCGTTTCTGTATTCACCGCTTCCCTATAGTTGTAAACATGGGCCATACATCCATCGCTGACCAGTAATGACTGGATAGATTTTGTCAAAGCTTTTGGGTATTATTTTTCTTAACAAATTGTTGTTTATGATTTAAAATTGCTTACCATGTGGTTGGATTAGGCCTTAAAATATGCATGGTTATTAAATCAAGGTGATACTGTATACTATACACATAATTACAATTTTTAGTTAACTCCACAACTACAGAACATGATTTGCTTTGTTGAAAAATTTTTCAACAGCACTGAGTACTACTAGTATAGTAGGAAAAATGTTTGCTCTTATATTTTAAATTAACTCATTTACGACTGACATAACCTTTCCTCGATAGATTAAACGTGTTTACTAAACACCGGCTTTGATTTTAAAGTAAAAAGAATTTTATAAAACTTAATTTATTATAATTTACTTTTATTTCTAGCATTAACTGAAAATGTTATGCTATTTTTTAGTTTATTTAGCCAATGTGTTTGTAATTGTAATGTTTTGTTTCAATAATCAGTGGTAAGTGGGTAAATGTACAAGCAATGAACTACTGAACTGTTAAAGTGACACTTAATTTATGGGGTAAACCTAGGACTGATTTGGGAGAGGTTTGTCTTGACCTCCCTGCTGATTGTAACAGTTTCTGTACTTTTACACCCAAGAACCATACCTATTTGTAAGCCTAGTTGCCCTAGTTCTTCTGTAATCGGAGTCTCATTATGATATACAAAGTGGGCTTTCAAGTGTGTTGAAGCTCATTTAATTTTTTTTTTTAAAGTACACCAACTACGGTACACAAATAGAGTATGAAATGGAATTAACAATTTATTTAAAATTTGTATGCCAAAAATGTTTACAAACAAAAAATGTTGGTTCATCCAATGACCTCAGCAAATTAATAAACCCTTTCTTAATCAACCTTGGATCATCCGCTGCCTGGGCAAAAACAGAGGTCGGTTCATCCACACAGAATTTTAAAATATGTAGGTTCAACTGACCTTCTCTACAAAACTAGACACTTCCCTTCCCTTTCCTAATACTTTAAAGTTTACTCCCAAGTCCCAAGTATCCACAACAATGAGTGGCTAAATGATTGTGGATAATCATAATCTTGGATAATGTAAACCTGACCTGAAATGCCTGGAAAATAGCCAACTGACTTTGAATATGGTAGTTAAACTTTAATAAAGGCTTAGGTAATAAAAAAACGTTTGAAATGAAGTATAAATACTTTTTACCTTTGTTTCACACTCTTCTTTTCAAAAGAAATAACATTGAAAAGCCTAGGACCTCAATCAAAATTGTTCAAGGTGTTTTTTAAAATCTGATTTTACCGTTAATTCACGGGGTTTTATGGGAAAATCACCATTAGAAAACAAATTTTCCAAAAAATGTAATAGAATACCTGCACATGCATTACCATGGATTAGTATCCTCATAGGCCCTACTCAATTTTGTAACAATCGGACCAAAGGTGTGGTCTGTAGCTCTGTACAAATCTCACGAACATGCAGACACACACAGACATCACTTAAAAAACACTTTTTTGGCTTCAGGGAGACAAAAAAGGGACAGTTTCCACCCAAAACTCAAACTTCAAAATGTTAGTGAAAACAATATTTTCCCTATGTAGGTCTAGTATGCATAGAAGGAAAAAAAGTAAAAAATAAACTTTAGAAAGGTTGTTAGGCTACTGTATGTGTAAACAAATGATAGTGGTGTACACTTGCTTGATCTTCATCAAACACTCAGCACTCTTACTCCCTTGTTGACCATTCCATCTTTCCCTCATTTCCACTGTAAACATTTTTAACTTTGTTAATTTCACCCATTTTTCAAATTCCTATACCCAATAATAAAACGTAATCAATAAGCGTTGTATAATGTGTTTTAATTTTTGTATATATTATTTTTCAAAAATATTTATGTTTGTATAGCCAGGGAAAAAGTTGTTAAGCAATTAAGATATTAGACTAGATATTATGAATTCAGATAGAACAATTAATTTGATGGGGGAAGAACTACTGACAATAAATTAGCTTTGAAAACTATCAGGCCCTAAAATGGTCTGTAATTTTGTATTGAACTTGTTTGTACATTGTATTTTCAAACAAAACTATTTCTATTATTGTTAAAACTATTTTTGAGCATACTAATCTTCGGGCAAAGATCGGTCCCCAGGTACGCTACTGTTGTTTTGATTGGGAATTAATCAGACCTTATTAATTTTAGTGAAAATGCAATCACGCAAATGGAAATTCACTTATTCTGCAGGATTGGCGCAGTGAGGGTATTATTAATTTTTTGTTAGTCATAGGTTGGTAGCGCACCGAACTTGGAATCTTTTACAAACATGTGTTGTGTTCGGATCCTCGTATCTGCCACTAAATTTTATTAGTATAGTTTAACTGTGTACTGTACTGGCTCATCCCTTCCTTTTCTGTATATTTTCCATATACCTGAGGATATATGTATATATATGTATATGAGGGGTAAAAACTCATCAACCTCTTTAAAAAATTTAACTTTTTTTGCCAGAGGCACACATAAGAAATAAATAACAAAATTCTACTACAGTCAATCATTAATAAAGTTATAACAGAGTCACAGTGGAGTAAAAATCTTAACAACCAACATTCATTTTTAATTGCTTACAGATTGTGGCAGTATTAGCTGATTGGACAGTAGAAGGCAAAGTGAAGACGGCAGATTTTGAGAAAGACTCGAGGTTTGCCTCTGTTTGTTCCCTACTCGGAAGCTCTCCAAAGTTTCCCGACAAGCAAACTAAATCCTCTTCAACCAACTCACAGGATCTCAACACAGTTCTAGGAGTAGCAAGTGATGATGAGGCTGCTAAACTCGTATCTAATATCAGTCTACCACAGATGATTAAGGTAAGTCTGTCTGTTCGTGAATCACTGACTAAAATATGTTACTGTCACAATGGATTAAATTGGATTCTAGCAATGCTAACATGCGATGGTGGAATGCCTTAGGCCACAGAAATCTAATCATGGGAATAGTTAGAATAATATAGTAGTCAAAGAAATTAACTTGGAACTTGACAAGAGATCGTTGCAGACTTTAATTTACGGTCAAGCCTCATGCTTCAGTATCATTGTATTGCATTGTGGCCAAATAGTTGAATACGATGGTAACAGCTGTCTGTTCTTCAGCAAAACAAGATAGAAGCAGTTTTAGGAGCTCACTTGTAAAGATAAACAAAATACAACATTGTTGTATCGTAAATAAGTTAGAATGGACAAGTGAGGACGGGAACGTGTAGGAACAGTGTTCCTACTCTGTTTTTTTCAATTTTTTTTTACAATCCTATATATTTCATGGCAACTCATTATTTTCAAGTCATAACTCAACAATTTTAAAGGCGGACGTTCAATGCATTTTTAGACTGTACCGCAGACAAAGACGGAATATTGTTTTCCTAAACTCCGCGGAGTGCGGACTTCAAGTCTCTCTCGACTGCGACGTAGACTCCTCTAGAATGAGTCAGCACATTCTGCTGTCTGAACCCCGCTGGCAGGGCGCGGCGTATGATTCCTAGGAAAACACCCTGACGTAGCACCATGTATGTGTGCTCTGCGGACTCCACAGGTTCAACACCGCAACCCCCTGCGGCTTATACCCCGCAGCTAGGAGAACCCACCTATAGTCTCTCTTCCTCATTTTCCAACCTTGGTTTAACTTTGGTCAATAAACTTGATCTCATATAAAAAAGATCAACTTTGGTCCTTAGTGACAAGTACTGTTAAATCCTACTTCATAAGGTTTTCTAAATTGACAAAGCAGTCTTAACAGTGCACCTAGAAATTATAGTGGCATTCTGCTATATAACCTCATGCGTAGTAACTGTTTCTCTTTGTTTATACCGAATAACTATAAAAATATTACTTGTTACGTTTATTATTTTACACTTTCAGGTGCTTTCAACGTTAGCTTCGAAAAAGCGGAGATCCACGCTGTTACTAAGATCGTTAGCCTTCAATATCTCGAGTAGTACAGAGAAACTTGACATTAAGCAGTGTGCAGACACGTTGTATGCCGTGGCATCACTTAACTTTCACGACGAGGTAAGTTTACTTGAAAACTAACCAAATATTGTACTTGTATAGAGCATTTTCTCAAAACACAATTATATGTAAGCCTAGTGGGTAGAGTCATATACATATACTCTACACAATTATATGTCTAAGATTCGGTGGTATTGAAAAATGAAAATTGATATTGAAAAATTAAAAATCCCCGGTGCTTAGTGAAGCCATCCAAGTACGGTTTGCTCATATTTGAATACTTACCAATTTATACCAAGAAGAGCCGTCAAAGAGTGATTGTTGTGTTGTATGTATTAATATTTTACTCTTGAAAATTTGTACTAGGTACCAAAGTCAGACTCAAAATTCTCTTTGCTCATGATCTATATACAGTTCTGAACATTGGGATATAGTAGACTCACTGGGGACCAAGGCCTGTCCGGATAACAGTTTGTCCAGTTAAACCGACATCCCCTGAATTACCCAAAAACCAACCCAAATATTTTACTTAAATTTGGGAGAGCATTGTATTTAAACACGTGATCACTGTTCCTAAATCTTTCCCACGTGAAAATTCTTTTTAGTACCACCCACTTCGTATTGATCTAGTCCGGTTAAACTGATGTGCTGATAAAAATGGTTTAGTTAAAGATATAGGGAACTTTTGTCGAGTTGAGTTTGGTTAAACCGATGTTTGGTTAAAAGGAGTCTGGATAAGAGGGAGTCTACTTTAACACGAAATACTTAAAAAAAATTAATATTTCTCATAAAATTTTATAAATAGTATTTTAAAGCACCATATTTTAAACTAGTACCATGTTATTGTTTCAGGTTTTGGTTGAACGTGTGTGTGCAGATCTTTGTAGCTGTTTGATGAATAACTCACGGCGAGCCGTTGTTGGTTCAGTTATCAAAAGTCTTGGACTTCTACGCTACAAACATCTAGGTAATAAACTTTCTGTTAAATCTTTGGATTTAGTTGGTTGAGCACAAAATAAGATTCAGTAAAGGGGAAAAATGGTTGATGTTTTAATAGGCCTAGTTTTATTATTACTCTTCACTGGCAATCTAAACTGTATGATCATCTCTTGGTGATTGTGGTCTATTTTGAATTTTAACAGGAAAATAGGAAAAATAAAACCAGCTGTTACGACAAAAACACTTTATTTAATCATTTACTGCAAATTATGAAGGGGGAGGTAACTAAAGACTTTGTTCCTTCTTTTACTTGCTATCTAACTGCTTGTATTTCCCAGACTTCTGTTATTAGTTTACATAGGACCAACGCCCAACAATATCATCTAGTCAAAGCCCCTATCACACATAACTAGGGTTTTTTTAATCAGAAGTCAAATTCTTTGCAACACTTAAAGAAACGACCTTGTTAAACTGCTGATTTGAACATGGGAATAACTTCTGGATGGTGTTAAGTGTGGTGAAATAATCTTTGGGACATATTATATCCCAGGTACAGCACTATCTGGTGCTATGGGTTTAGACAGATTTTGTAAAGTAACAACAACAATAATATATATGAAGGGGAATTTGTTTAAATTTTGGAATGACAGTATAGATGATTTTTGTTTAGCACATAGGTTTGTTAGACTCGTAAATTGTACAATGAATAAAGGTTTGATGATTACGCTGTGGCAACTCTTGGATAAAGCTTTTAAACTGACCACTAGATACAATTTAGAATGCTTAACAGTTAGGTTTGGAAAACAAACCCCCTTCTTTCTATCTTTCAAATGAATTTCATCTACGACTTGTGTCTTTAGACCAATAATGTTATACAGGGTGCGGCAAAAAAAACATCTATTTTCTGCAGAGCACTGTTCTGCGACAGGTCGTCCGAGAGTGGTGGGAGTATGCTCGTTGGAAAGCCTACACAATGCCATTTTTTGTAGTCATAGAGCAGCGGTCGCCTGAGCTAGTGCGGTTGTTATGGAGTCGTTTTTATAAGATAATGAATTCATTCTTGCTACTCAGCGGCAGTTTCATGCATTCTTTCAATTAAGGCGACATGGAGAAGTTCCGTTCCGTAGCACAATAATGCGGTGGGTTACTTACATTAGAACAACGGCTTCCAAAGTCTGGTCGGACGCCAGGCAACAAACATGCGATAGAGTTTGTGCTGCTGTGGAAAGCAGTCCTCGTAGGCCAGCACGAAAACAAGCGGCTGCCTTGAACATGTCTGACCACTCAGTTATACAAATTTTGAGGTTAATTTTCATCCCTATGGATTTGAATAATAATCTGTATAATTTGGTAATCATTCATACAGATAATCACGACGGAACATCTCTTTGTCAACCTAATTGAATAAAAGCACGGACCTGCTGCTGAGTTGCAATGACTTAATCATAACTTTTTTAAACAACTCGATAACAACCACAGCTCATACGACCACTGCTCTATGACTACAAAAAATGGCATTGTGTAAGCTTTCCAACGAGCCGAGCCTACTCCCACCACTCTCAGACGACCTGTCACTGAACAGTACGCTGCAGAAAATGGATCGGTTTTTTGCCACATCTTGGTGTATCAACGTTGATTTAACATAATTTAATCATAACAACTACATAGAGCACTAAATAACAGTGTGGAATGACTGTTTTTTTATCCAACCATTGATTACAAAAGAGTAATTAGTTTTTGTTTGTTTTTGCAGATCTGCTGAACTTATTGTGTCAATGGGTTGAAAAGCACAAGGACACTTGCACACCTCAAGATCTATCATCTCTACTTCTGACACTAGCTGTTGTCAACCACCTGCCAGACAACCATCAAGTTCTTTTTCCGGTAAAATATTTTTTCTCATAAATATTGGTAGCAAAATGTTTGAAGTTAAAGTAGCTGATGTTGAATTCTTGGATGTGTTTTTTATTTATTTCTAAAACAACCACACGTTTTAACTGTATGAAAGAGAAAGTTCCCTATCTGTTTAGTGCCAATCTATTTTTAAAAAGCGCAATGAATTGCTACCCAATCATAATGGGCAATTATTTCTAGTCATTCCAAATCCTCCATTGACTAAACACTTAATAGACTACCAGAAATACAGTACAACATATGAACTAAACTAATCCGTAGGCCTATAGGATAAGGAAAACAACATAGTTACTGCATTATCTGGCTAGATCGCAGCTCTAGGTCTCAAAACTTTCACATTCGTTAGGGTAAAATTAAAATTATTAACTTATGGGTGCAGTTTCAAACTCATCTAGGTTTTAGATTATGCAAGTGCTAGATTCTTATCGGTGCCCTCAAGTACTCCCCCTTGAAGAATTTTCCCCCTTGATTCCTGATGGTAGGCCTAACGAATTAAGAAGTCTAGCCCCTAACATATGTTAGGGTATGTTTTAACGCTCCTGGGATATTTTAATCACGTTCTATGATTTGGTTCTGTTGGAAGGGCTTAATCCCTATAACAATCAGTTTCAATTTGATAGATGTAAACACAGAAAAGTTTTTAGCTATAAAAATGTGTGTTAGGGGGTTTGTGGAAGACCATTTTCATTCACAAAAGGAGCCGTCAGTGGGTGTTCATAAGATTCCACCCAGACATTGGAGTATTTTTTACTTGCGATTGGCTTGCAAAATTCACTTTACTTTGGTTACTGCATTTAATGAGACTGAAGAACGACCACAGCCGACCTTTGCAGTTCTGACTGGTTGTAAAGTTAACACTTCTGGACTAGTCCTGGTTGTCATTGATGATTCCCAGAGTGGGAAGGTGTTACCTGAGCCGGTTCCAGTGATGAGAGCAACTAACGGCTTGACCTTCCCTCTACTCAACTTCAGCCGAAAGATTGTGAAGAGGGTGCTAGGTTCTGAGAGCAACTTCTTGTTAATTGGTTGTCCAGAATAATTGTACTAATGCTCGAGGTATTGTTCCCTGGATCATTTGTTGATTGCATAGTTAGTGGTTGCTTTGCTAACTCCGGTCCAAGGAATGGCATGCTCTCACCTTTTTGTCAGATTATCTGCACTCTTAGCCACATCTCCACCCATGCCTACATGGCCCGCAATCCAGTCGAGACTTACAGAGTTGTGTGGTGCAAGTTTGCAGAGGGCATTTAAGCACTCCCAAACTAGCTTTGTAGTGAGTTTTGCAGTGACTTAGTAGAGTCAAGAGCTTTTAGAGCCACCTGATAGTCAAGACCCAATCAATGAATCAATATATTCTTTTCTTGGTAGCGTCTGGCTAGTCCTAGGTTGGCACAAGCCAAGATGCCAAAGATTTCTTCCTGGAAGATTTGCCCTTAGAGTAGTCTGCTTATCCTCTTTTGGGAATGAAGACCACCCTGTCGTAACGTCAGGCCTGAGGAATGTACCCATAGGCCAGGCTTGCTCTAAAGAGTTCACAGGAGGGTAAGGGCATCCGGTCCTTGCTGAAGCATAGCTGAATAGATTCCATCCCCCTCCAGGAGACTTAAATGGGCCAAACTGGTTGATTGTCCATTTGACTTAAGAGGGAGTGACAACCCTCCTGGCTATTTTCCAGCTTTCAAAATCAGTTCTCAGCCAATAACTTCTATCGTTGCAGCCAGACACTCCTGTGTTACCACTCTCGTAAATACAGCCAACTAAATGAGTTTCGAGTAGAAATTGAGACTTCCATCAACCCCAGTGGTAAATACCCTGCTGGTAGCTTAAAATATCTTGAGAGGCATTAGGTTTGGACCTTAGAACCCACTGCAGGCAGGCTGCAGTGCTGATACTGTTTACTTCCTTCGAAAACTGTCTACATGAGTTCTTTTGGCTTTTTGATTGAGAGGCTGTATTCAGTTGACTTCAGCTTTAGACCACAAAATCCAATCACCGAACACAATTCATACGTGGTGGGAGCGTTGATTTCAATCACATAATTTGTGGCTGCAATGAGGAGACTAATCAGGGTTCTACCAATTTTAACACCTGCTTTGAACAACAAAGTACGTCATATTATGTCTTATTTTTATACAACATTCTTACTTCCAAGAAAGAAAATGGACATAAAGCCATGTTTACACGAGGCCAGTTGGCGGGCAGGCCACCTGCCTCATGTAACTTGAAATACATTAAAGGCAAGTAACCTGGCCCGTTACCTACCTGCTCTACTGGCCTCCTGTACAAGCGGCTTTATGGACTTTTCTTTATAAATTCACATTCCAACAGCTTTCCGTTTACAGATCATACTTGACCAGCTAGTATCAAGTGGAGTATCAGACCCTTATGAGTGGCTTGATGTGGTCTGGTCTCTTACGGTATTAAACAAAGAGACTACCGAGCAGCTCAAATCTGTGCTGTCTTCAGAGTTCATTGAAAAAATTCAAGCGCTGAATCCAGGTAGGTAAAACCTTATTGTCTTTATTAACTTGTTGCTGTTTATACTGTAGGAAATCAATTTTTCGATAATCTCATGGGCTGTTCTTTAGTAAAAGAATATTTAACAGGAAAAAGGGGGACTAAGAAGAAGGAAAGAAACAGTGGTTGGCGTTTGGTTCATAAATATATTAGGGATGGACGAGTCTCTAATTTCGTTAATTTGAGCAAGATTGACGTTGCTCCGCGCCTTTTTTGAGACAATAAAAAAAACAAAAAGTAATGCCTTCACAAAGGAAACGCAACTTCAACCCGCTCATGTTTTGCTAGTATTTCAAGAGACTTTCTGAAGGAATTTTTTAACTGTGTACGTCTCAAAAATGGGTTTATCCGGTAATTCGTTTATCCATTATTACCCTGATCCCGTCTATACCGGATATACTAGGTTTTACTGTATATGAAATTGTTATCACTGAGATCAGCAGTAACACTGTACAAACAAAGGCCTACTAACATTTTCTTTCATCTCTTGAGCCATCCACTCCAGCCATAAATGGGCCGCAGCAAATGTGTTAAAGACAGTTTTTATTGTGATACAGTTAGTTGTGGTATGCATGTTACATTTTGATTTTAAAGATGTCTTATTTATTTTGATTTTATCATGTTTAAGATTTTATAACTTTTTAAGTTCCTGTAGGCTTTTGTTATTTTGTACACTCTCTTTTGTATCAACCTTTGTAATAAATAATTAGTTATGGTACTTTAGTTGTTGTTTTATTAGTGCTTTATTGTAGTGATGGTCGGATCCGGATATGGGACTACCGGATCCGCCGGATCCGAGCTAAAACCGGTATCCACTTTTATGGAGGCCCAAACTCAACATATAAAGAACATTATCAAACCTGTAGCTCATAATTTACAAATATTCGAGTCATCACCACAATACATTGGTCCAAAAATCCTAAATAACTTACAAACAAGTTTAATTACTCTAGAAAATCCCTATAAGTTTAGACTTTCTTTAAAAGAATGGCCCAAGACTAAATCCTTTTTTTTCATTGGCAGATTATTTTAAGGACTGCTGGAATTAGGTATAAATAAACCTTCCCACTCCTTCTAGCTAAATTTTTTGTCATGTAACGATGTTGTATTTTGGGAAGATTCAGTTGATTTTGTGTGAATACAGATGTATTAGTTTTATCTATTAGTTTTAAGTCTTTAATTAACCATTGACGATATGTCCTGTTATTACGATGTACTGACATGTAACTCAATAAATAAATAAATATCTGATCGGATACAAAAAATTCCGGATCTTGGGCTGGATCCGGTATTGATGGATCCGATTTTTTCAGATTTTTCCCGATTTTTTACTAACACAAAGCTTTCAGTATCCATGTACAAGACCGATTTCCCCCCGATTTTTTTTACTAACACAAAGCTGTCTGTATCCATGTACAAGACCGATTATTTCCCAATTTTTTTACTAACACAAACCTGTCTGTATCCATGTAAAAGACCGATTTTGTCCCGATTTTTTTACTAACACAAAGCTGTCTGTATCCATGTACAAGACCGATTTTTTCCCGAATTTTTTACTAACACAAAGCTGCCTGTATCCATGTACAAGACCGATTATTTCCCGATTTTTTTACTAACACAAACCTGTCTGTATCCATGTAAAAGACCGATTTTGTCCCGATTTTTTTTACCAACACAAAGCTGTCAGTATCCATGTACAAGACCGATTTCCCCCCGATTTTTTTACTAACACAAAGCTGTCAGTATCCATGTACAAGACCGATTTCCCCCGATTGTTTTTACTAACACAAAGCTGTCTGTATCCATGTACAAGACTGATTTCCCCCCGATTTTTTTACTAACACAAAGCTGATATAGCATACTCAAGATCGAACTATAGTAAAATATACACAGATACCCTTTTGGTGGTCATGCAAACTTAGCACAAAGTTTCATTTTATGATTTTGAATAGTTTTAGTGTCTCCAAAAAATGAGGGATTATGGGCTCAACTGGAGAATAATCTATGATAAGATATATTAACCTTTAAACATTACCAATTTAATTTTAAACAGTATGATTTAAATTGGTATTCTGTTAAATACGTTTTATTTTAAACCGCCCTTATGAGTGTATGAGTGTAATTTACAGTATATGAATCCGAAGATCCGGATCCGAATTTTTCAAGATCCAGATCCGGTACCGACATTTTCTTGGATCCACCCATCACTACTTTATTGTTATTTATTAACCATTGTGATAGGCCTATTGTGCAAACGAATAATTCCCAATAGTAATGAGATCTATTATCTCGTCTTGAATTATGATGAGAAAATAAATACTCGTCTCGAACGTAATATCCAGTCTCTTCCATCCCTAAAATATACTTAACAATTCACACAAAATTAAATCATAATGGGGTTTGCTGTATGCCTGAAATACCCCCGCCGCAGCAATCCTGCAGACTAAGCGAATTTCCATTGGCCTGATTGGATTTAGACTAAAATGTCTCCTTAAAAATATCACATTTATTCCCTATTTAAATAACATTAGTTTAACGAGTACTTAGATTTGCTGCAACAGGGAGGGTAAAAAGGTGTTTTTTTGTAAAATGTTAATAGTAAAATGAAATGAACGCATTTTCCAAATTTGATCAAAATATGATCATAAACAAGCAAACTACAACAGTTTACTTATTCTCCATAAGAATGACATGGGAATTTTAAGTTTACAGTTTTTTGGAATTTTCTCCGTAACCATTAGACACATAATAACGCTTCAATATACTAAATTTTTTGTTTTTTTAAGCTCAACAATGATTTGGAAAAAAATGCTAAATTTTAAGTTATAAGGGTCAAAAATGGGAAAAACCAATTTTTGTCCCATTAAACCCCCCATAAACCCCTGTTCCCATAGTCCGATCATGCTGGTTCGCAAACTCGTTTGAATAAACCCAGGTTTACATGTTTGTACCAAATTTCATCAAAATCGGATGATTTTTGCTTGAGTTATCGCGCTAACGGACACATATATATATTTATATATATATATATATACATATATATATTATATATATATATGAATCTGAACGGATGGTGTTATTGGTCTCTAGGGACCTCAAAACGAATAATTAAATCGGTCCCGGGTCCAGGTCTTATCATGAGTACTACGGTAATAGCTTATCCCCTATAGGGAAAATTCGCTAAAAGGGGAAGGGGGTTATTGTCTTTGGTTTAAGTTTGGAAGTTTCTAGCTTTATTGATTCATGGATTGGAAATGTCTTACTTCAGATGCTTACATGCAGAAGGAAGGGTTTTATAGACCTTTAAGTCTCGCTCTATGTGACTTTAAATATGAATCGTGGACAGAGTTTGAAATCCAACTACAATTTGTCAAAAGGTACGCACTTTGCCCCCAATGACCGTGGTACACACCCATTACCACAAGTACTATAAGTTTTTTTTTGCATAAGCAGTCATAAAAATATATTTTTTTGCTCTTTCTTTGAGCCGACTGGTGGAATATCACTTCTCGTCTCGTCCAAAACGACTATGACAATGCCTTTTGGATATATTTATCAAAAGAAAAAAGGCTTAATCCCTAGTCCAGCTGATAACCTCTGCTGTCAAACAAAAGCAGGTGACATGCAACTCCCTCTTAAGGATTAGATTTTTTTTTTATTTAGACACTATTTTGCACCCATGTTGGTATTAGTTGTAACTCCTGGGGATTCATCTGGATCAATGATGGTTGTGGTGCTGAAAATTAGATAATGAGTCATGTGGTCAACAATTGCTCTTTACAACTAACCACTAACCAGCTGGGTTAGTACGATTAGTGTGACTCTACAACTTAGAAGCAGTGCTAACTTGAATTTCATAGCTAGGTTAGGCTTAGTAACGCCAAGACTAATGTTTCTGTAAACTTTTTTATTGTTTTATTTTGAAAAGATTTTGTAGAACAGACACGGGCTTTGACTACAGATATTTTAAGTGACGAAATGTATGGCAACTGGTGGAGATTGAATAATTTAGAATGGCAAGCAGGATGTAGTGTGCTTCAAAACTCTTCCCTCACCACCATCACTTGATATTTTGTACAGTCATCTCAAAAACTGTTGTAAGATCTTTTTTGATAAGAATATTCAGAGAAGCTAAGAGTGGTGAAGAAGTTGTCTTTCACTCTCGCACGGCCCACCTTAAACGCCTTCCTAATTGACATAGTCTTTACCACAACGGTTTGCCTTATGTTTATGGTTACTAATGATATTTTTACCTGTTTTATCAGATTCTATTTTCAGAAGGACTCACCATCCCTGTGAAGTTGAAGCTGTTAAACATCAACGGTGCTGCTAAATTGAGGAGGAAGTATCAAGGTACTTACTTGGTTTATGTTGTTTACAAAGCCTTTGCATGTGTATATTTTTTCAAATTAGAAAACTACTTTCAATAATATAAACATTTACTCTTTGTAGTATTGTTAAATCGTTGATTAAATGATCAAATAGTAAGCCTATTGCATTAGAGTCTTTAGAATACTAGGAAAATAGGAGATGACTTTGTTGATTTAACGGTCGTCTTCCAAATACCCAAGTCTACTTTGGCCGTGGAATCCAGTTAAGAAAGTAAGAAAAACAAAGGCGAATGAAATTTAATTTTCTTCGTGCCATTTGCTCAAATACATCCTTAAATATCTCCTAAAATGCCTTTAATATTTTTTTTTACTAAAACACTTCATGAAGAACAACATATCAAATTTCACCAACATCACATTCTGAATATGGCTAAATATTCACTTGAATCCTTAACCACTGTAGTTAACAAGACCAAGGTAAGTTAGGAATTGTGGTTTGTTGTTGGTTTGTTCTTATGAAGTTATTAACCCTATGGACAGAATACAATGTGTAAAAATGTGTGAGAATGTAATATATAAGAGTTTTTTAAAGGTAAGACTCAGGCTACATTTCTTTGGAGACAAATCATAAGCTAATATATTTTCTCACCTGTAGGACCGTTGTTAGACATGTCTCAAGATTGGAAAGTTCCACTTCTCAGATCAAAGGAGAAGCAAAGTCTGGTTGTATCTGTCCAGGAGACTATGATGAATCTGCTTCCTTCTACTCACTACCTAGCGACCAACATTGAGACTGACATGGGCTTCATCATCGGTAAACTATTTCTTTCCATTTTTTCTATATATAGTAAAAATTAAATTTTGTATTATTTTTAAGATCAAGACAGAGCTGCTTGCCTCTAAAATATTTTTAGGTGGAGCTCAAAGGAGAGTAATTCAATAAAGTGAGAGAATATTTAAAGAATTGGTCGATTTAATTTGATCTATTTGGTTGATTTTGAAACTGATAGTGTTCAGAGAGGCATATCTGAATTATACTAAGAGTTGTAGAAAAATGAGACTGGACAACTGTCTGAGGAGGATACATCAATAGAAGGTAGCGTTGACTGAGGGAAAACTTGCATAAGTCTGTAGGGTGTGACACTTCCACAGGGCGAGGGTGTTGTATGGTAGAACACATGCTTTGAGCTGGATTTCTTCTGTAGATAGCCAAATACTCTACTCCTCGTCATAAATCTTTCTTCAAAGACTCTTGCAGAACACTTTTAGAATAACCTGTGCTTTCCAGACCTCAGTTGCAAATCCTTGCCTAGAGCCCTTTATCAAAAATACCAAGTACCTATCCTAGGCGTGGAAGCGGAGCGCAGAACGCAAAGAGCGGAAAGCGATTAACATGGCGTTCCACTATGCCTTTAGGAAAACTGTATCATTAAATTACCTAAGACAAGAGGAGTCCGTTCTGCTTCCGCACCTAGGAAAACCTAAAAAAATATTCTCTAAAACTGATAACTACGGTAATTTGGGGTGGAATTTTAGGTGTAAGATATTCCCTTTACGCTTTGTGATTGAAGCTGCATTATCATGATAAGGTTCTCTGCTGTTAGTCTTCAAATTATAAATGTGCAAAGTATCGGTAATTTCAGAATTGCAATTAGTACTCATTTTCTTAAGTATATAGCTAATTATAAATAAGTAAAAGTATTAACTATTATTGGTGATCATTTCATGTTTTGGTGCTAAGACAAAACATGAATCACTTTGCTGAAATACCCACTCTGCGATGAAATATTGACTACATATAGTACATATTGCAAAATGAACATATATATTTATCTAATTCCTAAACACACTAGGCCTTTTCTACCTACTATTCATATTTATCTACAACAGTACAGTAATAGTTAATTGTTAGGGAATTGTATAAATTTTTATATTTTCAATAATCTACTAAATAAATTTTCATTTTTCAGATGTTGAATGCGTGATGACTACCAAGTTTTCACCTTTACCCTTGTTTGACAAGAAAACTAAAGAAAGGATCGATCGATCAGGCCCTGACACTCAGAAAGGAATAAAGTAAGAGAATAGATTTTAGTATTAAAATCTCATTGTTACCTCTTGGGTTGATGATCCTAATATTGTTTTTCGAGACTGGCCACATCTTACCTTTGGCTTGCCTGTATGGCTTAAACTGCAACGGTATCGTAGTTTTTAAATCATTGCACACACCAGTAATTCCATGGTGACTGGCAGTTAGGGTTTTATAAAGGTTTTTATAATTTAGTCTAGGAGTTAGCGTCGCAGACTTTGGTGCAAGACAGGTTCAATTCCTGGCACATAGACTAATGTTTAAGAGGTTCATACTGCTTTCCCATGAAGTGTTGAGGATTATTTTTCATAAAAAATTTCTTTGGTGTAGACACCAACAGTATTTTGGGTAGATTGTAGTTTTGGTGGGGGATTCTATATTCCGCTCCACCTAAAAAGTTTTTATTTGAACTCCAAAAGTTGTTCAATTCTTAACAAAGTATTGATACAGAAAAATTAAACTTAATTTTAACTTATAATAACTTAATTAACTTATAATTAATATTTAACTTAATAAAATGGTTTGAGGTGTCGAACGTGGGGCATAAAATAAAAGTAAATAAATAAATGTAGGTTTTTCAAGTTCAGCAGACACTTAAAACTTGGTCTTCGGCAGATGATTGTGTTGTTGAACTGTTAAAAACGCTTGTTGACAATTTGGTAATTTGCAGCAATCTATTCTTAGTACAAGCTACAACCTAACATCACTGAGTTGGATCACTGCATATATGAAACATCATCCAGTATTTTTGCTGGTTCAACCATCTCCAAAGACCAAGTCTAAGCTTACTGTTCTCACGTTTAATGCGTTCTTAAATGTGTAGAATTTCTGATGATTTTAATCAGAAGAGTGAGTTATCCTCAAAATTTTGAAGACCAGTACTGCAATCTAGCCTGACAAGAGACAAAGATGATGTATACAAAACCGAAGAATATATTCATTATTTTGCCGCATAAAAGATGATGTTGTTTCCGTAGCCACGGGAGACGAATATAATGTCTTCAAGACCGAGGAATATATTCATGATTGTCACAATTGTAGAAAAAAGATTATGTGTTTCTGTGACCACGGAAGATGTCTACATAAACGCAGAAGACATTCAAGATTTTGTGGCAATCACGGGAAACAATGACGATGTTTCCATGACCAATGGAGGCGACAACAAATTGTCCAAGCGAGTTTTTGGATTTTGCCGTGATCACGGCCTTTGCTGAGATAAAGAATAAAAAATAAGTGGTGATGTTTTGGTAGGAGGGGGGGGGGCTATCCACATGTACTGTGGGGGGGGAGGGGATGTGCTGCTCATTGTACTTACGCCACTGCCACTATAGGTAGTGTCTAGTAAGCGAATAGTCAATGCTGAAACTCATCTTCGGTTTCAGAGTTGCTGTTCTGGTATGGGACTACCACGACATGACCCATGGCCGTAAAGAGCCTACGGGAGTCACCAAGCTATACCAAGACCTGACTCATCTCATGGGATACAGAGTCGCTGTAGTGGACTTTGTCGATTTCAACCCTCGCAGTAAACTCACAACCAGAGTACAGTACCTCAATCAAAAGTTGAAAGCCTCGTTAGGAATAAGTTAGCTGATAATAGGGTAAACAGATTAAAAGTATTACACAATATTATTTTTTTGCTTCTTTTCTTTTTCACATTTTTACAAAAATCTGTTACAGTTTTTACATTTCAGAATCATTTTTATATTGTCTTATACAAATTATATTGTAACTAAATTGTGCGCAAGATTTATTTTGAAGCCACCACATATAAATGGTTTGTAATTTTGTAAAGCGTTGTTTATATATAAGCTTATATACACTGTTATGGGATTTTATTGTTATTGATTATTCTTGTTACTATTTTTCTCCTGCATAACAAAAATTGATTTGATGCAATAAAACTATTTTTATATGTTGCATAATAAACCTGAAGATTGCATAATAATGATTAATGGAACACTAATATTGAATGTACATTTTGAATAATTTATCTTTTTTCTAATTTTAATCATAATGCAAAATTGTAAATAAGTAGTTTGAAATAAGCTGTCTATCTTTATACAGTTTTGTTTTTAATTATGTAATTTCAACTGTTCAATGACTTAATGTATAGAAATCATTGTTATAATTTAATTGTTGTGTTTTAACAACAATAAAACAAAATATTGGATATCAGTTTTGTTATTTTCAACATACTTTCCCTTTTTTCTCAGAGTTACTACTCAAATTTGAATTTGCTAAGTTAACTAATATAAGGCAACCTATTGCTAAAACTGAGAAAAGTTTGGTCAGGTTTTTTTTTATATAGAATAATTTACATGAAAACAAAGTAAACATAAAACACCACTGTTGTTTGGTTTAGGTATTTTTTAAGTAGCTTGCTATCAACTGATTTAAGACAAAACTCAATGCCATTACCATGGAACTTTAAAAGCCAATAAAAAAAGCTCTGGGTGTGAATTTTGGGTCTAACTTAAAAAAGCTAAGTATAGGAGTAAAAGCGTACATTTCATATCATGGTATTTAATTAAATACAATTAGGCTACAGTACTTATTACGATGATACTGATTTTTATGAGGGTAAAAAACAACTATAAAATCAACTTTTGTTTTAAATGGTATAGAATATATCTATAACCGAATTCAGGCTTTTCAGTAAACAATGCCATCTTACAGCATTTTCATTCTCAAATTGAGAAGATTGAGTCACAAGATTAACTCAAAAATAAGATACTAAACACAAGCTATTTTGTCAGTTGTGTAGGCCAATTTAAGCCACAGTTTATAACAAATCTCTGAAGAGAGAGTTCTGATATAAATAACAATCAATGGAAATTCACATTATTTTATGCAGGTTAACTCCAAACCTAGTATGTTCCTGAAACATATTTGTTGGTTTTAAGGCCCCTATTACACGAGGTAGCCTGGCGACGTCGCCAGCGGCAGTAGCTGGCGACGCACTGGCCACCAAACCTATAACCAGTTGAGTAGCCAGTTGAGTAGCCAGAATTTTACCTCCGTGGCGCCGTTGTTGTGAGTGCTTGTCTTGCACTTGTACTTGTTATGAGCGGTGTTTACAGTGAATATTGAGTGATTATAAGTATCTTCTCCTTCTGTTACTTCTGAAGAAAAGGAGGCAAAGGAAGAGAAAAATGTACGTTCATCCAATGCTTAGTGCAAGAGAATCAAAAGGGTTATATTACACCCTTTTTGATGAGCTCTGTGCGGACAATAAAAAATGTTTCAATTATTTTCGTATGTCACAATCCAGTTTCTTCGAGTCATAAAGGATGATATAGACATTTTATCAACTGAAGTGAACAATTCACACACTCACAACACAACAGAACGCAACACAACAGTGTGCAAGTACCCCCGTGATTTGAACTAACCGAGTGGTGACGTGATACTGGCGACCTAGTGTAATAAGCTCCATATGCTACAACGCAGCGTTGCCAATATGGGTAGCCAGTGGCTACCACAGTGGCGACGGGGCTCGGTAGCCAGTCGGTCGCCAAAGTGTGGCTGCGTCGCTGGCTACCCTCGTGTAATAACATCCATAAGAATCAATGCCCCATGACAAGCTGAGTAGCCAGTTTGGTCGCTGGCGACGTCGCCAGGCTACCTCGTGTAATAGGCCTAATTGGATATCTCATTTTATGAATTTTGTATTTTACATCTTACTAAAAATCTTTTCCTTATATCTGTAATTCATCGTATACAATTCTTACTTTGGGTTTTCTCCCAACTTATTTTTAATTCATGTTTTGATATATTTTTACAGTATTCTTGTTGTTTTCTCTAAAAGATGCAAGTTATATTTCAAGTTATTTATTTTTTTATTAAAATACATCTTATGACGCCTAAGGAGTGCTTCTGCACGCAGGCAGGTAAATTGTCAAAATGTGCATCGTGTACTAGTATACTGTAGAATAAAAGCAACAAGTTAGGTTATTAGCAAAATTTACAAATAAGTTGTATCAATGCCAATAAGTTATGTCTACTACAATCAGACAGATAAAAAATCCTCAATGCTGTAAAAACAATTGTCCACCTAACAGGTAAGACAGTAAGTGTAACAGGAACTTTTTAAATGTTCTACCTCTTTCAGTGATAAAGGAAGCTTATTATATAGTTTGAGACCCATATAAAAAGTACTCTTTTCGTAAGCAGCAGATTTATGTATGGGGTACTGCAACACAGAGCTCAAGGGCCTAAAGCTGTATCGGGAGTTAGTTATTTTTTCTTCATAAATAAAAAAATGTTTTTTGACAAAGATTAAAGTGTTGTATATATTCAAGAGGGCACAGGTAAAACCTTCATTCTTTTAAGCAAATTTCTACAAGATGTTCTTGGACTAACTTGTACAATAACTCTTATAATCCTCTTTTGTATTTTAAATATTTTTTACTATCTGTGGCATTTCCCCAGAACTCAATATCATAGCCAATGTTAGAGTGTGTTTATGCAAAGTATACCATTATCTGAGTTTTTAATCTATTATTTTAGAAAGCACTAAAGTAATGTGAAATGCTGCATGTTACTAGTACATAGTGCATGTTACTGTGTTACTAGTTATATTATGATGGGTTTTGGGTTTAATGAAAACGAAAATAGCTTACATTTGCTTGACTGTTTTATCATATATCGTTTTGATTCAGTTTTTATTATAGACAATTTTAGTTTTTTGAGTTCTTTATTGAATGCTACACATTTTTTATATCAGTCGTATAGGTTAAATTCTCATATAGAAAGGTGAAAGTTGGCTATACGATGTTTAATTCCAAATTCCAGCAGATATTTCAATATCTTCATCATATATAATATTTATAAACATACACAACTAAATTCAAAATCTTCTTATTAAAAGAGAATCAGTCTTCAATCCAAATCAGCCTCACACTTGTGGTCCCAAAAGAAGAGTATGCAACTCATGAAGGCCTGGAGAGTTCTACTAAATTAATCTTTTTTCACTGACAATCTGAGTTTTACGATTTTTTCGAGGAAGTTGCTGCTAAAAGGAGTACTAAAAGACCACAAACTGAAACAAATAGTGTTTTTATTAGTAAATTGCAACTGTTTAAGTTTTTTTTTTACTTAACTGTGACAAGAAATAATATTATTAGTTTAAATTATCACTACAAACATTTTTGTTATAACCTCCTTTTCTTGTAGTATTTTTGTTGTGCTTCTAGTGAGTTTTTAAAGGTTTTAATGTCTTCTTTCAGCTTTGAATTTGACCAACCAAATAGAATACACACGCCTATATGAAACCTTAGATTTAACATGCTCCATTATATATTTATCATCCTTATGGGTCAGCTGTTGACTATTTTGATTAATATTTGTCAACATATTGAGAAGATATATAGGCTACCATAGCATTCTTGAAAAAGAGTAATTTTAGTTGCATTAAGTACACTAGATAGGTACCCAATGAAACTTATTATTTAAGAAGGATACTTACGTTAGGGTTTTCAACATTCTCATAGAATGGACAGCTTATTAATGTGGTACTGGTATGTGTAATTCTAAGTAGTTATCCATAGACAAGTCTACACAATACATTTATAAACTACAGCTCACCCAAAGTTATGCCGCTAAAACCCAGAAAAGTCCCCGTGCAAGAGAGGTTAATAGCGTAAGGCATTAAGATGTTTCCCATAACAACTCCAATGCGGCCAAACATCATCGTTAGACTTACAGCCATTGTCCTGCAAAACTAAGTTATAATAAAAAATATGATGCAAGTAAAGACTATAATTGTTGCTATCATCAATAAGGTTCCCAAGTGAAATAAAATAATTATTGTTGATGCAACTAAATTATTCATATTTCAAATCAATTTGTATGTCTGGTTCAAATCGCCAATAAGGTTTATTATCAAAAAAGCGTTGAATATGATGAAGTAACGTAGATTTGCCAGAGCAGGAATACTCACAATTGTCTCAGAAAAACAAGAGGTTGCCTAATAATATGTAGGGTTTTTTTTAAGCAGAGTGGAACCGTCGTTCCCGCACCACTACACCACTGGTTGAATATGACACTTAATTATGATCAAATATATATTCATAATTTGCTCAAAATATTTGGCTTCAAAAACTTCTTTAGGTAAAACAAGTTGGAATATGTGTTGTCTTAATATCCTGTTCTATATCATGTAGTTCACATTTTTTAAACAGTAGTTATACTCAACAGTTTGACAGTCAGATGCATAATTTAATTTATTAAATACACCAAATAACCCTTTGGTAAAAGTAGGTTAATTAGTGCAAGTTGGTGTGATTACTGAATATCATCCATAACATTTTACAGAAAGCTATTGATGCCAGCAAGATATCCTGATTTCAGGATGCAGTGCCAATTTTTGGTATTGGAAGAGACTGTGATGATGTTTTTGGGACGATAAGAGGGATTCGAATATCTTTAATATTGTTTTTTGTATCTTGGAGATGTTAATATAACATTGCCTCAAACATATATTTTCTAGGTTCAGGTTTACATCCAACTCAATTTTTTTACATCATCCTCAATGCAGAGGCACCTGATAATACCTTATTAATCTTGAATCTTCTTTTAACCAAAACCGTTCTGATTTTGTAGGTATCGGACTATAAAGAGTCTACGCTAATATGAATCTTAACATAAAAATTGAAATTAAAATTTTTTACTTCAATGTTGTGGGGAAGATTTGCACAACAAAACCCAGCAGCCCAATGCTAGAGTTGTATGCGAGAGCGACAAAGATCGGTGCCAAAAATGATGTTATCGTGGGATGTAACCAACCTAGCGAGCATATCACTGCAGACTGTATGACGAACAAGGTAACTGCAAAGACAAAATAAGTGTATGGGTTATTAAAACACATTTATCACAACAAATGAAATGAAATTAAATTAAATAACAAGTTGGAAGTAACATTGTCTTGGATTGTCCTCTTTCATGCAAATTCTGAGAAAATATGAGCTGGCAAAAAAATTATCAATAGTATGCCATCTTCAATGACTATTATGGTCCTAAATGTATAGTTTTATAAAACTTGTAAGGTAGAACGAGAAGGAGTTTGCTAAAAAATTTGCTTATATTGTTATTAGAAGCACTTTGATTTTTAAAATCAGCACATGATGATTAACTGTCTTCGTAAATTTCAAATCAATAAAGAATAAAAAATATGCAGTTTCATCAAATACGATATTTTTTTCTGAAGCTGGTGAGAAATTGGAGAATATTTTGTGGAATGTTTAGTTATTACTACTTTTGAACAAATATTAGACAGTTATTTCAAGGGTAAGTAACATAAAAAATAGGCTACTTCTTAAAGATTTGCATCAGCTGAAGGCAATTTTAGGGTTATCTCTATAAAGTTTACATGGAAGGGAGTTTGTTCTTTACTTATTCATTCTTTTTATTTATACAATTTTAATACTTAAACAAATATAACTATCTAGTTATAGTATATTACATTACTAGTCTTGAAATTAGGTGTTTACCGGACAAGTATATGGTTGTTCCCGGGCGAGACAAAGTCGAGTGCAGGATTACAATACAAGTACGGTAAACACATTTTGGAGGAGTGATGTACAATATTTTTCGCCATGCTACTGTAAACTAACCTAACAATAAAAAATACCTGTACTAATGCATTATATATTTCTTTGACTAAAAAATTTACAATAAAATTCCAAACTCCTTAAAGCAATTAAACTTAGCAAAATTTACAGACAAAACCAAAACAGTTTTAGTAGAAAAAGCATATTACACATTTGAGGAATTTTTCAACGACTCCTGGTAACAGACACCCATTCTCTCATCAACCTCTCCTAACATAAACAGTTCCACCATGCTGCAGTTTTTGTAGGGGTACCTTACTGGCTAAATCTTAGGATTTTTTATATATTTAGAATTCCTTATTTATTAGAAACCTTGACAATGTACCTGTCTGTGTATGTTTGTCATAATTGTAACAGATGTTATGTACAATAAAGAATTGTCATTTGTCATTTGTAATGGACTTAACAATCACTACTCATACCGTACCTTCTAAAAGATGTTATGTTTTTGTTTATTGATTCGTTGACTTATTACCATTTATAATTAGATGGTCACCGGTAAAAGCTCATTACAGTACAGTAGTACCTAATGAAACCACATTTGATTAAGTAGGCAGCAAACAGCTGTTTTCTGGACTAATTTCATGCGTGGAAAATCTATTAAAACCTAGTGTAGTGTGGCGAAAAAAGACTTGCGTGTCCTTTGATATTCAACCAAAGAGTAAATTGCGTTGTAATATTTGACTTGCCTTTTAAATAGAGAGAAACATTTTATTGCCACCTACACAATCTAGGCTTACTGGACATTCAACTAACATCAAAACATCAGGATTGCAACAGATGAGAACTCCATTTGCAATATCCAAAGTCAATCAATGGTAGTACTTACCAAATAGTTTCTTTTTCCCGGTGTGTTTAATGATAGCAATGCTGATGGCAAAAGCTACTGCAATCAGGATATTAGAATATATCATATTGGAGTATACAGATGTGTCCACCTTAAACTGAACAAACAAACTAATCAGGTGTCAATTCATAGCAAGTCTTATTGAAAATACAAATCTAAATATGGACAATTGCAAACATGTATAATTTTTTTTACATTTGATTTTTTATTATTTATTTATTGAAATAAAAAGTGTTAGTCATAAATATTTGAAATAAAAACACACTGGAGACATTTAAAACAACCAATCAAAACTGAGTATTTTACTTTACATTCAGATGACTTTTGTCTGGGTAGCCGAGTGATTAAAGCGCTTGCCTTCAAATCTGAAGGTTGTTGGTTCAATTCCAAAGCAAAATCGCAACTGAACCCAACTGCCATTTGTAATTGCGCAATCAATAATTTATACTATCTAACAAAAGATTGATGTTAGATAGTAACAAGACTAGGGTACCTTTCCTCAACAAAAAAGTGTACACATTTTTACTGCAAATTCATTATATCCATGCACAGTGGTAACTTGATCCAAAATTATTATTAAACAAACAAAAGGGAACAGGGAAATGAAAGCTGTTTTCAGTGGTCTGTGTTTTCAGTTGTCAAATCAAAGGCTCATATACTATATTGACCTTATTAAGGGTTCCACTGGGAAGCCCTATTTTAATATTTTAGAACAGTTACATATCTTTTATTGGAATTAATGTTGGAAAAAAAATTCTATGCCGAGATTGAAAAAAGATTTTAAGAAATATCATATTCCGAGGTTGTATTACCATATAAACACTGAAATAACATTAATTTGTTTTATTAATAAGAAATAATACTTGCATTATCACAGTCGACTCGCTTGACCAATGTGTGATTTCCTGTGATCACTTCACAAGTGGTCATTGAATCACTTTGAGATTCTTTGATGTAAAAAAACAGCTGTGGAAGCCACAGCCTGATTGTGTTCAATCTGAAAGAAAAAATTGTTGTAAGTGTGATTATACTTTTGAAAAATATAAGAGATGAGTTATTGGAAAAAATGTAATCTTTTCGACAAAAATTCCAAGATGAAGTTCAATAGCGGGTCCAAATAGAAGTCCAAGCAGAGAGCAGGCCGATTTGGAACACACATTAATTTAGAGTTTCATCGGCAAAACTAAATGGGAGGGATTCCTTCCTATAATAATAGGACACTATATTCTGTTAGCACAGTAGTCGTTTGACTTAAATAATGTCATTGATGACACAAGAATAGTAAAAATCCAACAAAAATAACTGATTTTTAAACCAACTTTAAATAAGCTGTTTATTGTAACGTAACTAAAATACCCCCGCCGCAGCAAACCTGCCGACTAAGCAAATTTCCATTTGTCTGAATTGATTTTCAGTTAAATATATTTTAATAACATTAGGTTTAACGAGTACCTAGGTTTGCTGCTACAAGGAAACTAATAAAGTGTGTTTTTGAGTAAAATATTGATAGCTTAGTACAAAATAAATAAATTTGACAAGTTTGATCAAAATATATCCATAAACAAGCAAACTACAACATTTGACAATATTCTCCATAAGAATAACATGGGAATTTTAAATTTACAATTTTTTTAATTTTCTCCGTTACTAATAATCGAACAAAAATACTTTTATATACTAAATTATTTGTTTTTTTAAGCTCTTTAAAAAGGTCTAAAGAGAAATCGAGAAATTTTGTGTTTTGAGGGTCAAAAGTGAGAAAACCCAATTTTTACCCCATAAAACCCCCCGTAAAGCCCCGTTCCCATGGTCCGATCGTGCTGGTTCGCAAACTCCTTCAAGTTTATCCCGCTTTACACCTTTAAACCAAATTTCATCAAAATCGGACAAAAACTACTCAAGTTATCGCGTTCACAGACGTATATATATATATATAAGTCTATATAAAAATTTGAACGAATGGTATTTTTGGCCTCTGGGGACATCAAAATGAAAAAGTAAATCGGTCCCGGGTCTAGGTCTTACCGTGCCACCTACGGTAATAGTTACTTCCCTATAGGGAAATTCACTAAATACTTCCCTATAGGGAAATTCACTAAAAAAAGCTTATAAGAATTAGCTTTATAGCAGAATTGGACTATTTTATATCTTTGTAACAGAATATTGTTTTAACAGTGTCAAAAATTACAATTACATTATGATTTCTCTTCAATCTATCTTATGACCAAATATATCAGTGCCATAGGTGGATTAGTGAATTTCACTGTGCATCTATTACCCCCCCTGGACTGAAACTTTCTAAGGTAAGCTGGCTGAAATCTATTACATTTCTAAAAATTCCTAATCAACCACTTGGCTTTCCTTTATGATATTTTTGTATTTAAAATCTAACCGTTACTCGAGCACTGGTGGAAAATAATGTCTAAATCTAGTTTTAAAATTTCACTTTTATTAATGTTTCAAATCCTATTAATTTTTTACCTCTCATAAGACTTATTTACATAAATATTTTCCAATCAAACACTTACGTTGAAAGACCTCCAAACTGAATAGAGAAAGCTAAAAAAGCCTTGTAAAGATAAGGTGGTCGAAACAAAGCAGTCATTTGTTCCCAAAACTTCATGCGAGAATTTGCACCTGTTTCAGCTTTCAATCTTTTCACCTTCAAAACACACAAAAAAATTAGTTTTAGTTGAAGAAATCTTTAAGAATCAGATTTCCCTAATATATCTTCTACTTGTTGAAGATATATGTTAAAAAATGTTGCTCAACTTGATTAAAAATATTTTATGTACAATAGTGGTTAGATATTAAGGTACAGAATATTTGAACAGTATTTTATACAGATTCAGCAAAATTGTACCGATTTTGTCACATAGCTTTGATCCAATCCCAAATGACAAGAACGGCCCTTTGTATCCCTCGCAAAACCAGCAAAATCCTTAATCCACCCATTTCCTTGATCCTTTCCATTTTTTTAAGACATTAAGGTTTATAAATTATTAAATTAGATATAGATAACCTTCCAGCCAATAATGGTAAGTTCTTGAAATCCATGACAAACACATAATGCATCTTTCCATAAACTCACCGAGTACGTATGGCGTTTCCCACTATTCGTAGAATAAATGGATTGAAACACTCTAAGAGCCTCTTTTTCACGTCCCATTGCAAGCAAGAACTTCGGACTTTCATGGCACAAGAGAATGCTGAACCCAGATATGAGTGAGGGAACGGCACAAACCAAGAGAAATAGCTGCCAGGAATTGAGGCTTATTAGACCATCAAAGAAAGACCATTTGATGTTCTGAGGAATGATCAACCATGCAAGACCTGTATAAAACAAAAAAAATAACTTTGTTACAAAGGTTTGTGTTTTTAAAGTGACATTTGTGTGGCTTTTAGATAATATCTGTGTGCTTTGTTAAACATTGTCTTAACATAAATTATGTGGCATATGGTACAACATTGTAGTCAACAATGTATAGTACTGTAGTTACCAACAACATGTCATTTTAAATATCTGTTGTAAAGTGGCCTGAGTTAATTATTTAAAATCTAATGAAAAATGGCACAATTTGCAGAAGTGGTCCTGTCCTTACGACAGATTTAGTGAGCTAACCCAACCAAGTTATCCCTGCTTAATCTTGGTTGTGGAATTGAGCTAACTCATCTAGCAATGTTTGTAAATCAAATATGATATAACTCATTCTCTGAGAAAGATTCTTTTCCTACAGTCACCCGACAAAGTTGGCTCCCTTGTACTGTTTATAGTACAGAAAGCTGCTAACTGCTGCATATTTATACTTTGCCGTACGGTTTATACTTTGTCGTACGGTTTATACTTTGCCGCACATCAGGATTCCAACAAAACAACACAAAACAGTGTGGTTCTATTATGCACGTAATCCGTGTACGCTTGGAAATAGGTTGGCAACACTAAAAGATAATAATACTATGAGCAGCTGATTGACTTTTATAACTACGATTTAACCTGTCATTTCGTGTTTATAGTTTCGGTATTTCTGAACTTTCTGGACTTTTCTTTTAAACGTTTTTAAAACATTCCTACGATCTTAACAAACAAGAAAATACCTTTAAAGCATTTTTTAGGCGCGGAAACCACTTCAAATTACAAAAGCATACGGAACTATATTCTCAAAACCCGGAGCACATTTCTTGCCGAGGAAAAATAGCGGAGTGATACGGACCGCGGGTACTACTTTCTCTAGGGCACCATTTGTGTTGCCAGCTGAACCTAAAAACGTGTTGTATAGTGTTTGAAAGACTAATTATGCTTTATAGTGACTGTAGGAAAAATATAATTTGTAACACGAGTGAAAAAGGCCTTTGCTGCACTCGAGATCATTCCACACTCGCCTGCGGCTCGTGCGTAAACATTGCTCTCGTGTGCAGCAAAGTGCCACTTTCACCACTAGTTACACAAATAACTATTCTCAGATACCTTTACAAAAACATGACTGATACATGTTCTGAGAATTTCCAGGAGTTAAATCCTTATTTATTATTTATTCTTTACAGAAACTGCTGTAATCAAAAGAAAATGACCTATGTCATTAAGACTGATATAGGTACTGTATCAAATAGCATATAAACTTGTATAGAAGATAGATGTAAAAAAATATTTATCAAAACCAATTTAAAATCATCACCAAAGACTTCTGGTTTGGATTGAAAATACTGAAAATATAACAAAGCTATCAAAGAATGTAGAATAACTCTTATTTACACATACTTACATGGTTGAATAACACCTCCAATAGCTTGACAAAACCCAACAACTAAGACCACAGAATCTCGATGCCTTGAATTAAACATCTCCGATAAATAGGACATGAAAATAGAAAAAGGCCCAGATATCCTGAAATAGACAATCATATTAATTATTAGTAAGTAAATACAGTTCCACATTGGATATATGTTCTGTTTTAACCAGTAAATTAAATAATGCAAGTGTAGCTAGCATCAAAAAGTTTCTTTCGAGTAAAAAAATACTAAAATTAAAGAGGTAATGCATACAAAAATGTAGTTATATGACAATTAATTACTTATTTTTCATCACTCCGCACAGAAAGTAGCTATTTGCAAACATCTGATATTAAAGAAAGTAATTAATTGTTTCCCAAGCTTGCTTGTAATCAGTTTTCCATTTGCCCACTTCCTGCACTAGTGTTTATTTACAATTTATATCTATAGTTGAAATCTGCTGTTTTTACTATTCAACAACACCAATGTAAACAGAAATAGACAAAACCTAGTTTTGCAGTGTTTTTAGCTTGTAGACCTAATGTGTGTTTTTACTGCTTTAAATTTAACTTGTTGTTATACAGGTTTGCTATAACCTATTTTCTTTTATTTTTATATTAAAATAATGTTACTCAGGAAAAATAATAGTTTTTAATTCTACTGAGGTCTGTTACTCTAATGTGTGAATATTCTTATGTCATGATGAAAATTTGTCTTTCATAACTTGTACCGGTATAACAAAAGTGATTTTCCGGCATTTGCTCCAACTATTCCCACCTTTGGCTTTGCCTCTTCGTATACAAAAGCGTTCTTAGTATACAACCATTGTATGATTTATCTTTTAGCTTTAAAAGAGTAAGACATTTAAGAAATTGTATTCTGTAATTTAAGAGAAATCTGTTAAACAATAAATTTAGTTAAAAGATAAAGTTTAAAGTGTTTGCACTGTTCTCGGTGTGACAAGATAACCTAATGTCATCTGCCTGTCACCTATTGTTTGTTCAACAGTTTCGCTCACTGTCACAATTCTACAACACACAGATTAATTCAACAGAATTTTAATTTTCCTGCTGCTCATTACAAACAAAAAGGTAACGCCCTTAAGGTCTCTACAATGCTAATCCACATCAAGCTGAAAACGTAACACTGGTTTTAAAAACATTCAGAATTATTTCCCACAACTTGGTACAAAAACAAAGTTTCTGGTTTAAATTATTCATTAAAATTATTTAATTTATTTAAAAAAAGTGATTGAACTCAGCTGAATTTCTATTTTTATTTTCATTTTTGTCTGCCCTTAATGACTTGTTGCAGCTAAAAATTAAAATAATTTCTCGATTCTCATCAAATGTTTTTATACTATACACATATATGATACTCCATCCAACACGATTCAATGTATTCACCCTCTTACTATAAACTTTTACAATACAAATTAAATATAAATAATAATTACAAATCCATCCATCCATCCTTCGACCAGTAACACAGCTCAAATCAGATTCAATTGTAGACTGCTCAGTCATGACTCGTCAAAATTGATCACAATTGTAACATCTCATATATACGTATATAGTATCAATGTATATAGTATGTGTTTGAATGAATAGTATGTGTTTGAATGAATAGTATATGCAGTGCTCGAATTGCGGGGAACACGGTGGAAGGGAGTTTAGAGACAAGAAAAAATATACCAAATAGTGTTAGAAAATGTATTGTTTCATATTGGTACCAAAAGTTTAACTACTATCAGGTTTGTTTTTTACACTTTCATTGAAGCTTTTTGATCTTTGTCCAAAATGTTAAAAATATCTTATTTTTATATTGCAATTTCTCTTTTTTTCACAAATTAATACATCAACTTACATTATTCCACTCAAGAATTTGAAGCCCAAGATGGACCAAAAGTTGCTTGATAGGCTGACGCACACTGTGAAGATGACATCTCCGAGGTATCCGAACGCCAAAACCTTCTGTCGACCGAACTTGTCACTGAGAAACCCCCACAAGAATGCGCTCACTATCATGCCTAAAGCCGATCATGTACAGCTGTAAAACGACTTGATTTAATCTTCACTATGCAGAAATGTATATGTACGGTATGTTTTCCAATTCACATAGCTTATTTTCAAATTTAAGCATGAAACCCAAAATAAAAATTAATTTAAAATAGTAACTATGCATTTGTTTGAATCACATTTAGTTGATATATCTAGAAAGTTGTGAATATTGTAGAAAACAAGTTTTAGAAATTATAAACTGGAAAAAACAAACAAATTATACGTCTTTAATAATACTAGTAATAATATATTTACACTTATACTGTTGACTCACAAGACGGTAAATACATATGAAAGATGGTAAGTGGTGTTCGATTTCGATTGGACACCCCAATCATCATCAGACCCAATAAGCGAATAAAATCAACATAACATTCGCCGATTCGCCAATGGGTCTGATGATGATTGGAGTGTCCAATCGAAATTGATCACCACTTACCACGTTTCATATGTATTTACTGTCTTGTGAGTCAACAGTATAAGTGTAAATATATTTTTCCTACAGTTACCTAACAATGTACATGTTCTCTCACTGATTTGAGAAAGCAAAGTGGCCAATTCGCTCACCAGTGAGACAATGTTAACATTTTCTCACTCTAATTACTTTGTCTCACTCCAGATTTGCAACGTGAAGGCACAAAATAGTGAGCGCGTAACATGCAGACAAGGTTGTATGCGCATGAAATACGTTGGCAACACTGGCTGTAAATCACCTGGTCAGCTGTTGTACTGTGTTGTATCATTAAATGTCATATTAAAAGTTCACTTCTGTGTAAAAATATGTTACGTTTCTTTACCAATTTATTTGTTTTATGGTAACTGTAGGAAAAATATAATGTGCAGCTCGAGTGCAAAGTGCAATTGCCTCACTCGATAAACCATTCCTCACTCGCCTACGGCTCGTAAGTAACTATTTCTCTCGAGTGAGTCAGTTGCTCACTTTGCTCACTAGCTGCACAAATAACTATTTACTATGTGTTATTAGATGTATAATTTGTTTGTTTTTTCAGGTAATTTAAAACACATACGATGCTGATCAAGAAGTTGTTTAGTAAAAACTAGAAAGGAAACTATATTATAGTTCTTGAATGAAATAAGTTCCTCAATCACATTTTCTCAGTATAGCAGTTGCTAAAATATTGGTTAAGCATAATCCTAGTTTAGTAATTATTTCAGCATTATTCCTGTCATAATCCTAATTACAAGATTTACCTTATCATTGCTAATCATATGGGGTTAAAAGTCTTGAAAGGCAAAATGCCCTTGTAAGATCCAACTTTTTGAATTATTTAGTTTATACAATTTCATGTTGGGCTTGCTCTTATTTCCAACAAAACGTTGCATTTTATAGAAAAACTTTTGTAGATAAAATCATAAAAAGGGGCATTAAAAGTGAAAGCAGTTGAAAATATGTAATTTTGACATAAAAAAATATATAATTTACCTTTTTCAAAAATTAAAAAGTTTAGAAACAGTATACCTACTTCAGTAAATAAATGTGTGGATTCAAGCTATCATTTGTTCTTTATAAAAATAGTTAAATATATTTTGAATATTACATAAATGTTAAGGATTTAAATGTTATTTTTAAGTTATAATTATCATTGGGGAATCCAACTAAGGTCAAAATATATCAAATTCTATCACTTCAAAATAACTTAAATCAATTGAAAAATGTAGCCCAAATCCCCGTCTTATATTCCCAAGTTTACTATTTAAATATTATTTTTACTTGATTTGTTAACTTACCTGCATAAATAGTTCCGTTTAGATAACCTCGATCGAAAGCGTTCAGCTTCAAGTCACATGAAGCCGTCGGGAGAGCGAAAGAGAAGGAGGTACTTTCGTAAGTGGTGGAACACGAGGCAGGAAAAGCCAGAAGAAGAAGTAGGTAGTTGAATTTTCCATATCCTGAAAATTACAAATCCTTCAAATATAATATCAAAGTCTTATTACTGATAAGTTAAGGTGATTTCCCAGCCTCATTGCAGAGCATTAAATCATAGATAGCTAATTGTGAAATATATCTAGCAACAAACTAAAACTCTTTTACAAGGAAAACCCCTCATGATAGGCATATGGACTGCCCATGGCTTGAAACTTGATTAAAAATAATATGGGAGTCTGTTTCAATTTTTTTAAATGGTAAAAAAAGCTTTAAAACAAGTCATAAAGTTATGGCCTAAAAATTTGAGAAAAGAGTTCTGGGAAGTGCCAGTGCCGTTACATGCAAAATTTAAATTTTTCTAAATAGAGTTTTATTCTAAATAGACTATGAGGCATTTTTGGGTGAATAGGATGATTTGAAAGAAAACTATACATTTCAGAAATCTAGCAGCAATGTATTCCATGAAAATTGCACTATGGCTATGAGCAAATTGTTTTTGATAGATTAGAACAGGTAGTATGATTACACCGATTTATGGGATGGTTTGAGGTAAGAGGGATTTAAAATGGTATAATGTGGGAAAAATTTAGATTTTTTGAAATGATTGGGATATTGTGTTTTGTTAGAGGAAACACTGAAAGTCAAGGATATCCAAATCAAGGTTATCTGCTTTGGATATAACTCACTTCACTACCAATTTCCTTAATTCATTTATACCAAAATGATCCCATGGAAATGTTGAAAGAGTATTTTAATGTGATTTAAACCACAATGTATTGTCTGTTTTACATGCTATAAGAGCCAGTTAATTAGTGAGTAAACTAAACACATGTCTATATTTTATTGCAAGGAAGCCAATAATGGCCACTGTACATTGTGGCAAATGAAATAAGAAAATAAACAGCTGTTCTGATAAGGTGGTACCAAATATATCCTTTTATGATGAATAACAGTAATCAAATAATGTAAATTTAAAAATCTTTTTAGCTTATCATTATACTTATTTTAATTAAAATTAAATTCACAAAAACATTAATCAAGCTAAATCATCTGTACTTTAGAACATTCCTAAAACTGGTTATTTCTATACATACCAGTTTCTTTAATCGCCTCTTCAAAATCCACTTCAGTCTGTGAGTTAGTTAGATTCGTTTTCTCTGCAATGGAATATAATATAAAATCAACTTATAAAATAAAAATTAAACTATAACCAAACTTCTATAGAAACAATTTACAACTGTCCTAGCATGTTTTGTTGGTTTTAATTGCTACAAAAGAATCTCAATTATATTCCGTTTTGTTATACTCATAATCTTTCTATTAGATAGAAAAAAATGAAACTCAAATGTTTATTTACCTGAAACATGTGATTTGGAATTTATTTCACAGAGAGCAATGTTTTCTAATCCATTTTCATTGTCAGCCATTACAGCTGTTGTAATACCAACTGTTTGTAGTCAGTGCTAAATTTACCATTCTATTGTAGTTGGCTCATTCAGCTGTATATTGATTACAGATTATCTATTTTGAAGCTGAGTGAAATTTCAATGAGATACTCCCTACCACATGAATATGATAATGTTATTGATGCACTACTTACTGTTGGTTTCTGTTCCATTGTACGCTATTGTAAATATTTTTCCATCTTTTTCAATTGGTTTTGGACCTTGGTTCATCTTCTGCATTGGCTGAGTTTCTGTTCTGTAAAATTAATTTAAATTCATATTATTTAGTTGTAAATTATGTCCCGAATATAAAACCATTATACAGGGCGAGTCTTCTAAGCTGTCCTAAACAGATTACAGAATGGATTGACATACAGAGATGAAAAAAAAAACTTTTCCCCACTAATTCATACCCAAGGAACAACGTAAATTTTTTTAACATTTTTAAAGTACAGGGTGTTTGAGAAACTGGGGGTCATGGGTTTGAATCTCAGAGTTTTCAAATATAAACATATGTCATGTCATGCATCATTTTAAAGCTCTAGACTATACAAACAAGTTAGTGAAAAGAGAACTCATTTATCTTTGTCCGTCTCTAAATGGCGGCTATTTTTATGGAAAATATTGATATCTACATAATACCCTGTATCTTGGAAACCACTAAACTTATTTTCATTCTGTTTCAAAATTCTTAATATTCGTGAGTTAAGCTTTAATTCTATATACGACATGTCAACAATTTACAAACTAAATATTTTGTCAATGATTTTAATTTTAGTGAATTTCCCATATAGGGAATAAGCTATTACCGTAGTACTCATGGGAAGACCTGGACCCGGGACCGATTTTTTTTCGTTTTGAGGTCCCTAGAGGCCAAAAATACCATCCGTTCAAATTCATATGTATATATATATGTGTGTGTGTTCGTTAGCGCGATAACTCGAGCAAAAATGATCCGATTTTGATAAAATTTGGTACAAACGTGTAAACCTACGTTTATTCGAACGAGTTCGCGAACCAGCATGATCGGACCATGGGAACGGGGGTTTATGGGGGGTTTTGTGGGGTTAAAAAGGGTTTTTCCCATTTGTGACCCAAAAAACATCAAATTTTGTAATTTCTTTCTAAACTATTTTGTAGAGCTTAAAAAAAAAATTTAGTATATTGAAGCTTTATAATGCGCCTAATGGTTACAACATTTGATGTTTTTGGGGTCAAAAATGGGAAAAACCCTTTTTAACCCCACAAAACCCCCCATAAACCCCCCATAAACCCCCGTTCCCATGGTCCGATCATGCTGGTGATGATTTTTGCTCGAGTTATCGCGCTAACGGACACATATATATATGAATTTGAACGGATGTTGTTTTTGGCCTCTAGGGACCTCAAAACGAAAAAAAATCGGTCCGGGGTCCAGGTCTTACCATGAGTACTACGGTAATAGCTTATTCCCTATATGGGAAATTCGCTAAAATTAAAATCATTGACAAAATATTTAGTTTGTAAATTGTTGACATGTCGTGTATTCCACTTAAAAAAAAAAAAAGAAACTTAAAAGTGATTGCCACTTAAAGCTAAACTCACTAGGATTAAGAATTTTCAAACAGAATGAAAATAAGTTCAGTGGTTTCCAAGATACAGGGTATTATGTAAATATCAATATTTCCATAAAAATGGCCGCCATTTTGAAACGGACAAAAATAAATTAGTTCTGTTTTCACTAAATTGTTTGACTAGTCTAGAGCTTTAAAATGGTGCATTACATGACATATGTTTACAATTGAAAACTAACTCAGAGATACTAACCCATGCCCCCAGTTTCTCCAACACTCTGTATTTAAAAAATGGTAAAAACATGAAATGAAATGAAATGAAATGCTTTATTATCCATTAGGCATAACATGTAATAGGCATCGTCAAAAACAAATAGCAATATACAATTTTCATAGAAATTAAAACTAAAATAAAAAAAATCACACAGCAAACAAAACCAAAAGCAAACCATGCACAAAACTACTGTCAAAACAAAACAATCTGTTACTTACATTGGAAAAACTCTCTCACAGTCTCCTTAGGAATGTCGAAGAAATCGTTGGTCTTATAAAGAGGGAAAGCCAATAAAGAGGGAAAGCCAATAAAGAGGGAAAGCCAATAAAAGTGCCCGGAGATTGTTTTGGAATTTTCTGTTGGCTTGGTTCCAAGCTGTACAAGAAATGTGGTTAAGAAGCCTTATACATAACTGGCTGGAATTTCTTTTTGTTTTACTTAACCTAACATAAGGTACATCAATATTGTTCTTATTCTGGTATTGTACATATGATAATCACCCCTGCGACTAAGTGACTGGAGATCATTTTTTACATGCACAACTGAAACAAAGACATACAAACTACAAACAGTCATGATTTCCTCATTTACAAAGAGAGGTCTGCAATGGGCATCATACTCAGCGTTTGCTAGGATTCTTACAGCTCTTTTTTGTATAAGCAATACATCATTAATTTCAGCAGACCCCGACCCACCCCAGAGCCTGAGCCCATACAAAAGAACTCCTTGAAAAAAAGCTACATAGGCTTTTTTTAAACAGTTTTTATTCAGACAACTTTTTAGACTTCTTAAAAGGAAGACAACTCTGGAGAGTTGACTACATACCAAGGTTACATGAGGGTTCCAAGTCAGTTTTGTATCAATGCAAATACCCAGGAGCTTAACAGAGGTCACATCATGTTTAATGCTTTTCACCGTAAATACCAAAGATTGTGTTTTGGTTTCATTGAGAGACAAAAAGTTAGCATGGAACCAAACCAAGGCCTGTACAAGGGATTGCTCCATGAGTTCCACAAGATTTTGAAAATTGTTTGAGCTATGAACCAGTGTTGTGTCATCTGCATAACAGACCACGCCACCTTCAACATGACTGGGCAAATCATTCATCATTATTATAAATAGCAGAGGCCCGAGGACAGACCCCTGCGGAACACCATGGACAACAGGACGAGACCGAGAGCACTGGCCATTCACAACAACCAGCTGCTCATGTCCCCCCAAGTATGACCGGAGCAGTTGCAGCTCAACACCCCTGATTCCATAATGATTCAACTTACAGAGCAGCACATCATGATCCACAGTATCGAAAGCCTTACTGAGGTCACACATTTTTACGTTGTTCCTTGGATATGAATTAGTGGGGAAAAGTTTTGTCTCATCTCTGTATATCAAGCCGTTCGTCTGGAATCTGTTTAGGACAGCTTAGAAGACTCATCCTGTATATTTGTATAACGTTTTAAATGCATATGTTGGTTGCATTAATGAATGATCAAGGGTTACTAATCTTAAGAGTGTAAGTTATGTGTGGTAATAATTGATCATATGTTCTATCATCAATGAAATTATAGATTTCACTTACCACTGCCCCTCTTCTTACCCAGATGATAGTTAACACGAAGATGTAAATAGATATTAAACTAAAACACTTGATTTTGGTAAAATAATATACAAACTCATTCAAACAGAAGTCACCTGATATTCCCTTAACTTGTGGAATTTTATCAATTTTACCCTTTGTTGGTAAATGTGTACATATGTACTGTATATTTTAAGTTTAGTAAATTCAATGTAATTGATTAATGTAAGTTGATGAAATTACAATAACTGGTTTTTTTTTTAAATAACCAAACAAATTATGTTAGATAATTCCTATCAGGTGATTTATATATTTTAGGAACATTCAATGATAAAATTCTACAATCTAATATTCCACTCAAGCTTAAGTTCTGAAGAATGTTTTAAGCTATTATCTTGAGTCTAATGGTCCTGTGATAGTTAGGACATTAAGAAACTACTTATGAGTCAGCAGATTCAAACTTCCAATTCTTATTCTGTACTAAATCAAATATACATGTTTCATTAAAATTATTTTATCAAAGGATAACCAGCTCTCGATCTGATGACTTATTAAAAAATACAGTTATATAACATAAGAGAAATATATAGTTAATAGTAACAATTGAAAAATGATACTAATAAGCTATGGCAATAATTATGACCTAATATGAGATAGAGATTGCAGTAATAGTGGAATTTCTTTTTCATTTGAACTCTTATGAAAAACCACTAGTTCACACAAAAATTTACTCCCGCCTACAGCAAACCTGCAGACTAACTATTTGCTTAATTATATTTCGCTTAAATATTTCCTGAAACATGTCAGATTTATTCCCTATTTCAGGCGGGCCGGAGAGATGATTGCGTCCCCAACAAACCTATAATAAAACCTATTCTGCCCCTGGGTCCGATTTATAAAACTGCCCTGCCTAATTAAATAACATTAGGTTTAAGAATGTCTTAGGTTTCCTGCTACAGCGAGGGCAATTAAATGTGTGTTTTTAGTATAATGTTAATATTTAGTGTTAAAAAAAATAGCCAAGTTTGAATTGGCATTTATTTTTAGGATACATTTTAGGATTCAAAAACAAGCAAACTAATGGAAAAAGTTTACTTATTCTCCATAAAACCAACATGGACATTTTAAATTTAAAAGTTTTTGAATTTTATCCGTATAACTAATAACCGTACAAGAGCACTTCAAAATAGTAAATTCATTGTTTCTTAAGCTATTCAAAATGTTTCAAAGAGAATTGGTAAATTCTATGAATTGAGGGTAAAAAATTAGAAAACCCAAATTTGACCCTATAAAACCATTCGATCATGCTGTTTCACAAACACATTGGAATAGTAGGTCTACACAAAACGAAGTGTATACAAATTGATATGGATGTAAATTAATTTGAGCGCATGGTGTTTTTGGCCTCTGGGGACATCCAAACAAAAAAGAAAATCGGTACCGGGTCCAGGTTATAATAGGTCTTACCATGAGACTTACAGCACGGTAATAGCTTTTTTCCTATATGGGGAATCTGCTAAAAACTGTACTAAATTGGCGATTGGTGTAGGAGTTTAACCCAAGCTTCCAAAATTACAACCAATTGACTAACCTATAAAACAATCCAAGTAATAAGGACCTAAGCCTGAAAAAAATAGTCAATAGGTAAATACAAAAATATCAAGTCAGCAAGTAATAAAGTGACTTAAGTAATGTATTTATATGTATTTAACCAAATAGAGCTGATGACTTTCTGAACAGAATTTTAAAAAAAATCCTATTAATCATTATAGAAATAGAACCTTAAAAAAATAGTTTGTCTAATTTGTAAAGATCTATGTATAGAATTAACATTGTGTAAAGAATTTAGACTACAAATTACCTAAATTTGTTAAAGTCAAGTGAATGTTGGTTGGTCGTTTTAGAAGCGTCTTCTCTGGAAGGATCTGAACTACTGACTGTTATTATCCTTTATCACCTACCATGAGCAGGCCAAGGGGAGATCAGGAGGGTATCTTGCCATAAAAAAGGGTCACACTGGTTACTTCAAAGGGCTACCCCACTTTGAAATTCTAATTCAAAAGTATAAAAACTTAGCTGTGGTTCATATTTGCATACCATACTTCATCATGGTATTATAGCCTTATGGCTGCCCATAAATATTTAAAATATGTATAAATACCTGCTTTTGGCAATTCAAATATTAAATAAATAATATAATATTTTAAATGTACTCAATGCGTTTCATAGAATTGAAAAATAAATAACAGCAATTAAATTATACAGCTGATCAAAATGTAAACAATTATGTTCTTCATAAGAATAACATGGGAACTTTCAAAGCCACTGGAGCAGAGCCCAAGGGACTTTTTCAAAAATGTAAGGCCAGTTTGCATTTTTGCAAATCTGCCAGTTTGCCTATGTCTGCTGTATTTCATATAATCGATTGAATTGATTTATACAGAAATGTTCTTTGTTATTCTTAGTCTTAGTTTTATTTTGTAAGTATATTTTGTATTAAAAAGTATGTTTTGTTTTCTTTATATATGGAAATAAACACAAAAAAAAACACATCTATGTGATACGCTCTTTCTAATGAGACGTCAATGGATAAAATCGGTTAAGAAATAGCGGAGGAGTTCAACCGACAAAGTTTCATGTAGCGTATTAATTACATATATATGATTTTGTATCACTATAAACTATTCCTATAAATTTTGTTTGATAAATGAAACATTTTGAACTTGCAAATAGTAAAATGGTTTTCGTTCGTTGCAAGTATTGTGCAAAAAGATTAAACTAAATCTGTATTATAATATTTGTCAAACGAATTAAAATTATACATTTCTGAATAATATAAACTATGCCGTTTAAAATGTGTTTAAATGAAAAATTTTTCTACACTGGTAATGAGTCAGTTGAAATTCGATACAAGGTTAGTTTAGAAAAAGAATAAAAGTATAGTTCAAACTCTATAAAATATTCGTGCAAAATATGTTTGGCTGAGACATATTTTTTTCTCTTTAATAGTCAATTAGTTGGCAAAAATGAAATGGATTTAGTTATAAATATGTACTTACAGTGTTTTGGACCCTACAAGCAGAAAAAACCGAATAGTGAGCTCCTGTCGTATCTTTAATGTTAAAGATTATCAAATGAGATTATTTAAACGCTGTGACTTCCTATCTTATCTTAGACAAGCAAAATTTTAATACACCCTCAAACAACTTTCAAGGGAAACATATGTAACTGTAGCAAAGGAAAAACCATGGCTCCGCTTCATCCAGATGTACTCTTTTTCGTATTTGTATCTATAATTGAGAAAGGGCCTCTCAGGGAAATTTGGTCATAGTCTCACTCTTTAGGTTTGGTCAGAGAAACTACATAGGTTGCAGACTGCGTAACACATTGAATATGTTCAGCAAAAAAGTAAAACAGGGCAAATTAAATAAGGTAAATAAATGAATTAAACTTTTGAAAACCCATATTTAGGATAAAAACCACGGTAATTTACAAAGAAAATGCTCTAACAAGTTATGGGACAGCCGGACGGGTTCCTGGTCTTCTGTAGCTTGTCTATGCAGTCGTTGTTTACAGAAAAGACTAGGTAAAATCAGCTGGAGACCCGCAAAATCACATGGAGCACGGTAAATTTACCGATCTCTCACACGGGGCACTTTTTCACAATATTACGTTACTAGCCCGGTAAGTGGCGTTTTACCATGCGAGTACGTTAAAGCTTAATTACCACGCGAGTAACGTACGATACTTAACATCATAATACAGTACACAGAATAATTAGTACATTTTAAACGCATAGCACAATTTATTTAGGACATAGCATAAATTATAATATTTTTATATTACAGATAATAAGGCCGTTGCTGTTAGCTGTTTATTTCATCAGCTGACTAAGTGCAAAAGTACAAAACGTGACTTTTCTGTGTTTAGGCACGGTAAAGTACAACTTTCCAGTCTATCAATACGGATGGAAAAGTACCCGTTTTTGTGTAGTATGATGTAAAATAATACGTATCAATGTTTTGTGGACTGTGTATTTACTTACTTATTTATATATTTGTCAACGGATTTACACCAATTTTACAGTTTGATTAGGCCTGAATACGATTATCATAAAATTTGATGACACTATCAAAACTTTCCAACACAATTATTTTGTTTGTAATTTGCTTTGGTTAAAGCGGTTCAAATCCCCTAATTCAGTTCTGTATTTGCATGTGTATGTCTGTTGATAACGCATTAATGTCCTTATTTCTCGTGTTTCGTGGAAAGGACAAGATGACCTTTGTTAATGAAAATTTCAACCCAAATAAAGTGTGCAGTAGTGAGGTTGAGGTAGAATTTTAACTACTTTTAACCAGTTTGAAAAGTAACTTTCAATTACAGGCCTACCTCAGGGCTAAACCTCATAGATCTATAAAGCAATTCCTTTTATCATTAGATATTATGGACTAACACGATCGGGTGACATTGAATTTTGAAGCATTCGTTTTGGCTTGAACCTGTCAGATGTTGTATTTGCGAAGGTTTATATGTATTCAAACAATTCCCGTACGTAGAACGGGCACACAGCTAGTGCTAAATAAAAGTGTTCTTGGGGATATTTTCGTAAAATTAGCCGTTTTTGAGTAATTTAAGTAAAAAAAAATAAAATGGTCACCATTTTGAAATTTTAAGATGAATCAAGATGATTTTTTTTAACATGGAGCTCTTCTATCTTAACCTACATACCAAGTTTTATAATGATCGGTTGAAAAGATCCAAAAATAAAAATATTTATATAAAATATACAAAATGGCAGATATCTTGTTAACGAAGCGATTTTGAAAAAAATGTTAATCTCGATTTTCTCTTTATATTAACCGATAGAACCATTCCCCGGAGTTTGGCTATTTACTTACGGGACACCCTGTATACTACAACATTTTGCGTAAAACGTGAAAAAGTGTATTATCATCATTTATTGTTTAGTCAAAGGATAAACAATAAGTTATAACCGATGAAACGAAGACAACTTTATTTTGTTACAAGCGAATTGGTTTACCTTCAAACATTCTCTTTGTAATGGGACGGCATTGAAACAACTGTGAACAACAACAAAAGTGTTTGATAATGGCAAGATACTTTAAGTTTGTATTATTTATTAATTAACTTATTTATTTATTAACTCTAGCTGAAATTAAATTTTCAGGATTCATCACTAGATGTCCTTTCAATTGTTAAACAATTTTAGGAATGATATCGATTACGCCTTCAAAATGCCGTCTTCTTAACACTAGACACACTTGTACTGCGTATATTTAATGTATTGTTTGAAGGCATACACATAATTTTATGGATACAGTATAATACGTCTTCCAACGGTATTTGTTACATTGACATTTATATTGTAACTACTTAACAATACGGTAAATAGGCTTGTTACAGTGATGATCGATTTCGAACGATTAAACCCACCACCACCTTTTTGGGGACGAGCAATGCTTACGAGGTTATTAGTGGTCGAGCGAGACACTTCGGTCCCGAGGTCCAGGGTTCAAATCCCACCAATCACCAATAGATTGTAAGTGATAATTCCGCGACCCTCTATGCCTAGCAGGACGTAATTTGTGAAACGGTTCCAGGTTAGATCTTAGCAAGAAAGAAAAATAAAATTATCCCATACATTCCTATACCATTAATTTTGGTTCTGCACAATGTATCTAAAACTAGGTGTTGCCTATAAAATGGGGATGATCTAAAATTTGATTTAGTCTATTTAACAATAGCTTAACAGTCTAGTGAGTAATTACTCTATGAACATAATACGAACCTCTAACGTACTTATAAGAGAGGCATTTTAATCATGAAAATACTCTAAATGTAAATTAATGGTACAGTACCACTATTATAGGCATCATATAAAAATAATGCAAGAAATTAGGATTGATATAATTTGGTGTTTATTTTATAATATAATTTAATGTCACAATATAACATTCAATTTACTTGCAGCACATGTTTTTACGTAAAAACAAAAAGATATTTGGTGATTTATAAGGTTTATTTTGCCTATTAATTCATGAAAGATGTATTAAAGGATCTATCTCAAACGTAACCATACGGAGAAAAAAATTGAACTAGTATAATATGTTCAACTATACTACTTTATACTACATTTTGCTTTGTCAAACAATTTACAACCTGACGAAAACGTTTTTTATTTTTATTATTTAATATTTATGTAATGTGGTAAGCACTTTTTCGTTTGATTTGTTTGCCAATAATAATACAAAACAAAAATACAGTACTATACCTAAATCAGCTTCAAATAAATGCCTATTTTAATACCTTATGCCTATTAAAAAAATTCTGTGTTAGCTGAGGACCGTGGCCCGATGTAAAATCTCTACTCGAGTACATTCAGGTTAACACAACTAACATCTAACATGTTTTCATTGTTGTGATGTTACTTCACAATTCTGCTTGTTCAGTAATGCTAACTTAAGTAGAGACAGACGTAATTAATTCATCCTTGCATCTCACGAATCGAAATGGAGATTTTAGACACCCCAAATTGTACGTACTTTGTTATCGGACAAAATGGACATTCTAACAGTTCCACCAGTAAACCATTATCTAGTATTCAAGAAGGCGTGAGAGTTATTTAGTTAAAATATCAACCCTTATTATTCCTCATTATTATTATATTAACCCTATTATTATTCGTATTAAAAACATGTAAATGTATAATAGCATTTATACACTTAATGCTGGTCGGTATAGGCCAGGGCGATTTACTTTAAGTCTCAGAATCTGTACAAAAGGCAATGAATGATCCAGAATGCCTGTCATGTATAGTATTGTGTGTTCATAGGACTCCAAAATATGGTTTCAGGATGTTAAATTAAAACAAGTAGTAAGTTTTACATCGATTTATTACAAAATATAAATTAATAATAATTTTAAATTAAAAGCCTTAACATTAATGGTAATTTATTTACAACTATCCGATTGGCAGTGAAAGCTAGATATTCGAAGTGTTCAGGTTTAGTCTTTTCTCGTCTAATAGATGTAGCTTCCGTCGGGGTTTTGCTGCTGACCACCTCCAGCTCCTGGCGCGCCGTACGAGGAAGAAGGACCGCCACTGCTGTAGCCACCAGCACCACCAGCAGGCGAAGACCCGCTGTAGCCTCCAGAACTTCCTGACCCTGGAGCTCCATAGGAGCCAGAAGGAGATCCGCCACTAGCACCTCCAGCGCCGGGTGCTCCGTAGCTACCCGAAGGCTGTCCTCCAGCTCCACCACCAGGTGCACCGTACGAGCTTGATGGAGCTCCACCTCCAAATCCACCGCTTGGAGCTCCGTAAGATCCGGACGGCTGTCCTCCAAGACCTCCTGTGCTACCGCCTCCTGGTGCTCCGTATGATCCAGATGGGGAACCACCTCCAGGTGCTCCATATGATCCAGATGGGGAACTAACTCCTGGTGCACCACCTCCAAATCCTCCTGTGCTAGCACCTCCTGGTGCTCCGTATGATCCAGATGGGGAACCACCTCCTGGAGCTCCATATGATCCAGATGGGGAACCACCTCCTGGAGCACCGTATGATCCGGATGGTGACCCACCTCCAAAACCTCCAGCTCCTGGCGCTCCATACGATCCAGATGGTGCTCCGCCTCCTGGTGCTCCTCCGCCGGGTGCGCCGTATGAACTAGAAGGTGCTCCACCTCCTTGACCACCAGGGCTACCCGCTCCAAAACCTCCAGCTCCTGGGGCTCCTCCTCCAAATCCTCCTTGTCCACCTCCCTGTGAAGGGGGAAGGTACGAGCCTCCAGGTGCACTGCCACCAGATCCTGCAGAACCTCCTGCTCCGGGTGCTCCGTAACTTCCTGAAGGCCTTCCAGCACCTCCTCCGAATCCACTGGCCCCACCAGCTCCTTGACCGGGAGCGCCGTAGCTGCTCGATGGTCTTCCACCACTTGCTCCTCCAAAACCGTTTCCTCCAGCACCAGGTGCACCGTAGCTGCTAGAAGGTCGACCACCACCGTTTCCTCCGGCACCAGGGGCACCATAACTGCTTGATGGTCTTCCACCTCCATTACCTCCAAACCCTCCAGGACTACCAGCACCCTGACCTGGGACTCCATAACTACTTGATGGTCGCCCACCTCCATTGCCTCCAAAACCTCCAGGACTACCTGCACCTTGACCTGGAGCTCCATAGCTGCTTGATGGTCGTCCACCTCCATTTCCTCCAAAACCTCCAGGACTACCAGCACCTTGACCTGGAGCTCCATAGCTGCTTGATGGTCGTCCACCTCCATTTCCTCCAAAACCTCCAGGACTACCAGCACCTTGACCTGGAGCTCCATAGCTGCTTGATGGTCGTCCACCTCCATTTCCTCCAAAACCTCCAGGACTACCAGCACCTTGACCTGGAGCTCCATAGCTGCTTGATGGTCTTCCACCTCCATTACCTCCAAACCCTCCAGGACTACCAGCACCCTGACCAGGGACTCCATAACTGCTTGATGGTCGACCTGCTCCGTTTCCTCCCAATCCACCTGACCCTGGTGTTCCGTAAGTGCTGGATGGGCTACTACCTCCACTTCCACCAAAACCACCTGGGCCACCAGCACCAGGAGCGCCATAGGATCCAGAAGGTGCTCCACCTCCAAAACCACCTGGGCTTCCAGCTCCTGAACCACCACCTTGTCCGGGAGGAAGATATTGGTTTGAAGCTCCAGCCCCTCCTTGTCCGCCAAATCCTCCAGAGCCACCACCTGCACCACCGTTGCTACCAGGAGCACCGTATGAGCCAGAGGGTCTTCCACCTCCATTGCTGCCAAATCCATTTCCTCCAGCACCCGGAGCACCATATGATCCAGAGGGTCGTCCACCAGTGTTTCCACCTCCAGGAGCACCGTAGCTACTTGAGGGTCTTCCGTTTCCAGCTCCTGAACTACCAGCACCTGGTCTGCCACTTCCGTAACCCCCGTTTCCGCCAGCACCTGGTGCTCCATAAGAGCTTGATGGCTGTCCACCGAATCCTCCTGCACCGGGAGCACCGTATGATCCTGATGGTCTGCCACCTCCGTTGCCTCCATTACCTCCAGCACCGGGACGTCCACTGCCATACCCACCGTTTCCAGCCCCTGGTGCTCCTGGTGCTCCGTATGATCCTGATGGTCTGCCACTGCCAGCACCTCCAGCTCCCGGGGCTCCATATGATCCGGATGGCCGTCCACCATTACTTCCTCCATTGCCGTTTCCACTACCTGGAGCACCGTATGAACCAGAAGGACGACCACCGCTGCCGCTACCAAAACCGTTTCCGGTTGATCCAGGAGCTCCGTACGATCCGGACGGTCTACCACCAGCCCCTCCTCCTACACCGCCTCCTTGACTTGGAGGTAGATATTGGTTGGATGGACCACTACCACCATTGCCACCACTTCCAAATCCTCCTGGTGCTCCACCGCCAGGTGCTCCGTATGATCCTGAGGGTGAGCCACCACCAGGTGCTCCGTATGATCCTGAGGGTGAGCCACCACCGGGTGCTCCGTATGATCCTGATGGTGAGCCAGCGCCGAAACCACCAGATCCTCCACCAGGCGCTCCGTAGCTACCAGAGGGTCCTGATCCGCTTCCACCACCCGGTGCTCCGTAACTTCCAGAAGGTGCTCCGGCCCCACCTCCAGGTGCGCCACCGTTGTACCCTCCACTGCCTCCACCAGGTGCTCCGTAGCTGCCAGACGGTGAACCACCGAAGCCGCCACCCCCTGTACCTCCTGGAGCGCCGTAAGAGCCTGAGGGTGATCCTCCTCCTCCACTACCACCTCCTTGGCCCGGCGGAAGATATTGTCTTGCAGCTGCTTCTAGTCCCTCTATAAATGATACAATGTATATTAAAATCCTTTAGAAATAAATCATTCTATGTTTTCACGCATTATAAGTTTTTGATTACAGAAGAACTAAAATGACTAGTTTGAATGATATGTATAAACCATAAAATTATTTTATGACGATATTTAAGCCTTACGCAAAGTATTATTGACAAAACATGTGTGGCAATTTATTCGACATGAAATTTGGGAATTCATAGATACATGTTAAAAATAAATATATGTATTACAAAGTCATGTGTTTTATGTATCATTTTTATTTCCCAGCAGTTTATTTCCTTTTAGGACATTATATTACAGCAGAGCTTACTTGCGGATCTCATGATCACAAATATAAACATCCAATACTATATACATAGTTGTCGGTAAAGATGAAAAATTCAACTGGGTACTACCTACATTATATTCTGAATATCCATAAAGATGTATTATAATAAATGTTGCAACTTACCTAACCGATCTCTTTTAGGCCTTGCAAGTTCCGTTGTTTCTTTGGTTTCTTTGGCAAGGGATAGTTGTACGAGAAGGGCCAGAGCCGCTATTCTAAAGCACGCCTGTGAAAATAAAATAACAGTTATAAAATAAAAATTATTAAGTATTGTACTTAACTTTCCAATTGCTTTTGTGAATGAAACTTAGCGATTTATTTTACATAGGTAGTTAAAGGAATTGGATGGTTTCTTGGTAGAAGTGTTATCTTTTGCAATATGTTTTCACAGTTTCTTAACAATTTCAATCATCATAATTACCAAATCTAAGGTAAATTAAATTAATTTTTAAATGATTTAATCACAGACATAATCATTGTTCATGATACCTAAAGAATTAACCCTGTTAACAAGAAATAAAGTAGTTAACAAGCTTCTAGTTGACGATTGTTATGTATGGTTTTATATGTACGCTTAAAATACGAAATATAAAGGGAAATATTGAGATTAACGTACTTGAATAATATAAACAATTGAACAGGTGTATAATAATTATATATCACAAGACTATAAGAATTCCAGATGTTTAGTGATGTTCATTTGTACAGTGTTACAAAACATGTGCACTGTCTTATCACTGCCACTGACTAAATAAAACTGACTGAACTCGACCCATGTAATATGTTTAATGATCAGACACCCAGTCATGAATTAGTTCCAGTCAAATATTATATTTGACACATATATTGAAAAGTTACAAATCAAAGAAGTATAAAATAAGAAGAACAAAACAAACTGAAATACAGGTGGCACTGGAGAGAAGAAGAAACATCATGATTAAGAGAGTTAAAATTAGTCAGTGACAGTGATAAGACAATGCTGGCCAGCTTCTACTGTTTTAATCAGTTAATCATTTTTATTCCATATGAATTATTTTTTCAACATGACAAGTTTTGATTACAGTATTGTGACAGTCTTCTAATGAATCTATTGGCATACCAAAATGTATTAACATTGATGATGTGGTTGCATACTAATGACCTGACGAAGTTCTAAGGAACGAAACTAGTCATCATGCGAACAACTGTGGTTGGATAAGTAATTATTTTATTTTATCAATATTTTTGTAAATCCTTCTTTTACATCCTAGGACGCTGCGTTCTATCTGGGAACCGTTTACACATTTGGACTAGTTCTAGAGGGTCACGGCATTACCTCTTAGATAAAATCCATTGGTCATTGGTGAGATTTGAACCCGGGACCTCGGGGACCAAAGTCCCCTGCTCTACCTATAGACCAATCTCCCATAGTTCTTCATAGTTACCGCCATCCCTCTAGCGTTTATAACACGATTAGTTCCAACAAACGTCCGAGATTCATGAATGGTGAACGCAGCGGTGATTCAAGGTATTCACACCATCCAGCCCTTACTGTGAAGGCCGAGGAAAACAACATCTAATCTTATTCCGTAACGCAGGGCCACACTGATGTAACGGAAGATGTGTGATGTATGAAAGTAGGGCTCATTAGGCAATGCAGGGCTCTGCACCGTAATACAAGGGGCACGACTGCCCCCCTCGCCCCCCGACGGTCGTGAACTACAGTTACGAGATTTACTTTCGCAACCGATCAGGTGCAAATCGCGTTGATGTTATCTATGTTTGTAGTTTTTGTCGGTGACGATCAGCAGTCTTACACCTTCACCGCGACTGGTTTCAGTTACAACTGCAACAGTTTTATTTGTATTCGATCTCTATTCAATGTTAATGACTTAACATTTCTTCTTTCCTAAGTTCTTCTTTGCTTTTTTCCTACAGTTACCTGACGAAGTGGGCTTCCTTGCACTGATATAGTACTGTATGCCAAATAGCTAATTGCTTCATTTACTTAATTTTGCCGCACTTTTTATTTTTGCCGTGCTCATTTTTTCGTAGCACTAATTTTTTGCCGCAAACCAGTATTCCAACCAAACAACACAATACAGTGTACTTTTATTAGGCACGTAATATGTGTACGCTTGAAAATAAGTTGGCAACACCTAAAGATACTACTACTACGATCAGCTGGTGCATCGTTTCCCATTTCGTTCAAGCTGTATTTAAAAGGAAGCAAATAAAATGCCTAATCATATTTTTAAAAGCTCAGATTTTAGAGCAGTTTTTGTAGCCATTTGCTAATCTCTAGTATTATTCTTAAAAAAGGTGTCTGAATGCTAATTTTTTAACCTTTTTTGGGGAAAATCAAAATGTCTTAGTTCTAATCAATTTAAATAGCAATTCTGAAGCTTTGGGCTCACCAAAAGCTGTCTATTCTTACATAGAATTTAATGGAAAATATTATGGTAGTGTCAAAGTTACAAAAAATTATGCAAATACTAGAGGAATTTAAAAATGTTATGTAAATGTACAAGTTTTAAAAAATCAAAATAATGTTTCAGCAAGTGGGTGTATGGAATATGTTTTTTAACTGTGGATTTGAATCACACTTGTTGCTCTACCACCCGAAAAAAATTTTAACGCTAGGTCCAGACAATGAATACAAACCTTGTATTCATTGGTCCAGACCACCCTGAGCCAACTGAATTACGCATTTAATTAAGAAATTATTTTCTTTGTCGGTTGTGTATTCAATAACTAAAAGCTCCAAGTAATTATCAGTGTTTGAACCCGGACTCTTAACATAAACCACGCCCCTACCCTGTATTAATAATAATTTGACTGTGGAAAGTTAATGAGGAAACATTAACCCAAAAGTGATATTAATGTATCCAAACAAAAAGATACTACCATAGATGAAGTAATATAACTTTACTTTATCTATGATACTACTATTCTGATGTGGATAAACATCATGCATTTGGCAATCATCCTAGCATTTACTATTTATATTGTATCTGTGACTAAACCGCAATAAATTTTATTCGATTTAATGTGTCTCAAGAACCCACATAATAATTATATAATTATATAATATAATATATATTATAATTATATAATTTATATAATTTTGTGACAAATATGTTAAACTTTTGAGATCGACTTATTTTTCAAATCATGGCTTGTTCCTACAACTATGGAAACTGTTTGGTGATTCAAGTGTTTTTATTTGCCATAGTTGTTTATCTTTGGGTCTTTCATGGTTATTTTTAATTTTTATTTGTTTTCTTTTTTAGCTAAGTTCCTAAATTTTACCTTAGTGTCTTTTCTGTTTTGTTTATTCTAAGAGAAATCATCAATAATTGTATATTTTCACTTTGAGATTTTTTATTTTCATCTTCAATAATTGTTGCTGGTAATTTAATGTATTTGAGGCTTTTATTACCATCTTTAATTGTTGATGTTAATTTAATGTTTTGAGGATTTTTATTTTCATCTTTAATCGTTGCTGTTAATTTAAGGTTTTTGAGGCTTTTTTTATTTTAATATTTAATCGTTGTTGTAAATTTAAGGTTTTTGAGGCTTTTTTATTTCATCTTTAATCGTTGTTGTTAATTTGATGTTTTGTCGTTGCCGATTTCCTGGACATCGCTCTCACCTAACGTGAGAGTCTGTCGACATGTTTTGCAACCCTGCAATTGTAACACACACTCTGGGAAAATGTAATTCGCTAATTGCTCTAAATGTAATTGTTGCCGGTGATTAAGTCTGTTTAATCAATTCTTTTAAATAATCCTAACCGGCAAGGGAATTTAATTGTTTAAAGAATAGTTGTTCGCCATTTTCCAATTCACAGACTCTCTGTAACAACAGTTGACTTTGGATACAACATGTAAATATTTTCACACAATGAAGGTTTTTTCTGTGTGTTTATTGATAAGCGTTAGTTTGTTGATGGAAACTAAATCTTTCTATATTTTTTAGGGTAAATCTTACATTGCGCTTGTAAAGCTCTTGTTTATAATGCCATAAAACATACATTAATTAACATACCCATACCGCAGCAAACTTGGTATTAAATGTGCCAACGGTATTGAAGTTATTTCCTTAGACTTATCAGAGGTATTCCCAATTTTAAAACATTGCTTTTAACGAGTACATAGGTTTTCTTTCTGCTTCAGGAAAGTAAGTTAAGTGTGTTTTTTAAGGTTAGTAAAATCACATTTGAAAGACGAAACATCGACGCACTCAAGCGTCATTGGACAAAACGATCCATATTTCTTTTCGGCTGATAAATTGTGTAAGATTGAAAAATCAATATAATCATTGGTATAAAGTAATAAGTAGGAAATGTGGCAACGGGTAAAGTTAAAGGGGTTTAAAAAGTTCTTAAACCTTTGAATCACAAAAACGCAGGGTTGGCAAGAGCTATTTCCAAAGTACTGTTAAAATATTTAGAGTTTCATAATAAAGATAAAAATAAACTCTTGTATTACCATTTGCTTTTGATCTTGAAAATTAATTGACTTTTAAAGACTACTTTGGATAAAAAAAAAATAAACGACTTGTAATTTGTAATAGCTTAAAAAGATACAAAGTATATAAAGTAACTATTTCTTATTCTATCTTAAACCAGCTTATAGCTTGTCTAACTGACATTTTTAGTACAAAACAGTCCTAATAAAATTTTACAGCTAAAAATCTTGTATAGCAATTTTTACGAAATTTGTTCACGAAAAATATAGATTGGTGAGGTATTGAACCCGAACTCCTTCGTTCGAAAATGGAGTACAGTTCTCACCAAAACATGAATTTAAAATGTATGAGTTAAAAATAAATTAGCTTAACTTTTTTCATTGGCTTTATAAATTTCCAGAATTACACAGAGAATATTCAAAATGGGAAGAAATCGCGAATAGGCGCAATAAAGTTACCAATAAGAACAAATTTGATATATAATGTACTACTCTTTTAATGTATAAACACAAAATTATAATTACATGAAAAACATGTATTTCAAAGTTGTATATTTAAGCATTTCCAATTGAAATTTAGACTGATTTAATCACCAATCTAGTCATGGATTTACAAATTTATGGCAATAACGCTGTATAAAATATGTCGATAGAAATTGAAATTTTATTCTTTATATTAGTTCTATACTGGTCAATGTCACAAGCAATGTCACAAGTATGGTTTTCGCTAGACATAGTATTGCTAGATAAATTATCTCTTGTAAACGTTACCTGCTCTTTTTAAGGGTTTAGTCTGACCATACCTACTTTGTTATGGGTTTAACATCAATACAAATAACCAAATTACATTTTCATGTTTTATCCATAACACTAAGTCTCATCAAATTAAAACACACAGTTTTATTCGTAAAGAACACTACGGTAAAAATGTTGATACCTGAAACGGGTGTTGTGTTTTTTTTAGTTGTTACATTGAGGTATATTTTTCTCCTAACCTTTAGATCATAATAAGTAGATTAAAAAAAACATGTTATCTTTTAAATATGATAACAAATATATGTACTAAGTGATGATGAATAAAATACGATCACAATGTTTAAAACCTCCCTAAACACCACCTAAAATATCTAACCTCGTACACAATAAACTCCTATGTAAAAACAGCACTTTCAGACTCCCATAACGGCAGGTGAATGTGAGACACAGGTTTCAGAATGTACAATCGGGCTCTATAATCACTACCGTGGTGTAGTGAACAGCTGATGGTTCGAATAATGGCCCTTGTCATAATGACTTCATCACTTCATCAGACTGCCATAAAGCTGATCGGTACTCAATCACTTTCCTTCCTTGACTCTGATTCAATGGGGCATTAGAAGGTAAATGTATCGTTTAAAGGGAATTCATATATTTTAGTGTTTAAAAACCCGATTTTTTGCGATTTTTTGTGTTGAGCTACTTTGTTTGTCGTAAGTATTTATACGAAGGTAAATACGAATTGTAACACTTAATTTATCTTTATGCATAATGTAAACATTTACGAAACGGTAAATTTAAATTCTGTATTGCAATAGCGACCGATTTCGATCAAATTTGGTTACTATCAGACCCAATTTGATTTAATCTCTGTTGTTCGAATTTAAAAAAGTATTGGAATACATATTTTTATATTCGTATAATATCATCACGTAAACGACCATTGAAAAGTTATTTAGTATTTAATGTATTTGAATTTTAAAAACATTAGAAAAAGGTTTTCTGAATTAGTTATCAAACCATTTTTTATTTCGACGAATTATGTTACTGAATTAGACATTAGATTTTACTCAAATAAGTTCTTCTAACGCTATATCATATGTTAGCGATACCGGTTCAAAGTTTTTTGAATTAAAATAAAAGAATGAGTTTTTATTTAACAAATTATGTTATTAGTCTGTATACTTTCTGGAAACGAATTCATTTCTATATAACTTACAAGTATAAAACTATAAACTATTAAATTTTCTTAAGTGAATTTTAACAGTGCTATGTTATTTAAAATTTTATTTGGTTTAATTTAATTATAAACAATAGTATTAAGTTTTTTTTATTTTCAATTTACACAATAATGTCTGTATTTATAAAAGTTACAACCAAGTTATTGTTTAGTTAAAATATTTCTCTTATTGGACTGGTTTTAAAGAAGATACGCAGAACTGTAAATTCGAAAATTATTTAATGTATAACAGAAATATGATATAATATTTAAAATTTAAGAAAATTCTACTATTGTGTTGTCAAAACGATAGTTTTTTTTTAACCTTTGGAACTATTCTATGTAAACGTAATAAGTTAAATCACAAATATATAAGCCAAATGTAATTTCCACGAATTTATAGCTGTATTACTAAATCACAATATATGATCATGAAGAACTTAAAACTAATGTTAATGTTCTTTTATATTATACGAATATTATATAAATCTTTAATGTAAATTAATTAGTATCTAACTTCTATATATTTCAATACAGTATTGAAATTGCGTAGGTAAAGGTTGAGTATAAAATGACCAAATTACTGCTGATTATTTTGAGTACTTTTAGTATACTTATATATATATTTAGTATATTTACATTTAGTTATCTTTTGAATGATAACACATTTGATATTGAGTTTTTGTTGGTTTACAATGTTTATTGTAACACAGTTAATATTATTGCTTATTAACATTGTAAATTGAAAAAATACCAAAAAATGGAAGAATATTTAATTTTAAAAAGAAAGATTACGCATTTATTTATTGAATAAATTGTTTGCATATAACAATTTCAAAGTTTTTTCCAAACCTAAAACACCTCAAATCACAACACAAAGTCTACGAGTCGTTTAGGTCTCCCGCTCTTTCAATGCACTAGGCACGATAACAACGAAATTAACACATTTTAGTTGTGTAATTGTTTCAATATTTTGGATGAAAATTTTATATATCGTATATTAAATGTAAATGCTTTACTATTAGAGTTTGATTAACTATTACCGGTTTCTTCGTTTGGTAGCGCCACTTCAAATGCTAATCAAGAACTTACTTGTTGGAGCAAAACGATAATTCATCCTTAATTTTATAGCTACTTACATTTCAAGTTAAAAAAAAACATCATTTAGCAAGTTTTAAGTTATTTTAGTAAATTTTTTAGACATTTTTTGAAAAACCTGTGTCCTCCCGAAAAGCCATAAGCCACTGCATCTTTAAATACATTATGTGAAAAAATGCATTGACAAAATTAAAATTCGTCAGAGTTGGAGTTGAGTAAGTTAGAGCATATGTGAATGCATCTTGTATTTTATCTGTGAAGCAACCTAGACATAGTTATGATTGCATCAGACACTGTTCAGGAGTCAACAGGTATTGTACAGTTCTATTCATCTCTATTCTTTCTCGAGATTCTAATTCATGTTCAGTACGATGAAGCAACAATGGGGAGTAACTCAAGAATTAGCGCAGCATTCACCATGAAGGTGATGAAACCACAATCAATTGTATTACAAAGATTTGTTTTCTAATTTATTTTGGAGGTACGATCTCTTTCGTTTCTAAGATAGAAAAAACTTTTCAATATACAGTATATGCTGTAAACATAAGTAGTGCAAACATACATTTACTTCATTATAGTATCGAATTATTAATTACTTTATTATTGAATAATTATATATTTTCATTTGAGGGGGGTGTTTTTTTTTTTAAAGAAATGTGTTTTTTATAATTTAGTGATTTGTTCATAGAAACGTATTAATGAACACTCTTTTTAGATGCAACCGATTTTTAAATTTACATTGTTTTAACAACGTAAATATACTTTGCAAATTATTGTTCACTATTTATAATAAATAAGTGTATTTACTCAATGAATTTCATGTTTTATTTTTTTTTAATAATGTCTAGTGGCATATAAGAAACAGGTCGGTTAAATATTTTGTATTTTTTAATTAATTTATTGTTATAAGGGAGGGCTCAACAATGTTTGCAATAATACCTTATGGTAATTTAAAGAAGCATCCAATCAATTTGGACCATGATAAATATATTATTTATTTATAATGTATATGTTGAGCTTAGGAATTCAAAAAATATACTATAGTTAAGCTATGGATAATTTGCACCTTAGAAAATTAAAAAAAACATAAGTCACTGTTTTTAAGTTTTGAGACATACTGTATATTATTTAATAAAACACAATCAGCAATATCTGAATAAAATAGCTATAAAGTAATAAAATATTGTAATATAATTTGTAAACTTTTTAATTACTAATTTCGAACTTCATTTGAAAAAGTTAATTCCAAATAAATTTGAAACAAAACACGTGGACGCTGTTGGTTCGTATCCCACATGTTAAATTTAAAAAATTTAGAAAAAAATATTAATTTAAAAGCATAATTATTGCATGTAAAATTATTTTAAAATTTAGATACTTTCTTACCTTACGCGATGGCGTACCCATGATGATAATCCACAGGGAGAAGAAGTTGTGATAACGAAAGGAAAGGTGAGGATGGTTATATAGCCGCTTCTCTCCCCCCTGAGACTACATCGTGACGATCCTATGGAGACACACACACGCGCACACTCACGCACACACACGCACGAGGGAGACTATGGATTGATTTGTGGTCGGTGACGACCTTGGATACCTCACGAGGGATGACTGTGTTTCGTGGGTTTTCTGTATGGTGTTTGCATCCTAAGTACAAATGGTACTGGTTAGGGTCATATTTTGGCTGAGCGAAACCGGTATAAGGGCTTCCACTGGTTCTGGTCATAAATCAAAATTATATACATAAAATTGTAAAGTTTTGTTTTGTTTAATATGGAAGGTATTTCAAAAATTCATATTGACAGTTTGTAGGAGTTTAATTATTTAAATGTACGCCAGCTGGTCTAGTAGTAGGATACGGGACTTCGGGCCCGAGGTCCCGGGCTCAAATTCCGCTAATCACCAATGGTTTTAATCTAATCGATAGTGACGTGAACCTTAAAGCCTAGCCTATATGTGTAAAATGGTCCCGGGATAGAGCCTAGGAAATTAGGGCAGGACAAGGTCCATGTGTCATTATTTATCGTAAGTGAATCGGCGCAGAATGGGTTTCCTATGGTCCAGATCATATCCCAGATCAGAAGCGTATACCTATGATGGGATTTTATTTCACCTCATATTGGTACTTCAAAATTATTTTATGGCTTTGACAGCTTGTTGAAGTTTTAACCATTACGGATAATCATTTAGTATTACTATTTGCAATAAAAATATGCTCGTACTTACTACTTTGTGTTTTGAGGGAGCGTTTCTATCAATGTGTTTTTGCTTGCTGACTCCTTTTTAGAGTCTGAGTATTTTGACTCAGAAAATGTAAATATATATAAAACAGTACAAAAGTATAAACTGTTAAAAAAATAGTTGTAAAATAAAATACAGATGGCTTCCACATATAAGTCTTGGCATAAATCATTTTAATATACACTAGACGTACGTACAGTGCTGGTCTGAAACAATGATGAGCCTCAGATATCAAGTTAGAGGTTCGTTTAAGAAAATCAACACCCCCCATTGGTTAATTTTTTTGGATCAGGGTTTCAGATATGATGAAATTTAAAAACATGTAATTAAATAAAAGAGTTAAATATGTTTTATATCTTCATGTTTGATCTAAATCGAAAGTAGCCTTCAACAGCAAAAATCGTGTAGTATGGATATGTCACGGCAGGTAATAAGGGCCATAGGTCGCGCACCCTTAGGATCAAGCAGTTTTATTTATTTACAATTTCGTATATAAGGATTTCAAATCTTATAACTCTACGTAAGTTTAAAACTGAATTTAACCTAAGTTTTTAAGTTCAACCTGCTCCTCTGCAAACTCTATCTGAAACAAATTCATCTAGAAAGTTTTTTATATGTTACTTCAAAAACACAAGATGTTTATTAGGTTAATTAATTTAAATTTTAATCTCAAATGATTGAGTATTTCTTTTTTGTTTACCAATCAAATGTAAACATACACACTAGCTTTTTTATCATAAAGACATATATTTTTGCCTAGAAATTAAATTCAAGTAGTTTATGAGAGCGAAGTTGAAGTCGAACCGACCAAAATCCATCCACATTTATATATTATTATCATTTTTTTTTATTAGTTATTTTATATTAGTTATTTCTTCACAAAGTTATGCGTACAATACAGAACATATTATGTTTTAACGATTACTGGCCATTCCTTCCAACTAAACAAGGAGAAATATTTGTTATCGCTAATTTTGTGAACTACAAAGTAGTAGTGCCTAAGAGTGTCGTTTAGTTAAGATTGAAGACTATAATCTATAATAAAAAATCATATTTTGATAATGATTCCAAAATCTAGATTTTTTTATTTTCAGAACATTTTAATTATGTCAATGACAACTTTCTATGTAACCCAACTTGGGAAGAGAACTTTATGAAGCTGGTTGTGATGATAGTTTTATATTTAAACAAATTTCATAAATAGGCCTATTGAATAAGCTATTACCGTAGGTCTTATGGTAAGACCTATGCCCGGGACCGATTTATTTTTTTGCGCTGAGGTTCCTAGAGGCCAAAAACACCATCCGTTCAAGTAAGATAATATGATGTCCGTTTGCACGATAATTTGAGTAAAATTATTAGATTTTTATGAAATCCTGTAAAATTGTGTAAACCTACATTTTTATAACTAGTTCACGAACCAGCACGATCAAACTATGGGATCGGTGTTTTATAGGGTAGAAATTGGAGTTTTCCCATTTTCACCCCTAAAAAATATTTTACAATTTTTTCTAAACTGTTTTGCAGAGCGTAAAAATCAATAACTTAGTATATGGAAGTGTTTTTATACGCCTAATGGTTATGAAGAGAATTCCGAAAAACTGTAAATTTAAAGGCATTACGTTAACCTTATTTAAAGTAAACAAATTGTTGCAGTTTGTTTGCTTAGGGATATATTTTGATCAAATGTAGCAAATTTGTATTTTTTCATACTAAGCTATTCACGTTTCAATAAAAAACACACTTTATTATCATCCCTGTAGCAGCACACCTATGTAATATTACAATTATTAATTGCTATCTAAATAGAAAATCAATCTGTGAATTTAAAGGGAACATTTTGGTGAAAATCCATCCAGGTAAATGGAATTTGCATATCATGCAGGTTTTATGTTACAGCCTAATTTTACAGTTGTTTACAATCGATGGTAATTATTTACAGGGTGAGAACAGATGTCACCCAAAATGTTAGATTACCATTTGGGGAATGGTAGCTCAAACTCCAAAATCCACTTTATGAATAAATGGATAATGATTTTTCATAGCTATTTTTAACTACAGCAGGAATGGCACGGACAACAGGAACGAAACAGTTGAAAGACAAAGACAATGGCAGTGACATTGCGGAAACAGTTTATGTAAAACATGGCGTCATTTTGAATGTTTAGAGGACACAAAATTGTAGTGCATATATTATCAATCCTGAGTGGAAATGAAATCAGCAATTTCAATTATTTATTGACAGATAGACATTTTGTAGCCAAAGATTACATTAAAATACGTATTTTCAGACTAATGTATTTTAAATAACCACTTTTTTTGTACTTTATTAAAATTGTAAATTTAGTTGGAATTTGATGAAAACATTTACTTGTAAAATTATTCAGATAAATTTGAAATACACTTAGTCGAAAAGTTTGCTGAAGACTACGAAACTATACAGTTAACAGTTAACAGTTTACCAACTGTACATTTGTGTTAAACGTAAAATAATTAGACCATAGAGCTTATACGAGTTTTATTTGAATTACAGTGGTTAAATTCATGTAAAGTGTGCGATAGTAATACAGGTTAATTATAAATTATTATTATTACACTTTGTTAACTCTATAAATGAAAAACTATACAACCTATCGTCACGGGATGAGAATCAATTGAAAGAGAAGATTCTAAAGTTTTGTTTGGCAACACTTTAGTAAACATAGTCACAGTTTTCTGTGACATAGTTCCAAACTTAGCCTGTAAAAAAAATAGTCATTTTTAAACAATTCAATTTCATCTTCAAACATCATCTACATAGCATGGTTATTTGGCTATTTTGGTATATTTTGATCAAATTAGGCAAATTTATTTATTTCAAACTTAACTTTTCACTAAGTATGACTTTATTAGGTTTCCTGTAGCGGCAAACCTAGGTACTCATCAAACCTTATGTTATTTAATGAAAAATAAATTTGATGTTTTAAAAAGTTAATGTCTAACATTATAATAGAATAATATTCTATGTATTTGTTAATGTAGAAAATCTAATCAGGTAAATAGAAATTCGTTTAGACTGCAGGTCTGCTACAGTGCTGCTATTTTTACCATGTCCTCTATAATCCTTCAAATAACATCTCATACTTTGTTGAAAGAACCATTCAAAATCGGCGACAGTAAATTATTTTCAAGGAAATATATTTGCCACAGCATCGATGGCTTCTTAATTACTCACACATAATACGCATTTGGTGCTAAGTATTTTCGAATGACGGTACCTTGGGTAGTAAGAGAGTAAACTGTAATACTATAAACAGTCATTGCGTAAGGGTCGTAGGCGAAAGGTACCTTATGCTTAAGACCTTGGAAAGTGGAACGGTGTGAAAAATCGAGATGAGTCCATGTTCACACCTAGGCATTAGTGTCTTGCATTTAGATGTATTTACCTTTGTTATTCTGGTATTTCATTCTTCACCACAATTGGCCTATATCGATAAATTGTAGGACTATTGCCAATAGTCCTTTAACTAGATCTGTTGTAGTGTGTCTCCTATTATAGTATCGTGCAAGGAGTTTGGGTTCAATTTACTGATCACATTTATTTTCCTAATTTTAGCAAAGTATTCATTATTAAAAAGAGTTTTTTTAAATAATTTAAACTTAAAAAATAAATTTGTGATGCATTTTAAAAATATATGTCCAGTGTTTACAGTTAGTTTACAATTACAACTATTTAATTTAAATAAGTAAAATTCTCTGTAAAATATGCAACCAGAATCAAAATTTGAAAATGTGAACCAAGTTATTGCGGTGGTTTCAATGGTTGACTACCTTAAAAATATTTTCGTAGTAACAAGTGTAACTTAAATAATATTATCCTACAGTGGTTTTGTTTTTATTAATATTTCAAACTCACACAATCTTCTGTTGATAGTAAATTAAATTATTCTGAATGCACGAAGTGTTTAATGTGCATATGTTTTCTTTCTATTTCTTTTTTTCTTTTACTTTTTTCCGTAACGACATTATTTATCCTATTATTTTAACTAATTATACCATCCATTGTTATTTATTTAATTCAAAATATTTCAAAGCACGAAGAAGATTAATCCACATACCAAATTTATTGAATATATATTTTTTAATAATTAATGGTAATGAAAATTACAATAATTCAGTAAAATAAATACCCCCGCCGCAGCAAACTTGCAGACTGAACGAATTTC